TTTCTATTGATGCGGTGCATTGCGTCAGTTGCACCGCGTCAGACGCTTCATAAGAAACGTACCTTAAAGGTGACTAGTATGTAGTACTTATACCTACCCATTTTACTTTCCAACTCCCACACCCATGTTCTCTACTCTCTCACATTATACACATCCCGCAGGTGGATATTTGCTTATGCGAATATGTTGAAGATTGACGCCTTCACGTGTTCCTGATCAACCCATATTCGTATGAAATTGGAGTTAAAACAAAACCTCGGAAAGATGACGCTACCTGAGGAGCGTCTGGAGCTATCGCTGAGCGTTGTAGCATGTGAGCCGATAGGGACGAGATGGTAAACAAGCGGGCTCTTGTCGGGATACCCGAAACCTCTACAACCGAAAGAAGACTACGAAAACGAGAACGATCAATTGAAGAGGACCACCAAGAAGAGACCTTTGTACCTGCTTCTCAACCGCTTGTGGATGGGACCAGCGCAAAGGAAACCTCCAAAAGACGAATGAAATGGAAACGGACAGGACCATGTACGGAGGTAAAATTACATCACGCTTTCATTACACAATACCCACATTTAGCGCACTTAAATGAACAACGCATTGCAGACCAACGTAGAGTTATTATTAAAAATACACTCCTTACATATTAGACACACAGGAACAAATCAAGCACGAAATTGAAGCACTACTCCACACAAACAACACATTCACCGTACAAGATAATACATCCGTTCTAAACAACTCTGAAATACAGACATTTGCGCACTTCAGCAATCGATAGATACAAATAATAACACAAACCAAACACTCACATAGTCACATCCCTTCGAAAAGAATTTGACAATGCATTGTTAGAATTCTCAAACACTGACCCAACGCAAAGATCACGAATGGAAACAAAGTCACACTCTAAAATTACGCACACCTTCACAAACACTAAACGATCACCTTTTACCAAGAGAGGTTGGAAAGCATTGTGAATTAGATAGATGAAAGGAAATGATTTAGTTTATCGTTAACAGTATTAGTAGTTCCTTCCTGCCTGTAAAATTAAAATTGATTGTATATAAATGAACATGTAGGTATATAAATCGCATATTGAATTGACGTTATATAGTATGTATGACCATTGAATAAACAGTACACTATTACACACTATTATTCAATAGTATACCTGTAATGTAACCATTGTATATTCATTTACAATGCTATAACCTATAATAATTGATAATATATAATTAATATTAATATATATTAATAATATACAGGGTGACAATTTGAAAACTTACCACCCCCCATATCTTAGTAAATAAACGAGATATTTAAAAAAATCAAAATCCGTTTCGGTAATTCGGAGGGGGAATCACAATGACATAGTTGGCGACGCACCCCCTCCAACCCCCTGCGCCCCAGCCACCCCAACTTTTAAATCTTAAATAGTGACCCCCCATGTGTGATACGTCGTTGGAAAGCTCTGAAAAAATGCTTTCCAACCATAATAGCATTACATTTAGGTTAGTAATTATCGTGCAAATCAAAAAATAAACTAATATGATACATTTGAAATCTGTCGTATTTAAAACGCAACCGGCGAACATTAGACGAACTAAGACAGAGAATAATTCAAGAATGTCGAAATATTGCAAAACCAACATTTGAAAAGGTTCGACAAGAGTTTGAGAATAGATTATAACTGGCGATCAAAAATGAGTTGCTGTCGAGTCGGCTTTGGAAGTTCAAGTTAAATACGATTTTCCATGTTTATTTTTTGATTTGCACGATAATTACTAACCTAAATGTAATGCTATTTGGTATGGTTGGAAAGCATTTTTTCAGAGCTTTCCAACGACGTATCACACATGGGGGGTCACTATTTAAGATTTAAAAGTTGGGGTGGCTGGGGCGCAGGGGGTGTGAGGGGGTGCGTCGCCAACTATGTCATTGTGATTCCCCCTCCGAATTACCGAAACGGATTTTGATTTTTTTAATATCTCGTTTATTTACTAAGATATGGGGGGTGGTAAGTTTTCAAATTGTCACCCTGTATATGTACTATAATAATTAATTAAATGTGTAATCTGTGGTATAACGCGCCTATTAAATACCTCACCGAAATGTAAGGTGTGGAGTCATTTTATTACTTTAGACTTTACGTCACTCGTTCATTAGATACCTACTGATGAAATAATTATTTTATTAATTTAAATATTATGCACTTATCCTGAACAATTTCATTGCATTAAAAAAGATAGGCGGTTTATACGGGCTATAAGTTTTGGATATAATTAACATACAGTATGTAATATAGTGTTTGTACTATAATTCTTAATAAATTATTATATCATCCAAATAATTAGTAAACGAGCTATTTATCTATAAATAAAAATTTGCTCATCTTACATCTATTTTATCATGCATAAAAATGAATATGACACCACAACTACTATACCTTGAACTTGCAACCCAAACTAAGTAGGTACATAATAATCCTTATAGTACTTAATTTACGGATGTATACCGCAGATAATTTTATTTTATCTGTGATCTTAATATTAACTGCTTTAAAGGAGAGTATTGGCGGTTGGCAATTTTTGAGGTACCTGTAAAAAAGGCGGTTATTTCTATACTATTACGTACCTAATTCGTATTATATCATTACTCTCATGTTTAATTAACTTTTGGGGTAGTTAATTATAATAGATGAATACTTTTGGAAATACTACACAGTGTATGTTTTCGGAATATTTGTACATTCGCCACATTTGACATACCTACCTCATAAGTCATAAGACCATAACCATAAGAATGGAACGCAAGTGCCCCGGTTATTATTTATTATAAGGTTACCTACAACTATTAACAAAGTTTCTGGTAGATGGTTTACCTATATAAAAGATTTTGTTTAGGTATTGCGAGGATGGACTAAGAAACGAACTTTTGGACTTCCTGTCCATCATACAGTTTTGCAAAGCTTTATTTTTTTCTTAAAACTTATCCTATATACCTACCTGTTTCAATGAATAGTATAAATTATACAGGGTGTATCTTTTCGAGAGATAAAACTCTTCAGAGAGAGAAAAAAGAAAATCTCAAAATGGCTCCCATAAGAAAAACTAAAGTTGCCACGTGTTTCTCCGTCACCTTAAAAGTTATTAAAAACGGGATGTCATATTCGAAATCTCCATTAAAAAGTGTCTGTATAATGTGTTGTAGAATGATTCGCCCCGGTTAATTCGCCTCCGTAAGATTCGCCCCAGAAAGATTCCGCTCCCGTAGGATTCGCCCCATAAGATTTATTAATCCTCGGAGGTAACAGGGCCGGCAGTTCATAAAATGAATTTTGTTTGATTTTAATTTTTTTTTGTAATAACTATGTATAAGTACCTACATAAAGGGTGTAGAATAATAGCACTCAAATACCTGTTAACTAAAATATGAATAGGTAGGTACCTAATTAGCTCAGCAGAAGAAGGAAAGATTGTCCTAGCTCAGTTATACAGGGTGGCCTAGCGCAACGCAGCATAATACAAAATACGGCCTGTTTGACTTGTACTTCCACGTACTTGATTGACATGTTAAATTAATAAACAAAAAATTCTGTCCAACCGTTCACTTTCTTATCAATATAATATGTTAATTTAGAGGATTTCAAGTGCTAGTAGTGAAAAAATAGTATATATACCACGGTAGAGAAGTCTATTATTGCCTTTCGCACCTTACACCCCTCGGCGCAATAAGCGCCTCGAGATGTAATCTTGGTGCTCAGACAATAATACTGTATTCTCTACCTTGATATATAATATGTACTATTTCGTTATTGTACGGCCGTTTATCCGTGTTCTTTTACGGAAGCGAAAATGTCAAGTGGCAACTAACGATGGGTAAATGACAGTGGAACGCTAAAATGTAATGTTAATATTTCTTTAGCAGTAAGTACAGCTACTTCATTTTCATTCTTGGCTTAGGTAGTGCTAGCTGTGGTCGAAATTTCAGAATGCCAAATGTCCTTGTACCTACTTAGGTACATTTCAAATCTAAGGTTCTAACTGCTAACCGCAGAGGAAATGATGTGGGAATTGTTCCTATTATGCAGGAGTCATTTACTATAGGTAGTGACCGACATAAATGCAAATGCTCGCCCTATAAATAAATAGCTTCACGGCTAAAATAAACTTTAAAGACAAATTGTTTCAAAGGACTTTCTGCACGAAGGTTTTCGAGTTGAACTGGTCAGGTGTGCTTATAACTGACGATTTCTTTATACTTATATGTAATAATATTAAGAATATCTAATTAAATTACCTACATCAAATTAAGTATAGGTACTGGTTTTATTACAACAATCATTGATCAACAAATTGTGAAGTGCGCTTGTCGCTAATCAAGGAAATGTTTTTAAGTATAAATACGCAGGTAGGTGCACCTATACTTCAAAGATTTTTGTTGACTTCCTTATTTTGGCACTAAAAATAGAAGGTAAATTCTCAACCTTTTCCAATGCTAATTAAACAAATTAGAATGTAAATTTCATAAAGATATTGCGCAACAAGCAGCATCCTAATATTATAGGTATAACTACTACCTAAATAAACTAATAAACATAAGAAATATACCTATATGTTTAAAATAGGAAGCGTAGGCATACCTGCATTGTTGGAATGAGATGATGTTCCATTACTCCTATTAGATATATTTGTAACATTGTCACTAAAATGTTTTACATCCGCCATCGTGTGTTTATACGCGAAAAATGAAAACTGAACAAAAAAGGAAAAATTTTTTTATTAAGCGATTGGCGTTTATTATTTGCTCTCTAGGTAGATTGTTGATCGTTTAAATCTCGAGTTTCCGTTCTCGACGGTCGACGATTGTTAACGTTTTTTGGCGACGGGAGCTTTTCTAGGTGCGAAATACGAGATGCTGGTTGCAGACGCACCGATCGAATCTTCTTAAAATGAGATGAAAACTAATCAAAATTGCGCATGCTCCTTTTTTGTCGAATCCATAAATTAGAACGTAGCGCGATTAATTGCGTTGTCCGTAATTCATATTTAAATAATGGGATTAATCCTCGGATTAATCAGAATACCGTTTACTTAGGTTTGTTATTTAATAACTATAAAAAAATTATTATTATCATTTTATACCCTTTTCCTGCGTGCACATTTAGGATGTTTTTGAAAACGAATAGAGTTCGCTCTACGAAAAGTTGGTTCAGCAGCGCAATTGAAATAATTAACAACAATGTGCGTTTTACGTTTGATCAACTCGCAACTGAGACGACCAATTTCTTCTGAATCTAAAGTCGTACTCGATATGTATGACCATTGAGTAAAGTGTAGGTAATTTATTATATTCAAATCAATTGGTATGACACATAATACAGTAGGTACCTACATTCTAATCAACTCGGCCGTGTTTCGTCGCAGCGAATCAGTCGAAAGGTAGGTAATTGAGGAAGTCAATTCAATAAACTTTTTACAAAATGTTAATAGATTTGTAAATGTTTGTGTGGCCTTTCAATTCGATTTGATGCAGCAACAAACATGCAATTTTGGAAGTCAAAGTTTCTTTTGACACCCTTTATTAAACCATAGACCCCATTCGAGCATATACGTTTTGCACAGTGTAGCTGTAGATTATACATAAGCTCATAGTTTGTTGTACCGCTAAAGCGAGTTTCGCTCAACTGTTTAGTGTGTTACCACAGCACTATGTAAATTTGTAAAAGACAACGATTCTTGGACGAATAACTGTTATTATTAGTCGTAAAAATATATCTGTGAAACATTTTTCAATAAGTTGGCAAAAGATGCCCAACTCTTGCTTGTGCGTCTTGTTTTCCTATTTGTGTTACCTTCATCAATTTCATAATTTTTGAAAATGGATTCAGTATTTTTTTAAACTACTTCGGACCTTTGTCTTAATTAGCACGCAAAGTTGTAACAATCCTCAACATCAATAATACCTACACACAGCTCTATAATAAAATATCTCTATATTTGTACGTAGTAAATTTAGATATCAATTAACAATAACTATAGATAGTGAAATGTATTTATTTCCAAATGCTACGATGTCACCAAGCATATCGCCTACCGGAACGTCCGTACGAGAACAACTTAAAGAAAAGGTGTACATCTGAAGAAATATATCAAACGGTACATATCACCGTCTGAAACGCTCCATTATGAAAAGGATTTTACATGTCGCATTAGCCGACGCATAATATGGGTACCTACTAATGAAATTAAACCCAAATTATTTTTACTTCCAATTACATTACAATTGTATTAAATATAAAAATCGACTCTTTTGTTAAACTTTGGAGCACAGTCACAATCCAGTCAAAATTTAATATGATGCGAATTTATGGTTTCCAAAGGCGTACTAAACCATCTTCACTATATGAACATATCAAGTTTTGGTTTGGATGATGGGCAATCCCTATTACATCCTTCTCATGAATCTGGAAAATTAATGATAAGACCGTTGCCATGTTTAACAAGAATTATTACATTAAGGGTTCTTTCTAATTTTCCTGAATTTGTAGAGAAACAGTACAAAACCATATCTTCTCCAACACAATAAATCCAATCACCTCTAGGCGATGTTGTCGAACACACAAAATCTCCACCATCTCTTTTCCCACTAGAAAATGATCTTACAATCTACAACATAGTGCGTTGAAATTGCAATTCACCCAATATGATAACTTTACTTGGCCTTGCAAATTCATTATCACTACACTATTGCTTCGATTACACACAACAAAGTGTTCAGGATTTTTGGGGAAGTTATGAATGTTATTTACTGTTATATCGGCAGCTCCAAGGGCTTTAAATGTGTTAATGCATTCTGTTGTTTTAATACTCCAAACTTTAACGGTACCATCCGATGATGCACTAAAATATAAATAACTAGAACCCAGCGTTATCAACAAAATTTTACCTCAAAATATTATGTCCATCTTGTGTAAATATTACTTCATTAACAAACGAAGTATGTCCCCGGAACTCCTTTAAGACCTTTCCCGATTTCAAACCGTGTATTCTGTATATTTCAAAAGGAATTATGATATTTAACAGTAGAATATCTAAATAAATGGGTACCTACCGAACATTATGATCGAATGATGCACTAAGGACCTGACTGTTATCGCGAGAAAATTGTAAACAAGTAATTCCTTTGGAATGTGCCTTCTCAATCTTGCGTAAACACTGACCTGAGCTAATTCTCCAGACTTTTACACGACCAGCTTGTGAACCAGTTACTAACATTTCACTATCACGTGAAAATGACATACATAAAACAGCATGTTCCATCATCATAAAGTTTTCTTGAGCTTGATATTTTAGATCTTTTCTTACTTTACCAGTGGTGAAATTCCAAACTTCGATAATTCCGTCAACACTTCCAGTAATTAAATATTGACCATCAGGTGAAAAACGGGCACACTCAACATGCGATTTTTGTCCAAATTTAATTTGTTTTCCCATTTGCGTCGGGAATTGTTCATCTTCCTGTTCTTTAATTGCCGCCTTACCTCTAAATAAATCGATGGTAGTACCTGGCACAAACAGTGAGGAAATAATTGAATACTATATTACTCTCATTCATACCAGGTGGTAACAGGCCTTGATGTTGTTGCCATTTGAGTGCCTGACCCAACAGAGCTAGTAAACGTGAAGAAGGCACAACCGAAACCTCTCCCGATAATGCATGCGAAATTGCAGCCCGCCTTTTTTCTTTGCTACTACCATCTGTATATGCTTCACGAGGATCAAAGTACGAACGTGCCAGTAAATTTTCTACAAATATTCTTTTGTAATCATACAATCATACAGTAGTCTTAAGCAGTCACAGTGTTTGTTTTTTTCAGTGATTAATAACAGGTTGAATCTTCGTGAGTAGGTGGGATTCGGACGAGACGGCCAGTTTTTCCTCTGTGAAAATTCTCGATAGAGATAGCTAATGATCTGCGCAAGTGTTAAACATCTTCCAGCGAGTCGTTCACCAGACATTTTAGGTAGCGCTAGCGCAGCGCTTCATCTTGTGAACGCGCCCTTTGCAAGTTGGAAGTAATGTAGTGAAGCAATTTGATGGCACCGGATTCTCAAATTAGGAATTTAGAGTAAAATTGGTATTGGAAAAAAATGAGGTGCTAGAAGTTCTTGAAGAAGCTTTCCCAACCAACGCAAATGACCTGGTGGTGTTCAAGAAAAAGGCTGTCAAAGCGCGGAATATTATTGTACAGTGGTTTACAGATAATGTGTTGGAAACAGTAAAGCATACGAGAACGGCAAAAGAAATGTTCTATGCTCTAAAGGCAATATACACAAAAAGAGGATTATCCATACAAGTTGATCTACAAAGGAAGTTACGTAATATGAAATATAATGGCGGCACTTTGAGTGATTTCTTCAAAGAATTTGAAAAAACTGTTGCAGAATTGAAGGACGGTGGGCATGCTGGGGGTTACTTTTTCGTGCACAATCAAGCACTAACGAAGGACCAACGCCTGGCCTGTAATATATCGTCAGTGCTGCCATTACCGTATGCTAACTTTGTGTTCCTCAGTTTAATAAATGTTTGCATAATAAAATGGTCATACAGTCCTACAAATTCAGTGGTACGTTTTCCCAGTCCTAACGCTTGGAAGTGGTTTAACACCCGCGTCAATCATTAGCCACCTGTAACGACAATTTTCGGAGGAGAAAAACTGACCGTCTCGTCTAATCCAACCTACCCACGAAGATCCGACCGGTTATTAAATCACTGGAAAAACAGAGGCGCTGGCTGCTGGAGTAGATATAACTCTCGCCAGGAAAGATTGCCGGTCGGAGCACACCTTATGTTGATCTGCAATCTATGTTTTTCTTAAGATACGAGCGACTTCCGGAATAGGATCGTGCCAATGTTGAACGAAAAGTCTTTTTGTTCAACATTGACATGATACTATCCCGGAAGTCGCTCACATCTTTAGAAAAACATAGATTGTAGACCAGGATCAAGTGTTCTGTGACCGGCAATCTGTCCTGGCGAAAGGTTTATGTTACCTAAATGAATGTAACGTTCTGGTTCATTTTGCTTCATCATAATCATAGGATCGGTCTGTCTAAGCAAAGATCGAGCAGCACCCAATTCTCGCAACTCAATTAACTCCAGAACAATTTGTTCATACAAATCTATTAGCTTTTTATCTGGTAGCTTTAAAGATTGAATTGCTTTTAATACAGTATCCCAATGACCATTATTAATGTCCGCACAAAAACCATCAACACTATCAACAGTGTTAAGCGAGACACCCGTTTCTTCCTAATAAGGATAAAAATACAACAATTAAACAAAACTCATTTAGGTACAAACCTGAAGTGTTTGTAATGTTCGAATAAGATTTGATTCTTTCAAGTATTGCTGTATAAGGCGAATTACACTAAAAAAGATGTAATAAATTCAAGTCTGGAAGGAAGGACATTATACTTACTCTGCTGATTCTATTTCGATAGACATTTTCGTTTTGTTTTTACTAAGTGGACTTTTTCATAAAATTTGATTCGTTCACAAAACAGGATCGTATCTTCAGACCATTGTTTATTAAATGAATAAACAATTATTAGATTTTATTACAAAAGACATAACCTACAAGTTCAAAAAACCAATATTCCAAGTTCGTGATTCACGTTAAAGCCACCGTTGTTAGCTAAAACGCCTAAATCTCCGTACAATCTGCGCATGCGAAAGAAACGTCAAAAAGTTGCAATTTGTTATTAATTAATGTAGGTTAAGTTATTGTGAAAAATGCAATAAATTGTTTTCATTACAGGCTATTATAATGAATAAACATATTAGTAATGTACATTTAAAGAATCATTCATAAACCGGACGGCTACTACGGTGATAGAACTGAGACGCTCCTACAGGCATAAGTATACAAATTTGCTTTCCAATAAGACAGCCCGATTGTAGATAACAACCGACACAAACAAGCCGTCACATAACTGCATTGTTTGTGCACCACATCAACGACCGACACTCACCGCGAGCAAGAAGGAATGGGCCATCAAAACCAGGCTGTATAAGTTCATGCACCAAGTCCCTGCATTAAATTTAATGTTTGCTACTTGTAGGTTTCAGTTCTTCGTACAAAGCTGCCTTGCAAGCAGTCCGATAGAGTTTATGTGCGATCGCAAACCTGAACAGGAGAGCAGTAAGGTCACAAAGTTTCTAACGTGTGCTGAAAGATTTCAATTTGTCTGAGCCAGAACAGTACAAGATCATATTGCAGTGGACAAGAGATTACCAAAACCATGGGATACAATCCTGACTTGACAGATAATGTGAATCGACCGTAAGTTGTTTATTAGGTAAGTAGCTACATACCTAATTGACAATAAAGTTTAATTTGTACTTGTGCTTCCATAGTTTCTGTAAAGAGAAGGCTGTATTGGGTGGCTCTAATGAAGTGATAGAAAGCCCTACTTTCAGTCTCTCGAGAATCTTCCCCATTTCTAAATCAAAAGGTTCTTCCAAAGAAGGAGGTGCTTATTACTAATTTATAGATTGTATAAAAAACGTTTATTTGATTTTTAAGAGTAGACATTAAATAATAATAAACTACACAATAATAAAAAGTGCACCTTAGTTATGCTGTACTTGAGCAAAAATAAAAAAAATTCTTATTCTTATAGTGAATTGGCCTTAAGAAATACAGACTGTAATAATTGACTGCAATGTGACTTGACTGATAATGTAAATCGGCTTTTATTCGATTATATCCCACGGTTTTGGTAATCTTTCTCTCGTCTATGGCAATGTCGTCTTGTACTGCTCCGGCTCGGACAACTTCAAACCGAAATCTTGTAGCATGTTACAAACTTTGTGATCTTACTGCCGTTGCATTCGGGTTTGCGATCGCACGACCACTTGCAAGGCATCTTTGTACGAAGAACTGAAACCTACAAGTAGCAAACATTAAATTTAATGCAGGGACTTGGTGCATGGTCTTATACAGCCTGGTTTTCATGGCCCATTCTTTCTTGCTCGCGGTGAGGGTTGGTCCATTGATGTGGTGCACAAACAATGCAGACGACCTGTTTGTGTCAGTTGTTATCTACGATCGGACTGTCTTATTGGAAAGCAAATTTGTATACTTATGCCTGTAGGAGTGTCCCAGTTTTATCACCGTAGTAGCCGTCCGGTTTATGAGCGATTCGTAGATATTTGAAATGTCTTGGGTTACGATTTGTAAACATGGGGCTTATACTGTCCTTTTCGGATTTTATACTGCTGCAGGGTGCAGCAAAACATGGCTGCGAGTTTAAATATACATTACGAATATGTCTATTCATTATAATAGCCTGTGATTAAAACAATTTATTGCATTTTTCACAATAACTGAATAACCCAACCTACATTAATTAATTATATGAGTTAATAACAAATTGCAACTACTTTTTGACGTTTCTTTCGCATGCGCAGATTGTACGGAGATTTAGGCGTTTTAGCTTACCGTCGGATTTTTACCATCTCTGATTTTTTACTCATATTTGCAGCAAATTAAAAATTTTATTGCTTTAATAGATGTAAGTTTTTAGAAATTATATTGAAGTGGTCAAAATATCTACCTACCCACCCACCTTCGTGTGATTTCTTTCCTTTTAAGGTAGGCATTTATTAATATACCTGTAATTAAAACCTAACCTCAACATTTATGGTCTGTAGTTGTTTACAGTTACTACTTTTTGCTCATTTTTTAGGCCAAGCTAACATGGATTTAGTCGATCTGTGTAGAATTACTGGATTGTCAGAAAAATTTCGTATTGCTATCAATAACATCATTCGAGATTTCTGTACTAATGAAGATGTTTCTGAATTTATATTTCCCTCGACACTATCAAATGAACAGCGTAAATATGTACATGAAAAATGCAAGCGGATGGGATTGTTAACTAAGTCACTCGGTAGGGAACCGAATCGCAAACTACACATGTCGAAACAAACAAAATTGTATTGCAAGACGTTTTACTTATTTCATCATGAAAATTCATATCAGAGCTGCACTTCTTATTTGAAACAGTATAGAGAAGCTTTTCATCAGATAAGCAATGAAGAAGCCAGCTCATTTTCTAATAATAAACTGTTGGGTAGGTTAAATTCTGGAGGTACAGTTACTGTCAATGAGCCTGTATCAAGTAAGTTTGACAGTTTTCGAAAAAACCTACCCATTTGGGCCAAAAAGGAAGAATTTCTTAATTTAATGCATTCTAATCAAGTAGTTATTATTACTTCAGAGACCGGATCTGGAAAAAGTACACAAATTCCTCAGTTTATTTTAGAAGACCTCTGTACAAAGCAGACACCGGGCAAGATAATATGTACACAACCACGTCGAATATCAACAGTTGCCGTTGCAGAACGGGTATCTGAGGAACGAGGTGAAACTTTGGGTGGGACCATTGGTTATCAAATCAAATTAAAATACGTGTGTAGTCCTCAATCTGCGTTAATTTATTGTACGAATGGAATCCTGTTAAAAACACTTATGAGTAATAAGAACCAAGAGTATTTGATGAATATTAGTCATATTATAGTCGATGAGATACATGAACGAGACAAGTACACAGATTTTCTTTTAATAGCCCTTAAGCAAAACTTGGATCATTATCCTCATTTGAAGATTATTTTAATGTCCGCAACGGCTGATGTAGATTTGTTTGCTTCTTATTTTAACGATGCTAAAACTTTACATGTCCCAGGTAGAAATCATTCCATTACTCAACTGTTTTTGGAGGATATTTTAAGTCGTATCAATCAAAATAACTCCCAAGGCACAACTTCACATTTTATTGTCCCTACCACTACACCGTCGACTACACATGATTTGATGTACGAATTTGATCTGATGAATGAGGTTGTTTCTAATTGTATGGAAACGGGCGACGATAGTTATTTTGAACAGTTACTACATTTAATCCTCTCTGAAAACAGCAATGTCAACCATCAAACCAGTAAAGGTTACACACCACTCATGGCCGCTGCTGCGCACGGCAGATTGGATATTGTAGAACCACTACTCAATTTAGGTGGGAATGTCGCTTTAAAATCGTACTGGGAAGGATTCACGGCGGCTAATTGGGCATGGCACTATGCAAAATTTGAGGTACATCATATGCTTCAAGCATACGAATCGATGTTATCAGAAAATGATGTTTGTGATGATGATCAAAGTGCAGCTCTTCTAGAAATGTACGATCGCTCTACATCAGATGATGTAATTGATTTTAACTTAATTGTAAAAATTATTGAATACATTCATCTTAACGATAATCGTGGTACCATTTTAATTTTTTTGCCTGGATACGAAGACATCATAATGTGTCAAGATGCTATTTTATTCTCAAAATTATTAAACGTAGACGAGTTTGAATTATTTTTACTTCACGGCAGTATGAATATTAACATGCAACAAGGAGTTTTTAAAACCATTCGACACAAGCATAAAGTTATTCTATCGACGAATGTTGCCGAAACCAGCCTTACGATAAGTGATGTTGTATACGTTATTGATACAGGACGAGCTAAAGAGAAGTCGTATGATTCGGTGAGTGATTCTAATTAACTACTTTCTCATATGCATAATGTTCTACTGTTAAAGGAATGCCAGTAGATTTTATAGTAAAATTGGGTAGAAATAGTGAATATATGATGAGTTAGAAAAAGTTGCATATTCCTGGACTGTGATAGTGATAGTAAGCCGAGGCGTTATTACAACCATCACAGTCCTTTTCCCACATGTTGTATACCGCAGTAGAGATTTTTCAGAGTACACATTGTTAATTTTAACTCCATTTGAAGTTGACTTGCTCTGTACAACTATCAGGTTCCAAGACCTGGCCTGTATTGCGAGGCATATGGTGCGGCAACACAGATGTATCCCAACAAACAGTTGATTAGAATCTTTACACAATTTATTTTGTATACTTTCCCTAGCTACCCATCGTACTCACTGAGTCATTTGGGTTACGTACAAACTGTTGTATACTACCGTCTCAAGTTGTACAAACAACAAAGCCTAGCAGTTAGTTTAAAACATATATTTGTGTAACACCGAATTTTTTCATGTAATACAGTATAGTAGGCTTATGCATATTGCAGATTAGTGGAACTTGCAGTTTGCAAAAAATTTGGATCTCCAAGGCTAACGTGAAACAAAGGGCTGGCAGAGCAGGTCGAACGTGTCCAGGGATATGTTTCCACATGTTTTCCAAGAGACGATATTTTTCCCTGCTTGACAATCAGATTCCAGAAATGCTTAGGGTTCCTCTTCATGTACGATTTTCTGAATTTTTTCTAAGAACGTCAAATATCTTTTTTTATTATTTTAGGAAGTTTGTCTGCAAACCAAATATTTGGCACCAAGTGGTGTAAGCATCGCACAGTATTTGAAACTAGCAATAGAACCTCCTTCTCCAATGTCTGTGGAGATGTCAATTCAGAATTTGAAAACGTTAAATGCCCTGGACAAGAATGAAGAATTAACTGTTTTAGGACAACATTTGATTCAATTATCTATAGATCCGAAGCTAGGAAAGATGTTAATCTACGCCATTGTGTTTAGATGTCTGGATCCTGTTCTAACAATCGTTTCATGTTTAGCATACAGGTATGTACTTGAAATGTTACTCCAGCAGATGTTAATATCGATGGAAATATGATAGGGATCCATTTGTCATACCACTACAATCAAACTTAAAGCAGCTTTCAATTAAAAAACAAAAAGAGCTAGGAGGAGATTATTTAAGTGATCACTTGATACTGTTGCGCGTTTTTCAGCTTTGGCAGGTAATTCTAAATTTTGCTGTTACTAGTGTCATCAACTCAAACACTTTTGTAGGAAGCTAGATCAAGTCAGAACAAAAAAGAAGTAACGGAAGAGTATTTTATCAGTTGGTCTGCGATGGAAATAATCTATGCCACCCGATCTCAGCTATTATCTCACTTAAGAGGAATGGGGTTTATTAGCATGAACAAGCCGTTTACTCTCCATGATCTGAATATTAATTCAAACAACTGGCCGATGGTGAAGGGCGCATTAGCCGCAGGAAGTTATCCAAACATTGCGTTCAATGTAAATCGTCATTATGCGACTAAGTAAGAGAATATTACTTTTAGACTATTTTATAATTCAACTTTAGGAACGAAAAAAAAGTCGTTTTTAACAAATGCTCAATTTTGAGCAACTTACACCCTCATACAAATAGAGGCACGGATTATTGCATAATATATGAAGAATTGTCCAAAACTGGTCAGCATTGTAGTATTAGATATGGAACTGTTATTACTCCAATTACTGTAAGATTGTATAATTAAGTAGACCTTTTCGTATTTATTCTTTCTAATATTTCAGGTAGCTCTAATGTGCGGAAAAGAAGAGATCAAAGAAGACAATAGTTTGGTTATAGATGATTGGTTGAATTTCCAACAAAGTAATGAGATATTAACCGAATACCGTTTGGCATTACATGAAATCATTAATAAAAAGATCTCCTGTCCAGAGTACACATTTAATGATGTAGAAAACAGTATCTTAAAAATAGTTTCCAAAATGCTGTCTGATGAAGAAAAAATGTGTCAACTAGCGCAACCCAATGATATAGGTGTCATTCCTAAATGTTTTCCAGTCTTTTCTAAAACATTTATGCACAACCATCACAAGAGAACAAATCATACGCACAATATATCGAATGTGGTTTTAAGTCGCTTAAATATTACGGCACCCTCGGCAAGTAGATCAAGAAGTGTTCAATCAGCTCCCGAAAATGTTAGTGGTAATAACTGGAATTACAAAATTAATGAAAAATCGCAAATTGTTGTCGAAAGTAAATCGGACAAGTTACTTAAAGCCTTAATACCAACAAATAGTTACATAAATGGCCGCAAGGTCACGCAAGATATCTTACCATTGCATAGCCTAGAGCTTCCAGCTAACACTGTATTTTTCATAGTGAAACCTCCTAACTATGAATGCTTGCAGAAGGGCATTTCGTCAAGTTCCTGGATATTTGCACCTCAATCGGAACGGAAAATTTTTAAATGTTTTGTTGTTAGTACACTCAAAGATTATTTCTTTGATTAAAATTTTATATTTTAGCAAGGGTTTTATATCATTTTATTTTTTAATATACTCAAAACAACCGAGTTTCAAGGTTTTGCTCGATTACTGAGCACAAATGGTGGTGATACTACCCGTCCTTGTTCAATTCAATGGTTAAGTACTACTATCGTATCTTTTGATATTATAAGTCAAAGGTTGGTATAGCAATTCCTAAAAACGTTACACGCTTAGTTGACAAGTATTTATTTTAGGAACTTGAGAAATCCTTACAATAACAACTATCTTCTTTTTAAATGTAGAGACGGACAAAGTGTCGAGTTGAATGTGGGCAAACAGTTATGCACATTATTTTTAGAAGAAATATCCATGTGTGAAAAAGTTAGCCGTCGACCAATCTTAGGGTCGATTAGAAACTATTAACATTCTTTAATAGCTTCCTTTCAACTACATAGCATAGTTTTCTCATTTGTGGACGTTTATGGTCTAAAGACTGAAAAAGGAAGCTATGGTGTAAGTACCTGATGTGAATATTTCAAGTAGGCGATATAGATATATTTTTATAAAAGATCTTAACATTATTTATTCTAGTTAGTTCATGTTTATTTTAGCTTTTTATTATAAGTTTTAAAAATTTTATGATAAAGGTTTTAAAACAATCCATTAGCAGTTGCAACGTGTAGGATCCTGTCATATCAGTTTTAAATTTTTATTTCTAACAAATTTGAATTGAATTTTGATTACAGATAGACATGTAACATTGAACCCAATTTCTGTTTTATTTTTGCTAGTCTTGTTCACCTTATGTTGTTTAATATTTATTCTATTTATAGGTTACATGTTTGTGATAAATATTCTAATAAATGTTTTAAGTATTATTTTCATTACAAATAAATATCGTTTTACTACATTTTGTTACTGTTATAATTTCCACTTTAATTTGTATAATACAAATTATGTTCTAACTGTACAATTGTATTAAAAAGGACATCATCGGAGGTCGCTCTGATGGCTAATGGTCACCTAGACAGTTACACTTTGTGGTAACTTCTGACTTTTTCGCAGTCCCTATGTTGTACGAGCATTGAGATCCACGTTGCCCTACGCTGTTTTTTTTTTCTTAGGAGGGGAAATACATTTACGCACAAAGTGTGGGGCTCCCCCGGATATTGGGTATACCCACTAAAACCCTTCCTTAGGCGTCAGTTGCTAAGATTTTATTAAGGAGTCCTATTTCTTTAAAAAAGATTAGCATATTTTTACACTTGTCGATACTTGTTAAGTTTGCCTCTACTGTTGCACAAATGTCGAGTCGCCTTCTTTAATGTTCGTACTGTGGGCACTGACACACTTGTGTTCCAATGACAGATAAACTTTACAGTTTTCACACTGGGGTCGGTTAGTTAGAAAGTAAATATTCATGTGTGATGGCAGTGTGGTCCCAGTAGCAATCTATATATCCTCACTAGGTCAATTCGTGCCGCACTTATTAAAAACATCAGTGCCAAATTCGATTTCACCTTTCTCAAAGCAGTTTCTGAGTTTGCCCATTGTCTTCCCCAGTACTCCCACATTCTCCATTTTACAAGGGTCTGTCGTGCTGTCTTTGACAGATGCAACACCTCCCGGTCTGACAAACCAAGTTCCGCTATCGCTTCCCTTGCCCTGATGCCCAAAGGTCTGCACCTATCAAGACGCCCCCTTCTTACATGTTCAACAAATTCCTGGTGGTTCGGATGTTCCCTATTTATCAGAATTTTGTAGTAATAATTATCCATCAGCTGCTTACGGCGAAAAGGAAGTGGGAGTATATTGGCGTCAACGTGTAGAACACTAGTAGGGCTAGTTCGGAAGACACCTAGGGCGTACCGTATGGCAAGATTTTGGATTCTATCTAGTTTGCCTAACGTTGTATCGCAGCATGTAGAATAAGCGTACGACCCGTAGTCTATTCGTGACAATATCAGGGCTTTATGTACGTCAAGAAGAGTTTTGGGGTTTGCTCCCCATTTGTGGTGTGCAAGCATCGGTAGTGTATTTAGTGACTTTCTACACGCTGTGATCAATCGTTCCAAGTGACTTGACCATCTCAGTTCGCTATCGAAAGTCATTCCCAAGAACCTGACTTCCGGTGTTACGTTGATAGGTCGACCATTCAAGAACAGTACAGGGCCATAATGGAGTTTACGGAGCCTGCAGAAGTGCAAGCAATTCGTTTTCTCCTTCAATAGGATAAAACCTACCTCATTTGCATCTCGGACACAAGGTTAACAGATCTCTGCAGTTTTCGTACAATTTCACCAATTGTCTTTCCGCTGCAGCATACCATAAGGTCGTCAACATACAGTGTGTAAAGCGATGGGGTATACAAGAGGGAATTTTTTGTTAAATATTGATTTATGAAAAAAATTTATTCTTCATGATATTTTTTGCTTGCTTTGAAAGTACCAATAACGTTTAGATAATCTAAAATTTATTTATAGAAATCTGGAAAAATAATAAAATTAATTTTTTTTATTGAAAGTTATTCTACATTATGATCAAAATAGCTTATAGGCGCGTACAGACCGAGTTTCCAACGCAAGCCAAGGCATATGTGGTTACAGATTTGGAGGTGTTGGGATTGGTGTGTACCGCGCAAGCCACCGGTTTCCAACCGCTTCCAACGACGCTGTTGGCGTTCGATTGCGTTCGCTCGGTGAGCGGTACATCAAAGGGAAATTTGATGTGGTCTGGACACGATTTGTCGCGATTTTAGTTTTTAGTCGTTTGTCTGCCTTTTTAAAATGTCCACCATCTTCATTTTGAAGATCCTCTAGTAAGTGACTGCCACTATACAAACTCCTATTTTTAAATGGCGTTGTTACCCACCAACGCCTAGGCCGTTTTTTCTTCTCTTTCTTTGAAATTAAAGAATTCATTATTAAAAACCCCGCACTCGCCAGCAGTAAATCGTCCTCGTCGCTTGACATTGTTTGACAGACCAGCAGCACCGGTTACCGAACCTTACCCAACACGGTCCCACCAAGTCCAACTCAAATCTTAAATTTTGGTGTGGACGAGGGCATTCCAATCATTTCCAACGACAAACGCCAACGTCACATGTGCTTGGATTCGTTGGCTTGGCGTTGGAATCCGGTCTGTACTCGGCTTATTGCTATCAAACCACGAACAATCGAAACGTTATTAGTACTTTCAAAGCAAGCAAAAAATATCATGAAGAATAAATTTTGTTCATAAATCAATATTTAACAAAAAATTCCCTCTTGTATACCCCATCGCTTTACACACTGTATAACCATCTATCGATCTGCTCCATATGCCATCGCTATTCAATTAATTGCAATGGCGAACAGAGAACAACTCAAAGTTGATCCATGTGGGACACCATTTTCTAACACATACTCGTCTGAAAAAACATCACCAATCCTAACGACGAATTTTCGGTTATCCATAAAGGATTGCACAAATTTGGGTAGGTTCCCTTGTAGTCCATATTTGAACATTTTTTCCAGGATTCCGTGCCTCCAAGTCACGTCGTATGCACCAAATATATCGAAAAATACTGCCACCAGATGTTCCCTTTAATATTTTATTACTCAACCGAACTAGATGGACAGTAGTTGACCGGCCTTTTCGGAACCCCGCTTGGTACGATTCCAATATTCCGTTTCCTTCCATGAACTCCTGGAGCCTCTCGTTAACCATACGTTCTAGCAGTTTTCCTACACAGGAGGTCAGACTTATTGGTCGATATATATATATGCGAATGTTTACATAAATGTGAGTACTGTATCATACGAGGATCTAAGAAAATGCAACATGTCAACCTTAACCATTACATGTTTTTAAAAGAATTTACCATTGAAATGCAATGATACAGTTACGTCTCGAGTTAAGTTATATAAATGACAGAATAACAGTATTTTATTTAACTTTCTTTGGTTTTCAACAAAACACAATGTACTTTTTACTTAGAAAACAAGATTTTTCAACAAAAAAAGATGCACAAAGACGAGAAATTTTTTACATAGTCAATATATCACTAAGTACATAATTTATCTTAAAAATACTTTTAGTATATAGGCATAGTTTTAGAATATTTTATTTACAGTATAGTTGAATTGTCTAACAGATAAGCAAATTTGTAACTATGTAGAACAAACATACATTTAAATTTTTTCTAAATTGATGGTATTTCTTTAACACAGAATTTGCTTGCATCACTACAAGTGTCTCCTAAAATTTACAACAAACCTATGTATAACTTGATATTGTTGTAAGTTGTAGAGTATGGACAATTCGCTAAGTAGTAGTTAACAATTAAGATAAAAAATAATTATGGCCGTTTGCACTGACAAAATTTAAGCGAGGCTTAGCTCAAAATCCAACGACTATTGCGACAATGGTTGCCATAAATTTGTCGATGCGAACGGTCATTAATCGTGTAGACTAGTTAAAAAATACCAAACTTTTGAGACTATGAAACATCTCATTGATGGAAATAGGTAACATATTAGGAATCTAATCAAAGTACATCTTATGAACTTAATAAAAAAAACGAGTGCTCACATGGTGCACATCATGTATACAAAATTATCACAAAATATGCAACTAGCAGAAAAACAATATCATAACATAAAAAGTTACTTTCCTAGTAAATTGCAAACCAGTTTGTTTGATAAAACGCTCTCTTAGAATATTCCTTGTACTATAATTTTTTAACATTGCTTTTTGTACGTACAGTCTTTGTTTGATTTATACCTTGCTACTACAATACATACTGGACCTCTTACAATACGAAGCAAATCGATAATTTCACTTGTACTCATATTTTCAACGGATTCATCGTTCACCTATAGATTGTATGTTGAAATAGGTATATGGCCACATAAATAATAGCAAATACCTTAATATATTAATACAGGCTACTACTTGCATTTGCGTATGGCGAAACAGGAAAAAGAGCGCTATGTACAAGGCCCAGTGTGGAATGGCGAAAAATAAAGGAGTAAATTAATTATATTACCAAGGTTATTATACCATTATACCATATATAATATCTGTGATATGTGGTATTACTAAATACCGTAACATCATTTATCCAGAACAATAACAAAGCACAAAGCACGTAAAACCATCAATAAAGTTTAAACCAAGTATGACAGCATGGCAAGTCTCTGATGACGGCTTACTTTTGACACTCCCTACCGCAACGTAGTGGCGCTGTAATTTGTGACCAGTTTTCAATGGCAGTTTCCTGTATTAATATATTAAGGTATTTGATAATAGGTAATTACCTTTAGTAAGCGATCTCCTGGTTTTAAACGTCCATCTTTTGCTGCGACACTATCTCCATGCACAGCACTAACATACGTATAACATGCAGCTCCTTGTAAACTGAATCCCAACCTGCTATTCCACCCACGATTTAGCTCAATCGACAATATCTAAAAATATTTGGTTATATTGGTCTTCTTCAGTTCCACTAGATTCACAAACCACATATTCACTCTCGATTTCACCATTCTCGGTAGCATGACCTTTATTCTCATCTACATTGAATACAATACCTTTCCATTTTTTAATACTGTTTCCATCGACAACTTTTTCGGTTGCGAAATTTTCATTACCACACGGTGGATGAGCAGATTGATAAGCTGGATTTTTATAACTAAACTCGGGACTATCGGAAGGAATATGTGGCATACTAACTGGTTGTTGTGGAAAAGTATCGCTACATTCTGCTTCCAAATTATTTATGTCGTCTTTTCCTAAATTGTAACTGAGATTAGGGGCATCCAGTATTTCTGGGTCTAAATTGTTGAGTTCGTAGGCATTATGAGCAAGTGAAAAATTAAATTTTGGTTTTCTAGTTATAACTGGTGTTCCTTTTGAGTTACATAAATCTAAAGAACTTGGACGAGACGGTCTATCACAATCATCGGAGTCTACAGAAAACAAAGAATTATAAAGATCTGCTTCATCGTCTAATGCCAGAGAGGGTTTCTTAAATAAACCTTCGTGAAACTGTTCATCAGAAATAAGATACTTGGCAGATGTGTCAGTTGCCTGTGAGGATTCTGATGAATAAGGTTGCCTACGTAAACGTCGGGGCGAGGTATTAGGCGAAGTGGAATGTAGATAGGTATCTTGATTACTTGTCTTACGCATGGCAATATCGTTTAACATATCTAGCGCCTCTGGCCTAAAACATTACGTAAGTCGCAATATGAAAGTAACATAGTGTATGGAATAGAATAGTGAGACTACTGTTCAAACACCGCAAACTTAAAAGAAGTCGCGTCAGGCTCAAGTCTACAAGGCTCATGTCACTACTGCTTGAAATCCAAATGTGATGCAATGCATCTGATGCAATACACTGTGTAAACATACAGCTCTAGTTACATGGTAGCACAGCAATGAAAGAAGCAGTTTTAATACATGCTCTTTAAATAACACTACAGATAATAGATACATAATAATGGTAGCTGACGAAAGCACAACATATATTCATTTCTCACAAAAAAAAACAGCTGCGTCACTTGCGCAGATTGTTTGTGGACAATATAAAATCAAAGCAGCAGAGAGTAAACATTATGTGTTGCCTAATGGTGCCAGGCCTCCACAATATCTAGCCAAAAGCGTCATCTTTAAGGATGCAACATAAGGTGGCAATTACAGTTAAAGGTTTTTCACATCTACCACTTTTTAATTCAGTTAACACGAAAATCTTGATGTTCAAACCCCATATTCTCTGTAAGGTCATCTCGCTATTCTATTCTTTACACTATTGTCACGATTATAATGTACTTACCTGAGATTTGGCTTTCGAATTAGAGAATTTCTTGGTGTAACCTCTGATGGAGATAATGTTGATAATGGTGTTTGGACTGGATCTCGATAAAGTCTTAATATGACTACATCTCCGGCTTGTCTCAAATACTGTACAGCTTGTTCATGAGTCATTGATGAAATTTCTACATCATTTACCTTAAAAAAAGTAGCGTAAGAAGATAAAAATGTTACAAACACATACTGTAATAATTTTATCGCCAGCACGAATTCGTCCATCTGACAAAGCCGGTTCCCGAACCAACGCTCTCACATAATGACCCAAAGCACTCTCATCTTCTTTACGTAAAGTAAATCCTAATGATCCATGTATTTTTGTAAGAGTGATCTCAAACTCCTGCGGGCAAAAGCATTACTTGGTATTTTTTAGATGAGTGTATTAAGATATATCTCTTACTCCATGATACAGGTCGTCTTCGGGCGTGGGTTGATAAGGAGGTGGTGTAAGGTTGAGACTGTTAGGCGGATCCCTTCGTGGGGGAGGGGGAGGAACTTCAGAAATAGGACTTACACAACTTAAAACATCTGGTGGAGGCCTACAGACCGTTAATTCCACTTGACTAGATGCGGTACGAAGTACTTCAAGAGCTTCCTACATACATATTTCACTATATTTTCTTATAGAAGACGTTTTATTTACTTACATAATTTGTTAAACCGGTAAGCGTAATTCCATTTACTTCTAAAAGCAAATCTCCTACATTAAGTAGGCCACTTGTCGCTGCAGGTTGATGAGGAAACAGTCTTTTGATACGAATTAGACCAGGCCATGAATTTCCACTATCAGTCCCACCAGAAACACTTAAACCCAAACCTCTTGATCCTTTTGTTAAGGCTACACTAAAGGTGCTCTCTGATAACAAATATTATTTACACAAACAGATCAAGTAGCCTTGAGGAACATCAGTTAGCCGTGTCTATCGACTTGAAATCTTGCATTCGCCCACTTTTGAAAAGTCTTTGTGAAACCAAAAAGTGCCAAAACACATACTGTCCTTGTTTAGATATGAATCCAACCAATGAAATTGCAGTTTTGTAGGTAGAATAATGCTGAAATAAGTTAAGTGTACATGATTTTGTGCCTTGTTCGAATCCCAATTTACTAAGTTTGTAATTTTAGTTATGAGCCACGAGTGTCCACAAGAGAGGTGTATTACAATAGGTCGCATTGTAACACTTGTCTTTCAATATACTAATGTAGTTGTGATCAAGTAGCTCGAAGGCAATTTGAATGTCTTAATTTCATAGTTTCAGGAATAAGTACCTAGGTTTCTAATATCTTATGACTAGATGGCAAAAAAGAGCTCACGAAAAGGAAGCAAACGCGCCGTGAATTTAGGGGATTTGAGCTTTGGGCACTCTTTTAAAAGATCGTTAAACAACGTTCGCATGCTTGAGGGAAAGTGCGTCAAGATCGCAAAGGGAAAATGCGTGAGTCTCATGTTAAACAAAAATATGCACAAAACAAAAGAAGGAATCCAAAACAAACCAATTTTCAATTTTGTACCAATTAAAATTTACCATAATTTATAATTGTTTAATATATAACATCCAAATTACATTGAATTGATTCTGTAAGAGACCACAACAATTTTCCTGGGGGAATTTAAACAATTTAGTGTTTAATAATGAAGCAGTGTACATTAGGCATAAAGGATATTGTAGGACTGTCAAAAACGTTGTCTTTAAGGTAGATTTCTATCTATCTACCTATTGTAATGGTACCAGTATGTTTATAGGTCTCGTTATAGGTTTATACAAGGTGATTCGGGAAGAAATGGATATATTTTCAAGACATGTCTAGGAAGCTAAAATAAGCAAAATAAGCTCATTTGTTCAAATTTTCATTTGTTTCAGAGATAATTCTTAATGCTGCGGCGTTAACGGGAGCAAATCATTGTTCACTGAAGCTGGCTACCAGGTCCATTCATAAACGAGCAAATAAATGTATTGAAATGGGTGCTGGAGTTTTCAAAAATGTAACGTGAATTAATGCTACTGATTTTTTTGTTTCCAAGTTCAATAATACATTTTTCTTGAATTTTATAAATTACTATTTTTCAAAATATCTCTGAAATAAATGAAAATCAGATTTGAACCTATGAGCTTATTTTTGCTTCTTGGACATGTCTGTAAAATATTTCCTCCTGAATCACCCTGTATATATCACTTCCAAGAAACATTCTAACTTTTGTAATCATGAACCGATTTCGACTGAACTTTAAGAGACTCCTACATTTCTCGGTCAACTTCGTGAATTCCGCATTCCGCCATATTGGAACAAAATGGCGGAAAGAAATCTGCCTACACCTGATCGGCCGACCCGAAAAAGATTTTTTTTATTTGGATTGAGCTAAGGAAGCTGTTCTGCCAAGAATTTGAGACCTGGTTTTCTTTGAAACTACAAAGGTGTTCCACATAAAGTAAGAAAGACAGTTTTAAAAATGATAAGCGAAATTTCAAGCCAAATAGGTTGAGTACTTCTCCACGAACAGATAACTGACAGTCCTCCATGATTCTTCCGTGTAAAATTCAACCATGATGTCTAAAAATCCGAAGAAATTAGCAAGTTTAATAAAATTGATGGTGTATGTAGGTATACACAGTGAGTGACCAATCCAAAATGATCCATTTGTAATAATAGTAATAATAATAAGGCATTTATTGAAAATAATGAAAACAAAATTATACATGTTCAAGATTAACAAAAATAAGGATCACACATTATATCTGAAGAGAACTGAATATTTTAAAAACTGCACGCTCGTTGTTTCCAAATGGATTAAGTTCAAACAAGTAAGTACAGAAGTTTGAATATACTAAATAACATTAATTTATTATGGCATCGCAAAAGTGAAATATAGTATTTTTAACGGGACAAATAAATTCTAATAAAAACAGACGCTTATCAAGATTAATTTTGATTTAAGAGGTACATACATACATTATGACTAAGTAGTTTTTGAAGTTTAGTTTTAAAATTTTGTATAGCAAGTTCTTTGTGTGTCTGAAAACCGTGAGAGTCAGCGTACCGATCTGCTTTTATTAAATATTAGGTCTATCAAAAATAAAATTGATGAGTTTAATATTTTTCTTAATCATTGTTTATTTGTTATTTCTCTGTCGGATGAGGAATCAATTGCTTTGAAAATCCATAACGACTTTAAGATAATCTCTGCCTTTTTGAGATTGAAGTACGAGATGCTATTAGAAGTTTAAAAAATATACATACTCCTAATACCTTTGGAATCACAATAACAACACTGAAAGCAACAACAAACATAACTGTAGGGCCACTAACGAAATTAATAATGTAATCATACAAACTGGGCGCTTTCCGGACATTTTTAAAATGGCTAAGATGATACCGATCCCAAAATGTGAACCGGCTACCTTTTACCAATTTTGATCCTTCCTGTTGTATCAAAAGTGGTCGAATCAATCTTAAAAAATCAAATCTGCAAATATTTTGAAGTAAACCATTTGTTCAACACCAACCAATTTGGATTTCAAGCTGGAATGTCCACCACTATGACCATAAACCACTTAGTAGGAATGATCGTAGATGGTTTTGAGGCTGGTTTGTGCACAGTCTCCATACTCTGTGACTTGCAAAAGGCATTCCACTGCGTTGCACATGACATACTGATCAATAAACTAAACCACTACACATTTGACGCCACTAGTGTAGAGCTTATTAGCTCATATTTATTTTTCGAATTTTATACTTTTGAAAGGTTTAGATGTGTTACTTGGCGTTAGCGTTACCCAAGGATGCTATACAGAGTGGCCCAACGAGAAGTAGGTATACAGAGGGCTTTTAGGGTATTAAATTTAGAAATTTCGAAAAATCCTCGAACACGTCAATTTTGTATTCGAGGGGGACAACTTTTGGAATACAAATCAAGAACCCAAGTCTTCACCCCTCTACGTAGGGAGCTTAACCCCTAAAATTTTAAATGGACTCCTATGGCAAATGGCACATTATTTGAAAGCCAATTTAATCGTGATTACTAATCTGCTTTGCTTTTTAAATTCTATTGATTCGTTTCGGAGATATTCGCATTTGAAAGCTAAGTTCCGCTTAAATTTGTCGGTGCAAATGGGCATTAGATCATTATATTCCACTGTGCCTATAAAATTTTGACAACATATTAACAAACACTGTGCAGGCTAATAAAAGTACCTAGGTACATTAGGGAGATAAAATATCTGACACTTTCAGCAAAGACGGATTTTTACACATCCTGATTGGATTAGTAAGAAGAATATTATAGTCACAAACCTGGTGTTATGAAAGGATAACACGTATGAGAATCCATGTAATGTAAGAATGCTCCGTCATGTATTGCTGATGTATATTCCTCTTCGGGCGATCTTTCGGATCCGTATCCTTGGTCGCACTGCAGGACAGCTTGAGTATCGGAAAATTTCCAATGCAAAGGAGCCGCATTTCCTAATGATGGTATGCGTTCCACACCATGTAACTGCGAGTTTTCGCAATCATGATGATTATTATTGCACGAGTGGGAATTGCGATCATCTAAATAACTGGGAAGGCTACCGCACATCTTGTTATCCGAAGAAGCATGACGATCTTTTGAATTACAAATACTACCACTTGATTGCGATCTTCTACCATGCAAACCTTTGGAGGAATGCCTACTTACGTTGGCTCCCATTCTAATATCATGGTCGACCCAAAGGCGACGCTTGTAGTTCGCGTCGTCTACTTTGCGTTGGTTACTGTGATTTGAAGTCTGTCCTAAAACAAAATAATACAATATGTAAAAAACATTTCCGTTAAATCCTTGAAATTAAAAATTTGCAGACTTCCTTTTGGTAAAAGAAATTTTTATCTTCAGGCGAGTTAGTAACTAGTAAGTAGATAGTATTTATTACTTACATCCTTCTTTGAAAATACTTCTGGGGTAATTTTATGCTGTACATGAAAACATGCATGCTGCATGCATGTAATTTGAGGAGATACAAATTCCCGCCACTTTTACCTATAACATATTCTTCCTAACCTATCCTGATGTGAATGTACCTACACATAAGAAAATATTATCTCACACGTCTTCATCAGTGGCACATTATCCATAAAGGTACAAGTACAATAGAATAGAACACTGGAGTATAAGAGTTGAGGAATAAGGAGAGCCTAGATAGATGCTTGCAGATAATGAAGAATTTAATTGAAATTCTAAATTCCCAACTGTATCTACAGCATGTCCCTGGTTCGCCTATACTGTTTAAGAAAAATGCATTCTTCATAAGTTTTTACTTGTTCTAAAATGGTTATTTCCGTTTAAGTATACCCTCGAGCCTTCAAAATTCTTCTACTGTTTTAGAAAAAACTACAAAAATACGAAAATATGCAAACTATCGACCTATATCAATTATATGCAATTTTTCCAAAATCCTCGAATCCATAATTAGTGAACACATTTTATCCATTGTCCGTAACGAAATATCTTCATGTCAACATGGGTTTATGCCACAGCGCTCAACAACGACAAATTTAATTGGTTTTACACAATTCATATCAGAAAATTTAGATCAAAGGCTTCAAACAGATGTCATTTACACTGACTTCAGTAAGGCGTTCGATCGATTGAATCACAACATTTTAATTCAAAAGTTAAAGAAATATAATATCCCTAACAACATATCGCAAGTTATCAGATCATATTTGTATCATAGACCTCAAATTGTGGCTTATAATGGTCACCAGTCCACATCGTATGTAGCAAGCAGTGGGGTACCCCAAGGGTCCAACCTAGGGCCAACACTATTCCTATTGTTTATTAATGACCTACAATCAGTTGTGAAGGGTCCATGTTTACTCTATGCCGACGACTTAAAACTATACAACACTATACATAGTAAGGAAGATTACCATACTCTCCAAAATAACTTGGATAACGTATCCCAATGGTGTGTTACTAATAAACTTCAATTAAACCTTAAAAAATGTACTTGTATGACTTTTGCACGTGTTGAGGACAAAATAATGTTTAATTACTCAATTAATGGTAATGCATTAAACCGGGTTTCGGTAGTGCGTGATCTTGGAATACAGTTTGATGAAATTTTGTCATTTAATAATCATGTATCGCAATTATCTTCTGAGTGTTCGGAAATAATGGGATTTATAATAAGGAATGGCAAACTACTACAAATTAATACGCTCATGACTCTTTTTAATGCATATGTGATAAGTAACTACGGTAGTGTAGTTTGGAAGATTTATAAGATATCTACTGTTTCGAGAATCGGGCGTTTATCCGAATAGAACCGTTAGCAATGCGGATCTGCTCAGTGCCTTCAATCTTATTTCAGTGGAAAATCGTCATAATATAGTATCTATAGTTTACTTGAGCAAACTTGTGAATTACCAGATTGATGACCAATATTTCCTGTCTTTGTTACAATTCAATGTACCTAGACTTGCTTCATGAAGTAATATTACATTTACTTATAAGACATGTAATACAAATCATCATATGAACTCTCCCCTTATCAGACTATGTAGACTGTACAATTCCCTAAATAGCGACATTGATATCTTTAATGATAAAGTAAGCGTTATAAAAAAATTCCTGTATCAAATGTATTCCGCGAACAGTCAATGATAGCTACGTATGGATATAGCAGTGTAATATCTTTGTTACCCAAACACTGCAGATGTCATTTTTAATAATGGTAGATAACTGGTAGCTATTATGGCTTTTTCTCAAATAATTATAATTTCTTTCTAGGTACTTGAAATAATATTTTTGTTATAATTGTGTCATTACATAACAGTATGAAGCTAAATTTCAGTGTGAATGGATGCTCTCCTATTTTATGTTACCTTTTTTTTTGTTCTTACATGTTTTAAGTTTAGTATGCATGTGTTTACTAGCACGTGCCCACTAGGTAAGATTAATTGTGATGTTGCTCTGTAACTGGCTTTGCTGTTGAGCAATAAATATATATTTATTTATTTATTTATTTATTTATTTATTTAAAATATGGTTGATTTTTACCAGTCTGAACAGTCAAAAGGCGTCTCTATACCGGATGGTGACTTGACGAATGCACCATAGGAATTTCCGAGGGAATGTCAATAGTAATTTTTTCATTTCCGATTATTGGCATCCCTAATTATTTTAGAAAAAGTCTATTTAGGTCTTTTGTAGAGAAAAAAATTAAGAATCCATTATACTAAGCTTTTAATTTTTTTAACTTTGAAACCAAGAATTTGGATACCTAACTAAAAACTGGCGCGTTTAAGAAAATCAGTGATGCCATGGCAGTTTGAGATCAAACAAAGCTAACTAATGGCAAATGCAGGCGCTTTTGTTTGATTTCATAATTCCATATGGCATTACCGAGGGGTTAATTGTAACAGTATTGCGCGAAATCGATGCGATTTCGCAAGGATTTCGCGCAATTGTACCTAAGGGATTTAGCGCATTTCCAAGAGATTTCGTGAGATTGTAAGGGATTTCGCGAAATAGTTAGGGATTTCGCAGCTTTTAAAAGATTAGGAAGATGTCCTAGGGATTTCGCGAAATAATCGGCGAGTGCTAGAACCTGCAACAGATTTCAAATAGCTTTTGCTCTTCGACTATAATCAAAGAAACAGCCTCCACTGTAGGCGCAAGAAATGTAACGATTTCGCAAGCGATTTCGCGGATTTCGCAAGCGATTTTGCAAGTTTTAACGTGATTTCCAGTTTTTTCAAAAATTTCGCGATTTCGCAAGGTAGTGAGTAATAAACTCACTGAAAAAAAATAAATTCCTCAACGGTGCACAAAAAAAATTCAATACAACCCAATTTTTAATTTTTTAGCTAGTCTTAAGGAAGTAATAAATAACCGAATCTTTAAGGGTTTCTTTCCCTTATCAATTGAACTGATCAAAATTACTTAGAATGAGATTTGTGACGGTCGATTGTAGAATACTGAACTTACGAATTTATATGAAACTTCACAGAAAATTAAAAAAATGAAACTATAACTAATAGATGTAAGAAATGAGGTATCTCCCCCCCCCCTTCCTCCTTCCCGCCCCCTTGGTTGAAATCCCCTCCAATTAGGGTCAAAAATAGAAATAAATAAAATGCATTTAGTCAACACCGCCAAGTTTGATCATTACTTTTTTCGTTGATTTTTTGGACTACTTTCTGAATTGGATGCAGTTTTTATCCTTCTCACTTACATAGGTACATAGCGATCAAAAATGAGTGACCGTCGAGTCACCTTTGGAATTTTTGTTTACATGGGAAATCGTACTTAACTCGAACTTCCAAAGGCGACTCGAAAGTCACTCATTTTTGATCGCCCGATACCTACTGCTTGTACTGAAAACGTCCCTTCAGCGGTCTCTTGAGTCTTGTGTTTCTTCAATGCTTACTACATATAAATTATTAAAATGTTGAATTTCCAAAGCTGGACTGTCAGTTAAGAATTATGTTACATGCCCTGGTAGAAACGGACAAAACTGATACCTATGCATAATTTTTCTGTCACTTTCTTCAAGATAAAAATTGTGTAGCTGTAGTGTTAAGTTGTTCAGAAATTCATAATGTACATTTTCTATATGAACTTCCAAGTGCATAATATGTATGTACATACTTAGGTAGGCAAGATATAGCCATTGTTTAAAGTATTTAAACAATGATATAGCTTTTAACAAACTCCTACTTCTCGTCGCTCCGCATCAGATGTTATGTACTAGGTACTGTGCTGAGCCTGAGATTCAAATTCAAATCAGATTATATTTATATTATTTATTTATTATTTAGATTATAATTATATTAGTCATCGCTCATCTGAAACCTATCATAATTATTTCGAACAATATAATCTTTGCGTGTGTGGGTAAATTGCGAGTAAATTGTGAGTTAACGTGTGTAACCCCCTTTATCTTACGCCGATCCTTAAAAAAATTAAATTATTCCTTACCCTTTACGTTACTATAACTGATCCCAATAAAATAATTGAAATGTTTAATAAAATTAGCGATTTTACTTTAATTCATTCCGAGTTCATTCGTAAATAATATGAGAATCGGTATTTATACTTTAAAAAAACTGCCAGATTGTTAATAAATTAGCTTAGCTCGTATGTATCAACGAACTCATCAACCGATATACAAGAGAACGCTAAAGATAAAAGATAATGAATGCAATGCAAAATGGTAACGTACCCTTATGATCTTTCCACCTGGTTTGCGTGAGTTTCTCACATTTATTCCTTTCGCTCACACCACTGTCACAGATTTAAACAAAAATATTGAAACAACTAGGTAAATAAGCACTCCCATTTTATTTTTTCGTATAAACAATACAAAAACGAGGTGAAAGAGTGCACTGATGCGACTGCGACCGGCCGCTCGCTGGAAGAACAAGGTGCAGAGGCGAGGTCGCCCAGCTCATGCGCCAGCGCAACGTGCAACCGGGGTACCGTGTTTTGCCGTCACGAGAGTATGCAATCGACTATTTCAGTATTTGAATTTTTGTTTGTTATTGTTAATTTCAATCCTCGTCGTTTTGTTTTTGTCATTTTGTGTATGGTCATCATATACAATCGCAATCTATACGGCTCGCAAGAAAATTATAGATTGACACGAAACACGAATTACTTTGAAAATTTAAATTAACAATGCAACCCTCTACGGCCTACTCGTAGATACATTAGATATATTAATATATTATGTACGAAGGCGTCTAAGGGACACAGTATTTTTTTTGTTTCCTATACATTCCAACGCAAAATTTTGTGTTATAACCCAAAATTTTGCTCTATAACACAAAATTTTGCGTTACATCGCAAAATGTAGTATTATAATGCAAAATTTTGCATTAAGAGTCTTCTTTACCCAAGCGCAACTTTTTTACATTATAGTATATAGACGATTATAGTTGCAAGAGACAAGATGGTATTTTTGCTTTGTCAACTCCTGTCTTGGTCCTTAGTTAGTTTCCGCCGACACTGAGCAGCGGCGCCACTTGTTAGTGTGGTGTCACACTATGCGTTTTTACCGCTCCCGCTAAAACGGATGCGGTTTGACCGGATGAGATCTACTTGTCACACTATTCCGGTTTAACGGGATGCGTTTTTGCTATATTTTGGCAGTCTAAGTAGTGTCATGTCTCAATTATTGTTAAAGATGGTTTATGCGCTTAAGGCGGAGGGGCTATTGCGAAAGCAGATATATCGTCAATATTAGATTGATCCTTTTAATTCAGGACGAGAATCTAATTAGATTCGCGAAGTTTTATGAAAAAATTCGAATGAACAAGAAAATTTTTTTTGTATATTACCGAATGTCCAAAAATTCAATTTCTATCCATGATTTCTCCCTTCAGTTTTTATCTATATACTCTTTAGATTGTTTTTCCCACAGTGCAGTTTTTGCATGCACGCATTCGATGAATAAACCGACATCAAACATTGTAAACCTAACAAAACACCCGGTTGCAACGCTCAGTGGGACAACTGATGACAACCAACGTGTAACAACACATGGTTTCATGTCATTGTGGTTGTCATGTTATTCTACGCAGCGGCAGCAGGATGCGGTTGCATCCGGTTGGTGCGGCGAAAACGCATATATGTGACTGGTATCATTTAATAACGTGTGATATTACCATCCCGTCAAACGGGAGCGTTTTAGCGGGAGCGGTAAAAACGCATAGTGTGACACCACACTTACACTGAAATTGTTGATTTACCGCCCGCCAAGATACAGACTTTATTTACAAAAAATATGATTTCATTTTTTGGGGTAATGTTTAGAGGAACTTATCTAAAATACTGTCGGTTTACTTTTTCCATAAATCGTCTTGATCGCGAGTAAAAAAATGAAATAGATTAGCGCAATAATCGGCGCAAAACAGCTAATCTTTTAAACAATCGATATTCAGTTGCTTTACACTTTTTTAAAAAAATAGTCCGAACATTTTGTAGATAAAGGTCTACTTTTTTTTAAAAACAACTAGAGTTTTTATGGCGGGCGCTCTTATGGAAATTTACATTGGGTGCAGTGGGTATACAGAAGACTCTTAAAGTACAAAATGTTGCGTTATAACACAAAATTTTGCTCTATAACACAAAATTTTGCGCTATAACACAAAATGTTGTACTATAATGCAAACATTTGCGAATAACACGTCATATTACAACACAATTTTTTTCATTTATAATTTTATATCCCAAACAAAACGGGTGACCGTTCCCTGCAGTCTGTCCCTGGAATGCCGTTATTCGCATATGTTTGCATTAAAGTACAACATTTTGTGTTATAATGCAAAATTTTGTGTTATAGAGCAAAATTTTGTGTTATAACGCAAAATTTTGTACTTTAATGCAAAATTTTGCATTATAATACAACATTTTGCGATATAACGCAAAATTTTGTGTTATAAAGCAAAATTTTGTGTTATAACACAAAATTTTGCGTTGGAATGTATAGGAAACAAAAAAAAATACTGTGTCCCTTAGACGCCTTCGTAATTATGAAAGGTATAATGCAATTATTATTGTAGGGTAGGTATACGCGGGTGTAATAAGTCGTATACCGGGTGGTGCATTATGGTAAGTAGGAACATAGGGACTTAAACATGGGAAATTAGTTTTATGGAATATGCTGCCCTCCTGTATATTTTACAGAAAAAACTGTACAGTTTAAAGTTGTTCAGAGTTAATAGGTGCATACAAAACTGTTTTTACATGTTTTATTAAGCTTTTGGTATACCCGCAAATTTAAAAATAAATTTCAACAGTTCTGTTATTGGTAGCAATATAGCCATGACTTTTGTTGTTTTATGAATTGCTATTAACAGAAATGTTGAAAATCTGTTACAGAGCGTTTGGAATTTTAGGTCAGAATTATCTAAATCATTCTTCTGTAGATATATGGAGTGAGGATTTGTATACTGGGAAAAAGTTAAAATTGAAGAACTAATAGTTATAGGTTTGTAGCGTTTTGTGTATGGTCCTTTTTGGCCTGATGGGATCAATATGAAGCAATATTATACAGCAATATTATAGATACCTACCTATTAAAGACTTACCTCCACGCAAATCTAATACACAATCTCTTCCTTTTCCTACAGTTGCATTACTGTATGGAGTTCCAAGCTCATTTACTAAATACTTGGATCTAGACATAGGCTTTTTTTTCACGCTCACAGGTGAACTAAGATCGTATGCACATTTTTCGCGGTTATGCTTGTGTAAAATTTGAGAAAACGAACCAAGATGTTTATCTTCGCCTTTTTCATGAATAATCTTAGTCTTTGGATTTACTCGTTGACGTCTTCTTCGATTTTCATATTTAAAACTTTCCTCTATAATTAAAGTTCCAGCACTACACGTACGTGTTTTATACCTCTTGTGAGTCAAACAATTAACTTCCGGTAAAACACCACTATTGTTCAGGAAATGTTTATAGCCGTTGTGTTCTTTCGTCAGGACTCTCCCTTGTTCTTCATTGGACAGGGATCCACTACTACCACTAGTCGCCATTTTTACACTTTCGTCATTCTGCTTAAGAATCTTCCGAAAAAGGACATCATCTCTAGCATTTAGTTGACAATGAAAATCGCGAACAGATCGACTTTTCCGTAGTGAATCTTTTGCCATGGGCTGTTGTGAAAAGTCACTGCAACACTTTTGGAGTGAAATCGCATTATTATTATCGTTTCTTTGCACCTTGCTCTTTCGGGTGCTCACAAAACTATTATGAAAAATGTCACTTTTTGATTTTTTTAATTGTCTTAATTTGGATACTTCTGTATCAACGTCAGAACTATTCCAACTACGCCTTTGCAGAGAATGGTCCTTAGCTTCTAACAATAATTCCCCTTTTGAATTATACAATTTAATTGTAGGTAATATTATTTGGGGAGAAGATTTAGATGTGGAGAGCTCCCAATTCCAACTTTTTGGTTTCTTCAATTGCAAACATATAACATCGCAGGCGTTCGAACCGTTCTGTGTTAACGTTCCCATTGCTTATTTGTTTTTGAAATACTGCAACGAACCTTTAAGCTAAGAATTCGATTTTTTTATTTGAACGGTTTTTGACGTAGGTAGTTATTCTTTTATTTGGTATCAACTGAAACTGAAACCACCTTTTAGCTTTAAGTAGATATAAGCACAAGTAAATATTGAAGTAGGTGGTACATATAAGTAGGTATAACGTAGGTCGTAGGGGCGTTTGCATAATGCATATTTACCACAGTAGTACAAGTTAGGTATACCTATACTTAATATTTGTTTTGACATATCAGTAAATGTGAAGCAGATACATGTGTGATATGCAGTATATGTCTCTCCTCTAATTAGGTAGGTAGGTATGGCATCTATAATTCACTTTACTCACACTTTATGCACACATTAATCCGGACATACCAAGCGATTTTGCAAAATCAACTGATTAATATAATGTAAATCTGCCGTCTTCCCTACGCGAAAATATTTTTAGCTGTAAACACGAGTAGGTTGTAACAAAGTGAGCACGTAATCTGTCCCAACCGAAGCTTATTTTTATATACACAAGCTGCCTTTTTAAAAATAGAGTAGGTAGGTCAATTTTAATGAATGCTTCGACAGCAGTAAGGTACACATACCTACGTTAAAAATTCACCTTTTGAAATACAAATATATCTATAGGTAGGTACTTATACGAGTAGGTATTACAGGTAGTCCTTGCTCTTTCTAGAACAATTGGACAAATCTTCAAAATAATTAAGTATAAATCTATCTTTCATGCAATTGTTAAATAAGCATAATTTGCTTTTGGTTTTATTTGAACTTCCTCATCAAAAGCAAACATATTCATTAACATATTTCTTAATAAACTCTCATAAAACATTATGATGTGATTATGAAACAAATAAATAGGTACTTATTCTCTATTATTGTACTATAGAGATCGTTTTTTTTTTCGACGATTGTGCCCAATTATTAGGATTCACCAACAGTTTGCTAACAATTAAGCTCTGCATATACTACCATTTGTATATATATAGATACTATACCTACAAGGTTGTGATTTAATAACGAATAAATTTAATAGAAATGAAAGTACGCTTGGGCCCGTCGATTTTGTGTTTAGATTGCGCATATTTTGACATAAAATGAAAAATTTTTTGTCCTTAAATAGAAACATTGAATAGAAATACAATAATAATAATATCTTTTATTAGCTACATTATAACTGAATGCATGCATATATAAAGTACAAAAGCTAATTGGGCGAAGTTCGAATGTAAGTATCAACAGAAACTGCATTCGCTGTTCCACTTAACCCATTTCCCAAATATACATATAATGTTTTGCGCACGAAAGACTATACATATATGGCTTCTAAATAATAAAACATAAACTGGTGTGCGTGGTTGCAGCACTCATGAATGATTGATGAATGCTGAAAAAGCGAGTTAATGAATGCATGATGCGATATAGGTACCCATATATTATCGCATTTTGGGGTTCTCCAGAAAATTCTAGACAAATTTCATGATCTTCAACTGTTCATCAGAAGAGTTTTCGAGTGGTTATCCATCCAAATACTAACCGGGAGCAACATTGCTTGATTTTGGATAAGAATTGAATTATATTAGTAATAAACACAAATTAAAGTTAAAAAAAGTGCACGTTGTTAGTTTGAGTTAAAGTAAGCTGTTCTGGCCAGAATTTGGCACCTGGTTTTTATTGATGTAAGTATATGTTACAGTAAAAATGATTAATATAGCAATCATTCATAATGACTATTATAGTCAATGTGAATAATTGAGAGGAGCACTCTTCAATAACTTCCTGAACGATTTTTTTAATATTCAATATGTATACTATACTGGTGACATAGATATTTTAGGGACAGTATTTTTGTTGTATTACTACAAAAATTTATCACTTTATCCAATCGTTATTTATAATCGTCACATTAATTACTTTGACCCCAACACAAACATACTTAGTTAAAACTAATGATTTTGAGATACCTTTAATTCAATGTCGTACGTAGTAGTGTAGGTACCCGAGGGACTTTACTTATGACACTGCTATACCTACTTTTCCGTTCTTACCTTTAAATGATCTGACTGCCCATCTACTTACCTAATTCACTTTAGACATGTCTTTTGAACCTGGCTGGGCACATCCTTCAAAGTAAAAGAAATGTCACTATTAATTTTCCAAACTATAAGGTAATTTTCGGAACTTTCTTACAAAATCAGATACTCCTAAAGACAAAAGTTTAGGTGAAGTCGTTTGAATTTTACTCCCTCGCCGTTGAAGCGGCTCAGTTCGTAAATATTCCTCGAGAATAATTATAACTATCATTATTGACTCGTGGTATAATCTACCATAGTATGAGATATTTGTTTTCCGTGCACTTTAATGAGCATCTTATTTCGTCTGTGTCGAAAGCTTTTTAATTTCTTTAGAAAATTTGCTAATTTGATTTATTACCGAATTTTTGATAAAATAATGAGAAATACAACTGACCAATTAACTAATTCGTATATCATTAGATGAGAAAAAAGTTATTTATGTATCAAGGGCATTAAGGCGATATTTTTGCCGAGGGTCTCAGAGCCCGAGGGATAAATATCAAGTAATGCCTGAGGTGCATACAAAATTTCATTTTTCATTGGTCCAAATAATGCATTTTCAATATACAAATGTAATGATTATTGCTTGCCCAACATTAAAGTGCTTCAAGTGAATCAAGTAGCTTCTTTTTTTATTACATATCACTCCACAATATATTTCGCAGACCGTTTGAGGGCATAAGTTCCTTCGTTAACATCATTATTGCTATAATTTTTTTTTTTTTTACATTTTTTTTTTAGGTTTTCATTTGTGCCTTCATACTGAATAGTTTTTATTATCATATAGTTTTTTCTTGCTAGGTTTTTTTTTTATGTCTTGGTCTCTTGTTGTTAATTTCATATGTAGGGGGTTGAGTGGTAGAGCAGACGGAATAACACGGTTTATTCCAGTCTGAACTTCGCCCTATTGAGTCACCCATTAGGTAATGTAATGTATAATATCTGTTCTTTGTGTGGTGTGTGCTCAATAAATGTCATTATTATTATTATTATTATAATCAGATGAAAATATGACAGATATAATTGGCATATAATAGGCAATTGAAAAATTAAATCTTTTAGTTGGTGTCATTATAAACCCTCTAAGTTAACATGGGGAGCAACAATCTGCAAAAAACCTTTTTTACCATTTAATTGCCTATGTTTGGTTTTGGAATATTCACCCTGTCGGTTGCTACACTTTTTATGTTCTCACATCGAGTGTTATTAATACAACCACCTCAGTACTTATACAATAAAGTGAGATACCGTACGGACGTGCATAATATTAACATTCGGAATAAATGACTTCTAACTACTCCTTTACATAAATATAGCTCATTTGAAAAATGCTTCTCCTACTACATAGCGAAACACTACAACGCTCTACCGGACTCTTTCAAAAATGTATCTTTGTTGGCATTCAAAATAAAAACAAAAAAGTGGTTATTTGAGAGTCAATTATTAATAAAAATTTGATTACTTGTATTGGTCTATTTTTTTATTTTTTTTTTTTTATACTTGTACGCTACAGATGTGAATTTTTTTTCTCTTTAAATTTTATAACTTAGGATTCTCATTCGCCATCATAAATAAATATATATATATGTGTTGCGGGTAAAGTGTAAGAGCAGATATTTTAAACTGAACTTCGCCCATTCACTGCGGTTGATAAATTCGATTCTTCTTTTCTTGATACATGTTTATATATTATTTTAGTTGTGTTTTTTTGAACGGAATGTGGATAAAGGCCATTATTATTATTATATATGTATAATTAAATGTCCGGGATTGTGATTTTCATAAAACAATACTATAACACACAGAATAGATGTGGAGAAAGGCTGAAGTGATAAAATTACATCATCCCTTCCCCGCGAGAATGTCTTAATCCTGTATATTTTCTGCCTCAGTTTAAGAGTTACTAGTTAGAGTTAGTTTGTTAGTTACTACTAAGAGTTGACATTTCAGACCATCCCTAATCAGGGACCAGAGTTACAGGTTTACTGCCCGCAGATACTTCTGTGTTCTGTTTTATCACATTATTATTTTCCTGCTAAAGTTACACTATTAGAAAGTGAGAGACATGCAAACGGCTACGCCGATAGCTTATAAGTTTATTATAAAAATGAAATATACAGAGAGTTGTCAATTTTATAACTACTTTTATGACATACAGTCAAATTTGTTAATGTAAATCAAAATGTTGCCACAAAAAGGCACATGGTGCATTTAATAGTTATTGAAATATCAAATTTGTACAGCTCTTTTTTAATATCGGTTGATATTTACAATAAATATGACAAATATGTATTTCAAATAAATTTTATAAAACAAAAATACTACAAAATTAACAAAATGTATAAAAGAAATGGACGGATAAAATAATACTTAACAGTTATCACTACACCTTATACAATGAGAAAATAATGTGTTGTCATTTCGATATTTCTAGGCAAGCGGCAGTGTAACTGGCTCAGATTAACATTGACAAGTTTCATCAATATTGTACTATTAGGCCCGCAAATGAAAATATGTGTAATATGTATACTATATGAACCACTCTTTCTTTTTCTGGACTTGATGGCCTGTAGTTCCTTGGATTACTGCTGAATCAGGATCAATTGCACTTTCTGCGCCAGCATCCTCTTGTGTTAAATATTCACCTTTGTGTCTATGCAAGTACCTTCCAATGAGAACAGCTAGTATCACTAATGCAATAAATATAATTGCCAGAATACCTGAAAAAAAACACATCTTGCTACACTTCAACACAAGCAAAATGTACCTACTTGTCTAATATAGTATGTATTTTAATAAATTAGCCATTTTTATCACATATGCTACCATTAAGTGGTAACTCCATAATCCATGCCAAGAAAGATTGCTTCTTCGTTAATAATCATAATCAATAATGTTTGATAATGTTTGCAACACAAATAAATTATGCAATCTTTCGTGGAAAGGATATATGTATGTCTCAAGTTAATCAGATTTCAGATTTTAAAAAAAATTAAATTCTGTTCCAACACTTACTTCCAAGTATAGCTGAATCAGTTTGATTATAAGCTTTCTTTAATTTATCTTCATCAACGATGGGGGGTGCTCTTGTTTCTGCAGGAAGTGGAGGATGAGTTATTGGCTCCACACCACAAAAATCTTCACTCAAAGGTTCTATAAGAACAGAAATGGTCATGATACTTTTACCAATAAATCAATATATATATATACACTACCTCCTATAGAACGCACATTAGGTGGCCCATTCTGTTGGAACAATAACTTTAAAGGATAAATATCATCAAATTCGACTCGAGAAATACAACCAACAAATCCTTGAGCCATTGACTCATTTTTTCCAATGTACATATACTGTATATTATTAAATTGGGCGTCGGCTGATGATTTAATATTAAAGTTGTACTCCTTTGGTTCATAATTATCGACTTGTATAACTAATGTTGCTCCAGCATTTTTACGTGACACTCTTAAGTCGTGAAATTGTCCCAAACCAAAATGCTTGATGGGATAAATTACTTCTTGCCTTTCAAAACCAAAATCAAATACGATACGTAAGTGTCCAGAGTTTGAGACCATAATGGTCATATACTCCTTTGATATATTTGAATAAAATCCAAGTAAGAAACCCTTCGGATTAGTTGTGGTAAATCCTACTCTGATTTTTTCCGAAAGCGTAGAACGCCACGAACCCATAAAATCATATTTGACCATGGAATTTTGTCTGAGATTTACACCAATTTCATCTGCACAAATAGGTCCTTTGAATGCTGTCCACCGACAATCGCAAGTAAAACCATCGTATCTTTCCCAGCATGTTCCATTATTGAGACAAGGATTACTGTCACACTGTCCCTGGCAACCTTCACCCACGCCATACAACCCTCGACGTGCGTAACCACGTAAATCGACCAACTTTCCATTAAGCAGTAAAGCTCTAATACATCCTGTAAAACCATGCTTGTAATCTAGCGTTGCTCCAATTATTAAGTTGGAAGTTAAATGAAGGGCACGTACAGGTCCGGTGTCTTCGCGTATTTCTGATTTTAATGCACCATCAATTACAAGTCGGGCACCTTTACGATTACGTTCCACGGATACAGAGTGCCAGCGATTGTCGGCCAATCGATAGGATGTTTTATAATTAACAATTAAAGGTGCCGATCCTGCTTCATACTGAAACTGAATCATATCTCCACTTTCGATGCTTAGCTTGATGTAGTCGGATGGTCCGCGAGCATGCATAATTACTGCACTATCAATAGTGGTTTTAAATTCAAAGTAAATATCGCCACTATGGCCCATATCAAATGTAGGTAAGGTAATGGTACCATCCGATACTCGGAACGTGACGACGTTGTTAAATAGATCATCACCTTCACACATTAAAGATCCCAATGTATATCTACCTTCCTTTTCATCTAAAGCATTTCCGGTGTCACCAAATCGTAGCTGTTTTACTGGCAAAAATTCTTTATCGGTTAAATCCCCTACATCCTCTGCCCAGACTTCGTAACCTGCATCACAATTGCACCATTTTGTTGGGTCAATACAGGTACCCAAGATGCCGCATTCACATTTTCTAGATCCTGGCAAGGCACCTCCCCAGTAATCCATTTTTTGATTATGCCTCGAGACCCACCAAGAAAATGGATGAAAATCGGCAAGATTAGAAGGAGAGTTAAGTAATCGCGAAGAACGACACGAATATTGAATACGTTGAGAGCACGAAACAGATCTATTAAGAAGCGCTTCTATTTGGTCATCATCAGCATCATAAATTATATCCTGTTTAAAACTGCCCGGTTCTGGAAAGCCATCGACAGTTGTCGTTTGTTGATTTATGTGGTGCAAGACGGTAATAATTCGCCCATCTGCGTGAAATTCGCATGTTACAGGAAAAGGTGCTAAAGGTCCACTTCCATCTACATCAATTTTTATTTCAGCCTTTTGACCCACTGTCTGCACATTTTTATAAGCTTGACAAGACAATGCGTTTAACGAGGTATGACAAACTGAGCCTGCATAACCTGTTCCAACACAATCGCACATAAATTCCTGCGAGGTCTGTTTACAAATACCACCGTGCTCACAGGGATTTGGATTACAACGGTCTACCATTCGGCATGAATCAAAAATCACTTGATCCTGACAGCAGTACTCTTCTGAAGTCCAATCAGTTGGTAATTTATAGTTTCCATCAATACTAATGGTACGCATACACCCAATGAAACCTGGCATTTTCTGCCCCAACAAACCGATCGCACCACTTACTCCTCCTAGAAAACCATCTGTCATTAATAGATGAAAGTTGAGATTGAGTATATAGTTTACGATTAATCCCGTCACTGTACACAGCGCGTTTATCTTACATTGGAACATACGCTTTTGCATGCAATGGTGTTTCCCTATGTTCTATTTTGAAAAAAACGCATCAACCTATAGGATATCGGATTATCACCGCCAAGAACGTAATAGGCGAATATTGTTAAATTTGCTCTTAAACGTCAACAATATAACAAACATAACTTTACTCTAGTTAAAAAACGGACCAACGGGAACGTAAATGTTCAACTTCAACCAACTTTTACGTTGTAAATGGACGACGTACGGTTTAAAAATTTACTCTGTTCTGATTGGCTAACGGACAAACGGAAACGTATAAACGGAGAGTTATGAACCCACCTTTAGCGCTTGACGTAATTTACGGGGCAATTACACAAAGCGGTAGTTCTATAACGTATTAAATTGACTTGCGCACAATAGAATTTGTAGTAAAAAGACGGGAATTTCAAATTGTAAACACAGTAGTAGGTTATCTTGTGTGAAATGAACATCATCTTTTAAGATATTAATTAAAATAGCAGCCTCAATATCCTTAATTTCCACCAGAAATTACAACATCTTCAAAGTTTTCCTTTATTTCACTTGAACTACGTGATACATAACCAATAAAAACTTAGGTTAAGAAATTACGTTAATGTTTGGTCTGATAATTAATGGTGTAATACTGCACGCGGCAATCCATTTTCCGATATCTCTCTAATGTGCGAGGTGTGCGAGTCACAACTGAACCAGCCTTTAATTATTTTTAGGTTGACGCGTTTTTTTTTAATGGAACGTAGGGAAATAACATTTCATGCAAAATCGTATGTTCCAGTTTAAGATAAACGCACTGTATTTGGAAGTGAAAGTAAAGGGAATGTATGAATTATAAAATTGAAGTTATGACAATAGACCAATCAACCCACGCGATTAATAAAACCACCAAGAAACATTAGACATTGCATGTCATAAAAGCATTTTTAATTAAAATTATTTATAACTCTTATCTTTTCTGTCACGCAAGAAAAACAAACACAATCTACATATGGTCCAAATTGGACACTTTCTTACGGAAACACTCTTTATTTTAAGAGATAGAAAAATATGCATCTAGGTGTTCAATTTTAAAGAGAAACAAAATCACTGGCGCAAACTGATTTCAGCTAGGTATGTCTAATCGTTTGGCCGCTAGGGGACGTTTCTCGAATTTAGTTGATTTAACATTCTTAACATTAAAGATAATTGATTTTCGTAAAATCTTTTTTTGAACAATTGGAAACACTGGAACTACTTGTGGCTGTTGAACTGTAAAACAAAAAACCGAAAATCAGTATTACGTAGATGGTCTTTGGCCCTTCCTCTTCAAGATCAGATATGGCGCCATGCTCAATTCCCCTCGGAACCAGAGTTATGAGAGGTTGCCTACCCAGTAAGAAGATGTTTAACGAAAACGACATAAAGGTATGGTTTGACGAACTTTCTCTGACAAAATTTGTTTATTTATTTATTTACACTCTCTTGTTCTGGGCCCTCAACAGGCTTGCGCCCAATTACAGAGTACTCGTAGGATAACTACACATGCTTCAAAGCATTAATGGAGTAATGAGGGACCCACTTACGGCTGGTTGCCTACCCATCAGGGTGTAAAATGACAATTTACTACATCTACACCATCTATAACTGGAAAATCTCAACAACGTTACACCTGTGCTGTGCTGTAATCCACTTGTTATCACCATAGAATTGGTCTATGTTACCTCGTATCGGTCCGTCAATCTATTTATAGTTGCATGGCACACCGGAACATCCAAGACAGCTACTTAAGGGAGGCAAGGTACCTTCAACCGTCATATATGTACTTGTAAACAAAAGCTAAATGGATTTCCTGGTCACATTTGTTCAAATTTTACTAACCCCTCTAACCTCTCCCTTAACGTTTCACGTTAAATTTATTACCTACTTTTATCAGCCGTTTTTTCAATAAGTTTAAATAAATCAATAGTTAACCTGTTACAAACATTTTTGTACATACTCAACTCTGTATTTCATTTAACTGGATTTAGGTTGAGTGGCGTCCAAAGTGCCAAGTACCTTCATGGAACTGATAAGCCACTGATGATATCTGCAAGAGGTGCCGGCGCAGGTAATCAATTATCATCTTCTATCTACGGTGCACACTGTGCATTGTGCAATAAATAAAATGGTTACATGGGTTGATATTGCATAATGTTAAAGTCAATTAGGAATTGCACTGTTGTAGTAGTGATAGCACACTTTTGCTACCAACGCTTCCCGAATAACTTGCAGATTACCAAAGTAAGGAGGTTTGCGAGGGAGTGATGATTCTGGCTTTAAGGGGAGCTGGTTGCTAGGTTCAAAGTAAATAGGTTCAACGACGAAATGTTTTATGAGAAGCGGATACCAAGCTGACCTACTAGGATACCTTCCACTTGATCCTTTACTATTTTTTGTAACACTGGATGAATAAGGGAGAAGTTTCCCCGAAAAATTATAAAAGCATCAGACGCGATTGCCCCAGAGTCTCTCAGTCAAGAGATGCATTCTCAGGGTTTGTGGTTATTTTTAGACGCAAAAAGATCTAATTCAGGATGGCCGTATGCTTTGCAAATTTGTTCAAAAACAAAGTTTGTCAGCAACCATTCAGTTTTAGATTGAACGATTCGAGATTCCCTATCTGCTAACTGTATTATAATGTTATAATCCCATATATTTTTGTTTCACCTCTTTCATCTTTGTCAATTTCCAAATGTATACTCGGTGCATTTCACTGTTTTTTTAGTTTTGAAACGAGCTTTGAATATTTACTGGCCGGCGAGATAAAATTTTCGAAATGGGTACGATCCTCCGCCGAGAAAAAGCTACTTTTCTGGGAACTGTTATCGACAGTAAGTTGACTTTCTCTGACCATGTTGACCTCGTCTGTACAAAATTAAGAAAACTACACTATCTCTTCCTTAATTTAACTAATTACCTGGACAAAAATGCGTTACTCTCAGTTTACTATGCCAAAGTGTATTCCGCTTTTAGTTACAACATTATCGTGTGGGGACAAGCAACAGAAGCTTGTAGTGTTTACCTTACAAAAACGAGTAATCCGGCGTATATACAATCTAAAATTTAACGAATCATGTAGAGACACGTTTAGGAACAATAGACTTTTAACCTTTGTGTCAGTTTACCTGTTATAGCTATTAACGTACCAAGGTATCTAATGACTATCATAACAGCCGCAGATGTCAGGTTAAAATCCGAGCGTAGCGATTAGTTTATCTTACTGTACATTTGTCTGAAAACGTACGAGAAAGTGCTAACGAAGCTTTTAAGTCTCTAATTGCAGTAACACGGGGAGAGGAACGTTTGACCTTTAAAATGCGCGAGGATCTAACATCTTGAGAGTGAAAGTGAAATATAATCCTAAATAAGTCAATTTGGAGAACAATCTGTAATATGATAAATGTGTATTGTTTATAAATGTTACCTGCTATCATATAAATTCCACCTGTGGTCATTTTTAAGAAACGGGTTGTTTTCATAGGGCGATAATCGACACTAAGTGTGAGTGTGTTAATTCCAATTGTTAGTACCACTGTATGCCATCTACCATCGTTGAATGTTTCCTCATAATTATCCAAGTTAATTTGTGGATTATTTGGAGTGATGAGTTCTACTTTAATTTTGCCATTTTCCATGTAGATCTAAAATTGAATGTAAAACACAAGAAACTTGATTTAGAAATCTTTAACGTACTGCAACATGTCCAGATGATGAAAATGCATGGTACAGCATCAATCCAGTACTTTCATAAGTTCTAAATGCAAAAGAGGCATTTAAGGAACTGACGCCTTCATATCCTTTTAAGCGAGCAAATGAATCGGGAGTTAAAAATGTAACCGATATAAGAGGAACATCCTAAAGTGTAATTGTCAAATGTTTAAATAGGCCAGCCAGGTGGCACAAATTACCATACAACCATATCTTGCGTTCACACTAGAATAATGTAGAGCACGATCTGCGCTGTATGCTTCTTTCATATCTCGCAATATATTGGTGGCATTTAAGTAAATATTTTCTATGCATCCTGTAAAATTTTGAGTCACAACTAAACCATCTTGGACATTTGGCACTCCACCCACGTAAAACTAAAAACGGCAATGGTTAACAGCTACTGTAAATAGTCCATTCGACTTACTCCTCTATTTAAGTTTAGCTTGCTAAATTCCCCCTTAATGCGACCTTGCACAACAACTCGATCTACCGAAAAAAGAATATCACGATGATTTCTGGATATCACAACGTCGTGCCAAATGTTATCGTCTAGTAAGCTACCAACCGATAAACTTGTTAGTATACCAGAACCTACAACCGCATTTGGTAACAAATTATAGGTAAATGTATTTCCTAAAAATTTACCCAAGTCAATATTTAAAAGCATCCGATTATCTCGCAATTGTACGGCAAGATAATCCCCTTGCGTTCCTCTACTATACACCACAACACCATTTGCCGTATTTGTCTTGAATCTAAACCTTATACTTTCTCTATACGCTGCAATTGGTTCTCTTAACAGATCTAACATAATAAATGAGGTTCCATTGAAATACATAACATCAGATTCTGAAACCAAAAATATAAAATCAATGTAACACGAATATGATAAATTTACCATATTCACATCCAAACAACTCCACTCTGAGCGATATGCGGTCTCGCCAACGAGTCGGGTTTATTCTAATCCACTGGGCGATAATAGGCACTTCAAATTCATTCTTGTGTACAGAATCGCCATCTGTGTTGCCTTTAAATAGCTAAATAATTCATTAAATTAATGTTACATATAAACCAAGTAGATAAAATAGAAATATGGAAAATAAAGTATAAAGAAAAGTTAGTTAATATAGCACCTCAGCCTCGCCATAAGGATCAGTAATGCTTCGCCAACCTTCCCCATCATCAGAAGTCTGTACAATATACTCCGTAACGTACCCTCTGGGATGTGAGCGACCCTGTGTTGCAATCGAACGTATTTCAAAGCGACCTCCCAACTCCATTATTAAAAACTGATAATAATTACTCTCTTGTGGGCTCCATGCCGAGTCCCCTAAAGCGTTAGAGTGTTAATAAGCAAAAGTTAGTGATTGTAAAGAAATAAATACAGTGCAGGATTAAACGGGCATCAGGATTCCACCACTGTCTAATAAACTAAAGCAGAAAACAGAAATAAAAGTTTGTGTTAATGTATGCACAGACACATTTAAGCGAGGCTTGAATGGAAACTAATTTACATTTAAAAATATTCTCACCCTAACGTCACCACCCGGTTCTTTGTAGTCTGTATAGTCAAAACCATTACTGCCATAACTTACACTAAATTCCATAACGTATTCGTTACTATGAGTTCTACCTTGTGTCCATATTCGGGTTATATTCATAACTTGACCAAGATCAAAAACAAGTTTCTGTTCAAAATCACTGGTATGTGCCGTCCATGCATTGCCACCTTTTTTTGAGAATAAAATTAAAAATTAAAACATTTTTTTGAGAATAACTCCAAAAAATTCCCCCTAAGTTTCATTATGATTACTACTGCTTTTTTTGAGGACACAAATTCAAATGCGTGTACCTACTTTTCTACATCAGAAGCAAAATGATAAGATTATGGAGCAACCGCTACTTTATCCGTATTATTTAATGAAAAATAATAATCATTTTCATACAAAAACATTATTTGGAACTACAGAGAAATCCGCATATAACAATGGCAAATGGATCAGTGATAATGCGTCACACTAACCGGACGACGCAAGAAACAGAGTTATTCCCATATAATGTGGTCCCTCTTCTCCCATTGCTTTTACTATTTCTGCCATTAATTCAATTTCGGTTGCAATACTCTTCCCACGAGCATGAGCAGTAATAAAATTATTCATTTTTGCTTCCAACTCGACTATTGAAGTCACCTATTATTATGTATACGCTCCTCCCAAAAAAAGTTTTTAACTTCCACTTTCTCATCCTCGTGCTGTCCATATACTACCACAAAAGTGTCAAGGACTTCCGTGCTAGTCCATACGCATACACCTCAATATGAGAGAAAATTATTAAAAATGCACAACTACGCCATTATGCAAAATTTCCTAATTACGCCACAGTGGAAGAAGGCGAGCGTTCATTTAGTCTTCTCTCTAGAAAAAAACCTTCTGAGATCGACTATGGGGCAAAATCGTTTCATCAGTCTAGAGACATTTGCTTTTCAATCCCAACTTTCTGGAGAAATTCATTTTGATCAAGTGATATTGAATAAGATATGATAAATTCATAATTAATTACGAAAATTGTTGTCTGTGTGAAAATTATTCAAATGTTCTCCTTGTGAATCCAAGAAGTAAAGAATGAACATGTCTAGTTTAAGATAAGAGTGATGGACAAAAAAATTTGCCATTATAGGGGCCCTGTCATCAAATATATTCCAGTGACCCATGGAGGCTAACCTCGGCCCTGATTATATCTATTCTTTGTCATTACCAACACAAACAATATGATTATGATGAGATTTTAAATTTCGTTTCTGTATGATCTATTCTACCACAGATTATAAAGCTACGATGTTACATAGAAAAGATAAATCTGAAATCTGATTACATTTAATATGTTACCGAATTCAGATATTTATCTATCATCAAGCTTCCATGTTGATTCAAATACATTTTAAATTATCCTTCGAAAAAGCAGTTAAAAAAAATGGAAGTAAACACGCAAACCTATTTTATAGATTAAACTGTATTCAGTTACACTGTGCCATACAAAGGGTGGTACCATCTCAGCTACAGCTATTACAAAATTTATGGAATGAATAATATACACTATGGATTATTTAACTTATTAAAATATTGTGCACAAAACGCCACGTCTTGTTCTAATAGTGGCACAGCATTCAGTACAACATTATGAAAATCAATTTCCCTAAACAGCTCCATATTTGTCGTGCAAACATTACTTGGTCTCGCCACCGCGACACAATGTTCGTCATTAATCAACATTTCTTCAAAGCACCATTGTCGTTTAACACCTTCCACAAATAGTTCACTGTCTGCTGTGATATGCTCCTTCGAGAGCGCAGGTGTATTGATTTTAAAACTTATATCTTGTAAATTAACTGTAATACCAACACCCACAGCTTTGACATAGCTCTCTTTCAAGCACCAATGTCTACAAAACATAGCGATCTGATCTTTCTCATTTCCACAATTTTTTATGGTAACCCATTCATTTTCGGAAAATTGTCGTCGCATTACATGAAAAAAGTCACGCACGCTTTTCCCACCCGTGTATTCCAACTTCATTACATCAACACCTAATATTTCACCAACATCTCCGGCCAACACCACATAGTCACCTTGATGTGAAACGTTAAATGCAAGGTCTGAGTGAGGTATGCTCAGAACAGGTTTACCTCGTTCGTCTCGAAGGAACCTAATATCATTGTAGGGATACAAAGTTGCCTCGTGCACAAATTTCCGCATTAACAATCTTCCAATAAGAGACGATTTAAAGTCTTTTTTAAAAACAAATCTGCCCAAACGTTCCTTTTCATCTGATTGTATACAGGTTGTTGAAAGCATTAGATCAGAGTGCTTTGGAGACCATTTAGAAAAATTGAATGCCCACCGGATATTTTTATTGGCCATAATAGGAGTGCGCTCCTAAAAAATATAAAACCAGAACTACCACATTATAATAATTAAAACCAGTTGATGACCCTTGACTTCATTTGTTATCATTTATCATTCATTCCATAAATAAACATTTTTTAATTTCAAACAATGAAATGAGAACCTCACGTACTTACCATACAAAATTGCATTCTTCGGTTCTCGATCTCTCATTGACGAAGTCGCAGTGACAACAGCACGTTGCATGAGTGGCAGAAAACATTCGTATTCATCGTAGATATCTGAAAAAGCCATAATAAGGAAGAACTGAACATTCTATTAGAAGTAGATCAACTGATATGGGAAAGAATAATTGTTGATGTGCTTAACAAAACAATTACTGTACCTGCATTTGTTAAATGTACAATAAAAACAGTTAAACTTAAAATTATATGAAACATGGTTTGTTACATTTCAGTTCGAAGGTGTTACACCCAAAATACAAACGGATTCTTATGAATCACTATTTTACTTCTATTACTCATAAACCTAGAAGGTTAGAACTGAATACTGACTCCCACAGATAGTATGCATATATATAAGAGAAGTATATATATGATAGTATGAGGCAGAAAGCCGTTAACTGACCAATCAATTCACAGATTTACATCTAAAAACAAACTCGGTTAAGTTCGAACCAAATAGTTCGAAAAATTCTTCACGCTCCTGTTTCTACAGGGTGATTTACTGAAAGTTGTCATTCCAGAGTATATTGTTACATATTTATTCTTTTTTTAGATTAGGCAAGATTAGGTATTATAGGGGAGATACAACTAATGACCATACTCATTAATACAGAGAAAATAAGATATGACATTACGCAATTGGTGCCATTAGTGATGTACTGATGTCACAATCAATATAGATTGTTATGATGAACTTTCGTTTTTTCGTGAGATTTTTCATAAGTAGGAACGGTATTAATAAATTAGTTTATGCCATTCATGTCATCACAAACAATTAACTTTGTCGGTTGCAGTGCAAATTTGTAGATCGGAGGTCGTGCATTGACAATGTAGGCCAAAAATAAGGAAGCCCTTTTGACATCCCCTTTAGTTATAAACCGAATTGCATGAAATTTTGTATATACGCACCTTGAATAAAAGTCAAACTAATGCCATTGAATGATAGTTATAAATTCAATGCTAATGCCAAATCAAAAAATTTATAAGTAAAAATGCGTTCAGACAATTTCATCGCCAGAAACAGCTGTGTAAACGCTGAATACGGCTGAACCATATATAGGCTGAACGCGCCCAATGACAAAAATAACAAGACTGTCACACACCACAAATTTAATCTAATTTAAAAATGTGGACACCCGTTGTTATCAATGACACTAATTACCTTCTCAAATGTGTTAAGGAATCAAATATAACGATATACATAACCGATTTTCTAGACATGTGGTCTGAAGAACTGACACCAATACAATTAGTTGAACGTTTTCAGGTGAATATTCTTAACACTGTAGCTTTCCCACTTTGTAGTTTTAGAATCGAAACCCATTATTTGATATTACTCGACTTACCAGCGATGAACTTATAGAACAAGTAACTTCTTTGATAAATGATTGCAAGTCAGTATTGTACACACTTTCGAAACAATCTTCAGGCATAACATTGGCTTTAAAATCAGCTGAGGAATTCCCACTCAAGTTCGAATTCTGTCTGATACAAACAGATAACTCTACGGTAACGAGAAATACAAAAATGTGTTGGTAACTGATAATTTCCAGTTTTTTTATCAATTTACTCTTCCTGCTGTACAAACAGTGCAGTATTTGGAAATGAGGCAAAAAAAACTCTTGGAACTTTTAGAGAAAAAAGACAAAGAAATAAAAGAGCATATTTTAGAGAATGGAGAACTAACTAGACGTGGGTGTTACTATTAATTTTGAAAGATTTTTCAATTTTGTTTTAGAAGTGGTAGTAACAAAAGAATTTGATAGAGAGTCTTTTATGCACGATTTTCCTCAAGATCTTTTAGTTAATGTGTTTGGAAAGTCAAAAATATTTCATGATCGGTTTTCCGAAAAATTTGGTGTGTACAAATATAGCGCTTCGTAAGTACCAATTACTTGCCATGATTTTATTATTGATGTTCCTCATTGCAGAGCGGAAGAATGGGCAAAGAAAAAATTAAAGCCATATATAAATACATTGTAATTACACGATTAATAAATACATCCCTTCATATTTTGTGATTTATGTGAACTGTGGTGTGTTGGGTAATGTCGTTTGACTAGAGTAATCAACATTGGTATCCATCCAGTTGGAAAACTGAAATGAGTAACACTTAGTCACTATTACTTATTCATTCCGACGCGTACATATTTGGTTTTGTCACCATATTTCTCTTCTTTATCACCTTCTGGTTTTTTTAACGGAGGAGGTGCAGTAGTGTGGACTAATACTAAAAGGTTGCAAGGTATTGAAATTATGCTGCCTAGCCATATTTTGTGTCCTGCTTTAAGTCTCTCTTCGGAAGAATATAACCTAAAATAATTAAACCACAAGGGATGGTTAACGTACATAAAAATCTGCTGTTGGAGTTGTTCACACTATCGGAGGCATATAAAATATTTATTTTGTATAATAATAAAATGTTTTTTTATTGTATAAACTATGTGCCATTTTGTAAATTATGAGCGCACTATTCACAAACACCTGCGTTTGCATCTGCACTTGCTACAAAACTGCCTAATCAGCTAAATAAACTACTAAAAGTGTTGCAAGTAACTTTGAACCTGCACAATGTACTGTTCACGTTACTAAGGGTATACGTTGTTTACACTACAGAGCAGTCAATATGAATATTTTGTTGTTCACATTACTGAATCGTTCATATACGTATATGTGAATGTTCATATAAACGCGAGTCTACTCTAAATCATTTCAACTTACGATATTACATCATTTAGAATATAAATAAAATATCTTAATCCAACTAATTCTGCAGAATATTTACATGAGTTTAAACATTTATTTTGGGCTCGCAAAGTTCATAATAATTTTATTACCCAATAATAGCTAACAACCAATATTATGGAAAGCAAAAAACAAAAAAAATTGCATTAGAAATATTGCTGAATTTAAGTAGTTGGCTTAATACACAATTATAGTCACGGCATAGCCAATAAGTAGGAGATGATAACATTATATTGCACTTAGTTTGTGGTAGGTACCTATGTAAAATGATATAAAAACTATTACCTGCCGTATAATGTACAATAGTGTACTTGTTCCACATTTATAAATAATAATAAACATAAATATTTAGTTTGCCATTTTGTTTAGGTACCCGAAGTTGGAATGTGAGCACATAGTGCTTGTTGCTACCGTTGCCTCATTGGAAAGAATTTTATATACTTTAATTTTTGATTAGGTGTTTTTGTTTCTTGTCCTGACGAAACAAAATGTTTTTAAATCTTCCAAAGCCAGCTGTACATGGAGCAATATAAATTGCAATTGCAAAGAAATTGTGAAAAACGTGCGCAGTTCAAAGCTAGCTGACTATATCGCCAATTGCCGACAAACGTTTATCAATTTATGGATCCTAACGTTGCCTTGTCAATTCATGAATTAATAATGAACATCTTCTATTACCCAAGCATCGACTCACCAGGACCGGACTATATGTGTTAAACTCTACAATCACATTCCCAGTGACATGCAAAAACTAAATTATAAACTATTTTCGGCTGTTATTAAACGAAAACTTTTAAAAATTACCTACTATAGTACGGACGAGATTCTTAAAGACACATTTTAACTTATTACATTCATGTACCTACATGTATAATTATTTGTTTTGACTTGTGTTAAGCTTTTTTATTTAGCAAAATCACGAATAAATATTATTACCATTATTAATTTTTATTTGAAGTTAGCAACTTTGTTGACAAATCCATGCTTTTCCTCTGTTGGCAGACATGTGGCAATTGAAATAGAATTGCACCATGCCAAATACAGTGCTATGCATATGCTTTACCTTGCAATTTCTTTCTGCAAATTCTTGTGTGTTGTATCGCTCCATGCCAAGCGGCCTTTTCTAATGTAACCTCATTTTTTTTAAATAGAACACCCTGTATATTTTAATCTAAGAAGATAGCATGTTAAATTCTCTTTTCAAATTAAAAAAATTCAATATTGAATCAAAAAGATTTAAAAAAATTCCGAAAATCTTTTTGGAGATCACTACTCGTGTGTCATATTTTTGAATTTAATATGCCTATATGCCTTTCATAAAATACTTACGCCAAAATACATCTTGGTTGTAAAGTCTGTTCTGACACTTTACTTTCAATGATTTCACCAGTCTGTAATTCAAATAAACGTATAAACAAATATAGAAAATGAGCTCTTGGGTATGGCTATAGCATGTGCAAAACCAAATTTTCAACCTGGTGTTAGTTTTCCTTTTATTTAAAGCGTATATGTATGAAATTTCATTTAATTTCTTCAATAAATAAGAAAGTTGGCACTGCACATCATGCACAAAACCAAATTTGGAAACTGGCGCTACATTTGCTTTTATTCCAAGTGGCTATGTATCAAATTTCATTTATATACCTTCATAAATAAGAAAGTTTGCAATTCGACTAATAAATGGTCGAGGTGCGAAGAGGGCAGAGCTCTCTGTCACTTGATTTAAATCTTTTTTATGATTTAAATACTTTTTTCGATTTATATCATGATCTTAAATCTTTTTACGGAAAATGATTTAAGATTTAAATCGTTTCCGAGTGATTTAAATCTTTTAGAGACAATTTAAATACATACTAACAAATTCTGTTGATTTGTTTCAACCTGGCTTACCCTAATTAACACGGTTTTTTTTTTCGGTAGACCGGTAGACGTTTATATGTATTTATTACAAAATCTGGTATACAGAGATTGACAATGTCTTGGTTTTTTAAAATTTCTTTCGCAAAAAAATACATATTTTAATTTAATAAATAATACCAATAAGATACGGTAGAAATGGTAGGTATATTGATGAATGATGTTGAGAGTTTCGAGCAAGATCATCAGACCAATCAGTTTTATTGAATTTAAATCCTTTACGAACATTTTGTCACGATTTAAATCATTTCACAAAACGATAATCGAAAAAGATTGAAATCATTACATGATTTAAATCTTTATAAGTGATTTAAATTAACAAAATTGGATTTAAACCTTTTTGAATGAATGAAATACATTGAAAATATCTTAAATACTTTCTAAAAAGATTTAAATCACAAAAAATATTTAAATATCAAAATGATTTATTATCTAAATACTTTCTTATTGACAAAAATATCTTTGATTTAAATCGTTTTTTAAACGATTTGTGACAGCTCTGGAAGAGGGTACTGTGAATGATGATCGATTAAGCTCAACTTTTGGAATTGCGTTACATATTGCTAAAGCTATGCGCATATTGAATTTCATGCAATTTGGTTCATAACTAACGGAGATGTCAAAAGGGCCTACTTTATTTTTTGGTCTATATTGCCAATTCACGAACTCCGATCTACAAATTTGATCAAGAATCCACCTGCAAAATTTCATCATAATCGGTCCATTCGTTTACGAGATATCGAGCTAACGGGCGGACAGACACCGCAAAATTATAAACTCTCTAGGAGCTCGTTAATAATGTGCAAGGAGATGTGAACAAATTACCAACCTTTTCATGTGATTGGGTGCATATTACTTTTAAGTATGTACCCCAGAGATAAAGAGCGTTAGTATTGATACCGACTGCTGTATAACTCTCTCCACATGCTACCATCTACAATTGTGCGACATTATGAACATCCAACATGTATATGAATATATTTTACAGTTGCGCCTGATGGCAATTCTAATCTTTGTGGTATCACACATGGTTTACAATGACCAATGCCCAACTGTCCTTCGTTGTTTCTTCCCAATGCTATGGTACTTTTACTTTTTGTTATTATTATCGAATGTGTTTCGCCAATATTGAATGAATCCACCTTGTCCTGTATGTGTTTCAACTGTTGAAAGTGAGTAATTTTACTTTGATTGTCAAAACCAAGTTTTTTATAAACATTATCACCACATGCAAATAATGAACCATTGCTGTCGAGAAGCGCAGAGGAATTGTACGATGCAAATATTTTTTTTATCAGCTGATCTCCATTTACATCGACTACGGTTGGTGTGAAACTAAAAGGTTAACTTTACTTTGTATACAAGACTGTGAAGATGATACCAGAATTTCTTATCTCCTAAGCCAAGTTGACCGTGCGACGAGGAACCCCAAGAGAACACTTTGCCATCTGCAGCCAGGGCTAATACATGATTTGATCCACATTGTATTTGTGCAATTGATTGTGTTAGTAAAGACTCTGAGGATAGTCGTTTCCAGCTGTGCCTATGCCTAATAATTATGTACTTACGTATTATTGTGGGTCGTAAGACACTGTGCCATGAATTATGACCTAAACAACCCTTCCTTCCATCGCCACAAGAATATACCAGGCCATCTTTGCTTAGAAATGTACTAAAATTTTCTCCAGCGGCACAACTGCAAAAACGATATGAAATTTCTAACAAGTGTTATTTATTTTTTACTCAATTATGCTTTTGTTTCTTAGATAATGAACACATGTAGGATATTTGCGTCATATACTTGTTACGCCATGTCCTAACTGCCCATGATTATCTTTACCCCAAGTAAACACAAGATGGTCTGTGATAAACTTATATGCTTATTATTACCTAAACTCATGATTAACATACCAAATGTCACAGCAATACAATGTGTTTGACTTGCGGATAAACTTATAATCTTTTTGTTTGGCAATTCAACTGGTGTCATGCTTATGTTGTCACCAAAACTACTTAATTGATACAACACGGATCGTTCATAAATCCTGCAACGAGAAATTTGTTACGTTTTTTCCAAAATTTGACCATTTAATGTAATTCTTACATGTTTATTGGAGTAAGTGAGGTATTTTTATTACTTTGACCTATTACAAGTGATAGTATTTGGGGCAATCTTACAGCGTTTATCTCACTTGCTGAAGGACGAGATACAAAATCCTTTTGCAAAATATCCTTTACCAATTGTCTAAGATATACCGAATAACTATCGTCCAAGTCTTCATATTCACACTACAATATTGAATTAAAAATTAAATACCTAGTTACCATACTAAGAAGTACTTACAGCGCTAATTTTATTCACAAGCATAGGCAAAGTTGTAGCCTCAAAAGGTTTGTGAAATTTCGCCAATTCGTAAAGAATGCATCCCACTGCCCATACATCAGATTTTTCATCATACTCTTGACCCTCACACTAAAACTTCTCCTTTATGAAGTGTACAAAATAAATAAAAACTTATGTACCATTTCCGGACTTAAATAGTAGGGAGTGCCTACAACAGTTTGTGCTTGAATGCGCGTCGTCATGATTTTTGATATTCCAAAATCCCCAATTTTTAAAGAACTGTTTCTATTTAAAAAAATATTTGCAGTTTTTAAGTCTCTAAAATTATGCAAATGGATTTATGTAAGGAACATTACTAGACATGCTACCTATGCAAAATTTTACAGGAGTGCATATAACTTATGCCTGATGTGATTTGCATCATTATGTCCACAATATCAGCTTCTTTAAATGGATAGTTGCGCTCTTTGCGTGAATTTATTAATTGTGCTAAATTTCCACTATTTGCATATTCCATTTCGATGAAGAGAGAACCATCTTTTTCAAAGTTTCCCATGTATCTGAAAATACTATTAGTAATTACCCTTGTAGTAACATAAGATGACCTTATAATGTTCGTGTGATCAAGTGAAGCCAAAACTTCCACTTCATTAAATGCTAACTGTTTTTCTAATTCAGTCATATCGGATAGAAATATCTCTTTTATGACAACTTCGGTGTTAGTTGATAATTTGTGATACAATGTAGCTGTACCAAACGCACCTGAAACTCTAATGCAGAAAATTGTGATAATTTAAAATGTGAGCTGTACCCTTTCCAATGCACTTAATTCTTTGATAATTGGCAAACCTATCATTTTGAGTTATCATTTTTATAATATTAACAGCAGCAAATTCCACCCTAATGTTGTATTATTGTGTGTAATGCACTATTACTATAGCAACATGTTCGGTACTATTGATATCTTTTTGGTTAGTATGATAGTAGTGTTGCTAACTTATTACGCAACATATAAAATCAATTGCATGATGTAACAGTCCTTTCTGTATGTTTTAGTGTATTGTTAAGTTGTTTGTAAATTTTTAGATCTAAAAATGGGGATTACGTTATGTATCTTATCTACCCTAGTATCTACCCTTCAAGATGACTACCTATATGACTTAAATACAGGGTGTCCCTGGAGGAATGGGAAATAAAATTCACAGTACAGTGCGTTTTGAAGGGCAATTTGGCAACATAAACCTCTCACCAGGAAATATTGCCGGTCACAAGACACCTGATCTCGGTCTACAATCTATGTTTTTCTTAAGATACAAGCGACTTCCGTGATAGTATCATGTCAATGTTCAACAAAAAGACTTGCCAAAGTTGTGGCACTGAAAACCAAACAACAAACATGTTTATTGTCTGTGCTCAAAAACTCTTTCAATTTTATTGTTTATTGCAACTAAATAATGTGGAATTAAGTGGGCTCATTTAAATCCATATTGGATGGTTACTTTTTGTACAGACAGTACGAACATTTATCCGACGTGATATTATAATGGACGAAATGTGTTCGCTCTGGACAAGGAATATGTCACCCTGTATCCCTTGAACTTCCACATATGTACAATAAGTTGTAATTGGCTTTAGTTATGATTTTTAATTACCGACTCGGGTGGTTGCGATTCAAGTGTAGTATGCTAACTCGCAAGACAATTTTTGTTAATTACAGTCAATTCTCAATAAATTTATTCTTTCTAATAATTATTTATAAATTGTTTCTAAACTATCCAAGATCAGAAGGTTTAATGTTTGTAGAAGTTGCTGGTTGTTGTGTTGTACTTTGTAACAAATTCTTACTAAACCATGCCGGCCTTGGTTTGTCGATCTCAACAATCCTTTTTCCTTCAAAATATTCTGAAGGAGTGCTGTTCTTTTCACCATTATAAAGCACAACAACCTCATTTTCAACGACTTTTAAACCCAACTCATTCTGTATTGCATCTTGCATTGCTCGAGTTTCTTCAATAACTTTCTTATAGCATGTTGCTGGAAATTTTTTTTACTTTTTACCCTTAATATTAGACAAACTTACGACACAAAATTCCAATTTCATGGTCATCTCCGCAAACGTTACATGCACGCAATGTTTTTTTCGGGACAAGAAGTTTACTTATATAGTAAGGATCTCCATATTGTCGTTTTAATCGTTTTTCAATGGTACGCCGATTTCGTGGCACTGCCCATAAAAATCCTTCGTTGAGAATGTCTTTTAAAGAGGAACTAAGTGGTTGTGATGAGCAAACCCCTAAATCAAAGCATAAGGCCGCTGTCAAAACAAAAAAGTTAGGTTAGTTTTAGGATGATCGCTTATTATATAATTACCTGGTGGACGTCGTCTTATAATTAAATTTGCTACGGTATTTTCCAAATTTTGAACGAGGGTACGAAGATGGTGTAACAGAAATGCCATGGCGAACCTAATCAGTTGTAACAATGGTGACTGCGAGTGTTTGTAGAGGGACGATTACACTACTATAGGTACAGGTAGACGTACAGCGTGAACGCGAAATTCGTGTGGTACCGGATGGTGGAAAGTGTATTTTCTTCTACTTACTCATTCAGCAGACGATCACTCCTTCAGAGCGGTCTTAACGATGGCTTGTTTAGGGTCTACTAGGCTCTGTGTTCGTGTGCAAGAAAAACTGTGTCAGTTGGGACAATCGCCACAAGTTAGAAGAAAAACTTTTTCTTGTGATCGTTTTAAGTTTGGACCGTTGCCTTCTTCCAGGATTATTTTGCACGAGGGAAAGGTCAGGAAATGATACTTATTTTTTCCATTAAATTTCAAAATTGTATTGTTGCAAGCGCGCTTTATTTTCTCGCTCTGTTGCCAATTCGCATAATTCCTTTTGAAAACTACCGATATTTAATGACCATATTTTTATAAATAAAGCTCAGTGACTTTATGAACGAAAAAAGTAGGCTAACGGATCTACTTTGCGTTTTTAAATAGTATGTATACAGGTGTATACACACGGTGCAAGCGTAAGTAATTCGTGCAACTTTCTCAATTTCTTCGTCCCCATCCGTATTACTTTCTTTTAAATATTGTATTTGCGATTAAAAGATGTTATTAATACTTTTGTTTTCATCGCCTTCTTTGATTATTAGAGCGAATGCTTTTTATGCAAATCACTATTTATAGTAAATAACATTTACGGTCCTCGTACGAGTGCAAATCTATAGAAATTTAATAAATTTATTGGTGGAATTAAAAGAGAGATTTTTTAATTAATACAGGGGAATCTTTCACAATTTTTTGTTGTGAAAGTTCATTAGAATTTTGTAAGATAGACACCTATTTATAATACTTCGATACACGTTGATTAAAATTTTAAACGTTTAGTTAGGTTCCTATTCCTAGCTGTTGATGGGTACATAATAACTGCTTATAGCCCGCCGGGGGAGGTAAGAGCGTCCTTGCTCTTCTTCAAAGTAGGTTAGACGTATGTACCCTACCCCATACTTTCTTCTTTTTTATCATACCCGGTACCGACCGCACGGTGGTATATGTTTTACGCATTAAGCCGATCCCTGCTAAAACCATGCTCATATCTTGTTTTTAACGGAATGCATATTACTTACATTTACTCAATACCTACCTTTAGGATTAAAATCAGAAACATTACAGTTACGTAAAGTCATGTGATAACTTCAATTACTTAACAGCATTTCTACTAATTAACTACCTCGATTACCTACTTCTGATGGCCTGCGCTGCGAAAGGGGCATGAAAGAGACAGGAATTTCAGTTGGGTTGGAAAGGGCGTGACGAGAAACTTTCGACGTTTTTGGTCACACTTTTGTCAGCAACAAGGAACATTGGAATGTTGTAATATCTACCTTCTTTTGTTTTTCTTACTCATTAACTCTATTGACTTCAATACGTAATGCACAATATTAGTTATGTAAATTCTCAGACATTTACCTAGTGTACGTAAATACGTGACATTGTGGGTGATGTAGGGACATTACGTCCCAACATTTTAAATCCAGGACAAGATCAAGGACAATTGTTTGTCCAAGACAAATCACAATGCAGTGCCTTTCCGTAGAGACCGCAAAATCGTAGGAGCATATTATATGTAGCACAATGAATAAATAGTTTTGGGTAGGAGTCGTCTCAGCTATGAAGATCTAAAGTTAGGGTACGAAATGCCCGGATATCAAACGTCCCTGATTCAAATTGTGTAAATCACAGCAGAAATGCAATTTATTTCTCATTATTTCAGAAACAAAGTATTAATCGTGTATGTGGATGTGTTACACAATGTGTTTTCATTCTTCCTTGATATACGAGTTCATATACCTACCTAAAAGATGTAGCAACACACCACTGTTAGTAAATGTATCTCTTTCAGATAGTACCTCAATAGTACACACCTGTCTATTTTACAGAATTATATTAGGATAGTAAGATATTATACCCAAAAATAGGAGGAAACCGCGCCGTAAAATCGTAGACATTGGCCCGTATGAATAAATTATAAAAGTAAGCAAATGCTTATACTTGCAAAATTCAAAGTAAATACTCTCTTTCGCACTGGGCGACTTAGCAGCGCTTCTAAGCAGAAGGACAGGACGCAGTGCAGCGCTGCTAAACCATGCTAAACAGACCAGTATGAAGGGGCACTTACGAGTATTTACTTTGAATTTTGCAAGTATAAGCATTTGCTTACTTTTATTCATACGGGCCATTATGTCAGAGAAAGGCGATGCAAGAAACTTTATAAGGAGTCTATGGTGTTTGTCTGTCTGCGAACACGATAACTGGCAAACGCTCGAACCGATTTGGTTCTAATTCTGCACAGTTGACCTATTAATATGCCACATGTAACAGCCTACTGAAAATGGGTCAAATCCAATGACCCCGTAGAGTCACACCGCTCTTCCGCTTTTCTAGATCCGCTTTAAGTACACGCAATATTTCTACATTACTGCCCTGTCACAATCTTGGTAGTGGTAATGGCGATGATAGCCCATTCATAATCACTGTATGTAAAAATTGTCCGAGGGTTCACATTAGACGTGCTTCAGAACAAGTTTTGAGAAGTTGTGTAATGTGTCTAGAAAATCATGAGCGCAAACTGAAACAATTATTATTATAGTTCAAATCAGGTTTTTATTTGAGAAATTCGATTGTCTATGGATAATGGATATTGCTAGTTATACCTCGGGTTATACACTTTTGAAATCAGAATTTTTTCTCTGTTAGATGATAGAAAACTTTAAAATTGCTCCAATATGAAAAACAAGTTAAAAAGTCTTTATACAAACATAAATGACAAGAGGCGTGAAAAAATACCGGTAGGCACGACATCCTTGCCCGACTCTTTTTCAAATGAACCGCGACCCATCGTCGAAGTTCGCACAACTCGCGGCATAAGTACTACGTGTCAGTTTTTCATAAAGTTACATTAAAGGTATAAACAAATACATTGTCAATTGTAAAATAACTACTTATTTTAAACTCTACAGTTTTTTCTGTAAAATGTACAGGATGGCAGGATATTGCATAAAACTAATTTCCCATGATAAATCTCTATGTTCCTACTTACCGTGCACCACCCTGTATGTATCTTATTTCATTTAAATGCTTTTGTAAATAAAAAAGGTAGCACGCACATGCGCAAGCAATATTTGGAAACCTCGGTAATTTCACTTGTATTGGTAGTGTTTACAATTATAAAGTTTCATCGAGGTTTCATTTAAATAAAGTTACCATTGCACATGCGTTACACTGCGCATGCGCAAAACCAAAAATATCGGTACACACGGAATCCTTATACCAAGCCCTTTCAAGTGAACCCCATATCGCCCAAATCGGTTCAGTCGTGTACTCGTGAGGAAAATACGCTAACAAGGGCGGTATCGATATAATATAAAATATTAATGATTACATTTTTATAAATCAGTGATGCTCTGGAATCTTTTAACAAACTACAAGCGCATCGCATCTAATTTATCTATCGTTGTTTGACGTCGAACGATTTTCATATTTAATTCTGTTTCAACAAATCGACGCGACGCAAGAAAAAGCGTCTAGGTATAGGGTAATGTTTTTTTAGAAAATGTAATGCTGCATCTGCATCAGATACTATTTGTTTATCATCTTCCGGAACCAGAGTACATAATCGAAGGAAAAGACATTGATTTGAGGAAGAATTGTTCTTAAACTTATATTCGAATTTTCGGCTCCTGCAGCCAAAACGTTAAATGTATTTTCGGATCCTGATGGTTTTGACGGACATTTTGAACGTGATTGCACCATTGAAATCTCTGAAAAAAACGTATTTAGACTTTTGCTCTAAAATAATTAGGGGAGCTAGTAGTTGACTATAAAGAAATTGCCATTAAAATCCCTATGCTGCGTCGCGCTATGCACCACCCTGTATAATGCTCTTAGTCTTTTTCTCAACGATCTTGGTGCATGAATACCAATCTGGACATGCATGTGGTCGCCAAAAATGCAACAAATTCATGTCATGGGCATGGAAATAATGCCCTTGGTCTTTTTCCCAACGATCTCGGTGCAAGACTAACGATTTTGTACAAAATACAGGTAGCCCCAGAAAAAGAATTTAACATCTTTGAATCATACACACGCGGTTATCAAATATGCATACTTATGATGTACTCTTTCGGCATCAAGATAATGCGTTTGGCAGCTTTTTCAACTCCAAATTCACCTGAAAAAATATACGTTTTAGAGCTTTTACTATAGTACTACAAAATCTGACGAACATCCCACCCCCATTAAAGTATTTGAAAAGTGTATACTTTAGTATGCTAATATTTATTACTGTTAACATGCCAATAAAACATTTACAGAAGTCAAAGGAAACAACACAACATTTATACATTCATGTTAAATTACACATAGATCACTTTAGTTTTTAGTACTATGTATTTCTTGCCTGGTTTCGATTTTATTTAGCTGAATATAACCTCCCTGAACACTTTTTGGATACACGCGTTTGCTGTAAATACCTAAATACATACCACCTATCCGTTAATACATGATATCATACCTATTTAGATCCGTGAGTGATAAAAGATGTTAGTTTGAAGAAATATGAGGAAGTTCAAGTTCAAGGCAATATTACCTATACCATAGACCTTGGTCTATGCCTATACTTAGGTAGTGTTACTTGTTAACTATTTTAAGTGCCTAGCTTCAGTTGAAAAATGTGTAGGTACAACCATTGTATATAGTACAACCAGTCTAAGGTACAACCTACTACCCGAGCTACTACCTATACTTAACGTGTATATCATAATGGTGATACATTAGCATTAATGTTAATTTAATTTAAATCGGTATCACATCTTACTCAAGTATATTTGACAATAGTTGTTTCTTAATGTATTTGAAGGAATTAATAAATATTATATAAACTAATCGTTATGAAACAAACATCATTTTCGAAAAGGTGAAGCAGTTTTGCACTCGACTCGGCCGTTTTCGAAATTATCTCCTATAACAATTCTTATTCGGCACATAATCGAATTTTGCCGCATTTGGTGTACCGAATATGACATTATACAGTGTATAGTCCGTTGTGTGTACCTACCTACTAAGGTGGAATAACTTTCTCTCCGTTGGCAGGTATAACAATCGGTTATAATTTGTCTCGTTCAAACAGTTTGGGAAGTACCCATCCACCTGTTATTCTGAAATTGTCTAACCCACATTACGCAGGAATGTGAAAGTATTGGTCTGTACGTTGACTTCTCGATCTTCTAACCAGACCGGACCAGAAGAAAATGAAACTAATTAACATACAAATTATATTATTAAAATATACTATTTTAGTACTATCGAAGTGCAGACGCGGGCGGCGGGACAGTAGATATACTCATTATACACTTTCGTTAGTGGGTAGGTTCTTGGCCCGGTGAACTTGGTACCCTTTTTTCGACGAGTTTCTAAAATAGTAGTTAATGACGCTCTCCGGTGGTCTTGAAATGAAATAGCTGCAATTGTTTTTTATTAACCCACTCTGAGAATCATCTCTGTTGGCTCGAGGACGATGGTTGCAAAATAAATTCTCATCAAAATTAATTTGTTACTTATTTATGCAATTTATAAGAACCAATAGCGGCTTGATTTTATAAGTTAATTAGACACGCCGTGATTTTGCAATAGAGATTAAAGATCTTTCTTTGTTTATTAACAACGATCAATATTGCCAAATTGAAGTCAAGGATGGCCATAATTCGATTTTGCTAATTACGATATATTATTTGGTTACGTTCATAAAACCGCAAAATTTGAAAGGTGCCAATTAATTTTTGGCTGTTGTAACGTTCTTGACATACAGATAGATTTACATACTTACTTATGTACAATTTCTCAAAGTATGTATCATTTGAAAATTTAAATGGGCCAAACACGGGCCAAAGTATTAGAAATTTTAGCACCAATTGCCCCATACCGCTCATATTTTGGAAAATGTAATTGTAATATCTCAAACTCAATTAAACACGGTATACAAAAGGAATAATAAATTAAAGTTTAGTTCTAGATTGGGGCACCGCTACATTAGTCCCACAGTATCTACACGACTCTCAATAATTGAACTCCTAAAATTTTATTTTTAACTTCCTAGCTTGAGCTAGGTGGCTATTTTGCGATCACTGATTTTTTAACATGTTAAAATTTTAAGCAACTTTTAAAGAATAAAATTTTTTTTCGTCTTGGTATGCATGTGCGTATGTTTGTACGTGCGTACGTTGGAAATTTTCCAAGGTAACGACTAACGGCTCGACGGATTTTGTTCAAATTTTGGATATTAGGCATACTGAAACGAAAAATTACGAGCCGGATTTTTGAAAAAAAATTTTTGAGCGCCGCAACGGCATCGAATTTTTTTCAAATAACAACTTAAATTTTTTTAAGTTATTACAAAAAAACTGAGAAAAAAAAATATCTAAGTTAAAAAACTAATTTTTTTTTTCAACAAAACTAAATTAATTCTAATTAGGAATTACAATTATTAATGATATGTTGCTTTGTGACATAAAATAAAATCTAAAATCAATAGACAACCATGAGCAAAATTTAAAAAAAAGTTACTAACCGCGCCCTACGTTGCTTAACTTCGGTGATCAAAACCTACTCTTCTAAGGGAAACAATGTAGAATCTTTTTTTACAAAAAGGGCACACAAAAAAGATAGCAAACGCCAGGCGAGTTTCGTGATTTTTTTTCGTCTGTATGTATGTAAGTACGTGCGTGCGTGCGTTGGCAATTTTCCGAGATAACGGCTCGACTCGTTGAAATTTTGCATAATTATGTAAAAATCTTTGGATATGTATAACACCTGGTATAATATTAAGCATACGGAAACGAAAAATAACGGGCCGGATTTTTTCAAATCGTAGCCCATTTGTTAACGAGCCAAGTTTTGGAGCGGTTACACATTCAAATACCGGGAGCAACATTGCTTGACTGTATATGACTATACAGGGTGGTGCCTAGCGCAACGCAGCATAGGGATTTCAATGGTAATTTCTTTATAGTCAATTACTAGCTCCCCTAATTATTTTAGAGCAAAAGTCTAAATACGTTTTTTTTAGAGAACAAAATTAAAAAATACTGCATCACAATACACAATACGTTGCAACTTGTTACATAAATAGCTATTAGGAGACCGATTCCCGATTATAACTCACACTCACGGCCTAGTTCCTTGGAATTAGAAATGGAACTCCGTATACAGCTAAAGATGAGTCAGTACAGGACATTCTATCAAGTATCAACTCCATCTGATATCAGTTAAAAATTGTTTTACAAAAGAGTAATATAATAGCGGTTTTTAATTTTTAATTTCAAATGTTTTACGTATATATTACAGCGATTAGAGTTCGTGTAAGTTTAAAACGTCTGTGGAGTCGTTCATTTATTTTTTTGTATTAGCCTAAAAATCCAGTCTATGCAGACAGTAATCGGCAAATTCCTTATTAAGGTCAGTGACACACGATTTTAATTTATTTTTTGCGAGGAACCAAAACAAATTTCGCGCACTTACGTGCCCCTGCAATTGTGAATACCTAAATGCAGACGTTCATTACATTTTATTGTGTTTCAGATCCATCAAAATGTTTCAAATCCATCGACATCAAACACAGGACCGTCAGTTACATGGCACCCCTGCAGTAGACCAGAAATAGCGGCAACCGCTAGGACATTTAGTACATTAAGGACCCATCAACCCGGTTCTCTACCTGATTACAAAGTTGACCCTTATCGTCTTTTAGAAGATGACCTTAAAGATGTATACGTGGATATTAGAAAGGTGCGTGTAAGTCGGTTTGTTTTCTGAATTATATTGTCACCTATAGAAATGGCGTGCAAATAATTGCTTCCTAAAGTTTTTGGACAAATCAAGGTCAAGGTATCTCTATTCAACTTAATTCTCATTATTTACAGCAATTGCGGCTAAATACGCATCAAGAGGAATTATATGAAATAGCCACGTATTATTTTGATGGTCAAGGTAAATCTCTTCGGCCGATGGTGGGAATTCTAATGGGAAGGGCAATGAATTATCACATGTATAAAGATAGAAGGTATGTATCATATATGTTTTTTCTTAAATATATACATAAAATTAATCTTCATTACATATTCTTTCTTCTGTTTACTGTTTTCTACAATTTAATTGTTTGCATTTTTTCTTATATTAGGTAATCCTCCTTCACTTAGTTTCAGTGTTAGGGTAGTAGCTAGATACAGAGTGTAAAATATACGTAGAGAAAAACATATTAGATGATAGAGGAAACCAAAACCAATTTCTTTTTCCAAAAACCGAGAGTCCAACATGAAATTTGCATTTGCGGGTGGCACGCCATTGAATAGGTCTTTAGGTACGCCCTTTCAATTTCCAAATTCGAAAAAAATGCCACTGCAATTCTTGGCCGGTCAACGAAAATAACACGAATTCCACTAAAGTTGCTGTGTACATACTTTATGAGAATGAACAAAATTTATTGTTGAACAGTTTTTTTGAAATTACCTACTTAAAAAAATTAAGCAAGAAATTTTTCGAAAATCCATATTTCAACACTTTTTCGAGGGTAGCTCCCAAATGCAACACATAGAGCTCTTTGTTGGGAAAAAATGTTTGTTTTGCTCCGCTCACACTTCCTCGCACGATCACCGTTTTTTGGGCATGTCAAAATTTCATCAAATGTCGACGTTTTACATTATTTTAAGCAACTTTCAAGGAATAATAGTACATTATATATCAAGGTAGAGAAGTTCACTATTATTGCCTGAGCACCAAGATTACATCTCGAGGCGCTTGCGCCGAGGGGTGTAAGGTGCGAAGGCAATAATAGACTTCTCTACCGTGGTATATATACTATTTTTTTCACTACTAGCACTTTTGAAATCCTCTAAATTAACATATTATATTGATAAGAGAGTTAACGATTGGACAGAATTGTTTGTTTCTTAATTTAACATGTCAATCAAGTACGTGGAAGTACAAGTCAAACAGGCCGTATTTTGTTCTGTCATTGAGATTTTTCAAAGAGTAATTTCGTTCGAATTTTTTCAAAATGTGATAATTTTAGGTATGTAATTTCTCTGGAAATTGCGAATGGTTCGTTTTAGAGAACTTGTCTAAACGTTCATTGAGTGAAATTTCGGGTTGTGTTTTCTAAAAGTGACAGCGTGACTGCAGTTCTCATTATTGACTACTAGTTAATAATAAAAAATTATTAACCACTTTGAACAAATGCCGAGAAAGCCTACTTTACAAGTGGAAAAAAGGTTAATAATCATGTCATCAGACGCTAGTAGTGAAAAATAGTACATTATATATCAAGGTAGAGAAGTCCACTATTATTGCCTGAGCACCAAGATTACATCTCGAGGCGCTTGCGCCGAAGGGTGTAAGGTGCGAAGGCAATAATAGACTTCTCTACCGTGGTATATATACTATTTTTTTCACTACTAGCACTTGAAATCCTCTAAATTAACATATTATATTGATAAGAGAGTTAACGGTTGGACAGAATTGTTTGTTTCTTAATTTAACATGTCAATCAAGTACGTAGAAGTACAAGTCAAACAGGCCGTATTTTGTTCTGTCATTGAGATATTTTCAAAGAGTAATTTAGTTCGAATTTTTTGAAAATGTCAATTTTAGGTATGTAATTTCTCTGGAAATGGTGGATGGTGGCAATTATTCATTTTAGAGAACTTGTCTAAACGTTTATTGAGCGAAATTTCGGGTTGTGTTTTCTAAAAGTGACAGCGTGACAGTTCTCATTATTGACTACTAGTTAATAATGTCCACATTACTAACCACTTTGAACAAATGCCGAGAAAGCCTACTTTACAAGTGGAAAAAAGGTTAATAATCATGTCATCAGACGCTAGTAGTGAAAAAAAATTTTTTCCGTCTCTATGTACGGACGTATAGTTGACAATATTCCGAGGTGACGAATTCGGTTCAAATTTTGGATATGGAATCCAAAACAATTTTCAATTATGTACCAATAAACAAGTTGTAAAGCGCATAATGCATGATGAAAACGCATTTTTGGTAATATAGGTCAGTATTTTATTAGGAAAGTTTAAAATTATCGATCTCAAGAGTAATCTAACTCAAAATAGACTAGAACCTATACAAGCACATCTACACTATAATAATAATAATATAAATTTATTAAGGGATAGGAGAAGCCATAAGGCCATTAGTATCCCCCCTCTACAAACTTGGTCGCATCAAATATAACAAAACAAGTTAACAATATTATGAAATACAAAGCAAATATAACAAAAAAAAAGTAAGTAAAACAGTATAACAAGAAAAACGAAAACATAATAACTCTCTACGTATAAATTTACACATTAAACATCAAAAAAACATGTTCAGAGTCCTGCAACAAACAAAAACACTTGCGATCGAAACCATTACAGGACCTGGTGTGTCTAACATCTTCTGGCAGCTTGTTCCACAATTTGGCCGCTTGTATATAAAAGGACGATGCTATAGCAGAAAGCTTTTAGTGAAAAGTCTCTAGCTACTGTAATTGCTGAGATCTCAGCCGGACAGACAGCCAGTTATAACGTATATAATAGCGTATTTTTTTCAAAGATGCCTTAAGAATTGACATTAATTAATAATCGTTTAGTTTAGGATATAACATCCAAATTACATTGAATTCTGTGAGATAATTTTAGATTAAATAATTCCACAAGGGAGTAGCGTGACCATGGCGTCTGCCATACTTTAGAGTTTAGACGTTTAACCCTGAAGCCAAAATTTAATCAGTTCTTTTCTTCCCCAAGTAATGGTCTATCTGTGTACTAAATTTGAGCTTTATAATATGTCATGTTTTTGAGTTATCGCGCAACGGTCTACGTGCCCCGGCGAAAAACTACCTGCTGGTCACCACCCAACTCCAGATGATAGGCACTTTTTCGTGATTAAAATACTATTTTGAATTAAAGTAAGTTAATAATTAATAAATGTGTTTTTAGTGCAATTTTACCATCTCAAAGAGAGGTAGCAATGATAGCCGAAATGATCCATTCCGCATCACTCATTCACGATGACGTTATTGACCAATCTGATTTTCGAAGAGGAAAACCTAGTGCAAACGTGTTATGGAGTCATAAAAAGGTAACATCATTTCAACATCATAATACGTAGGTAATACCTACTTAGGCGCCTGCTTTAAAAAAGTTTTTGTTGCCTTTTACGTTTATAAATTGCTCGTATAACGGTTAATTTCGCAACTGATAACGAATGCGTGTTATTTTGCGTAAATGAAAAGCTTTCTCTTAAAATTTGATAGTTGATGATCTTTTTGTTCGATTTATAAATGGTAAGAAAATACGTCCAGTGACTGTCTTGGGCGGACCCAGTATTATATATATATATATATATATATTAATTGATACCATGTGTATTTATTTAGTATAGGTGCAATGCTACCGACTAGGAGTAACAAATTAGCTATACAAATTGTTTGTGTTGCTTAACCAATTAATTAGGAGACTTTGCTTTAAAATTTGGCCAGTGATTGCTTATTTATTTATTATACATTACTCGTAGCTTTAATTCTTTAATGTACAACACACACATATTAAATTATTCATTCATTAACTTTCTACACAAATAGAATCGGTTTCCCAACATGCCGACACGTCCATTCGTGATAAATGATAGGAATTTTGACTGTAATTCCTAATTTCTATCACTTTCTGGTTTTTCGCATGTACATTACGACGTGACTGAGCATACAACTACCAACAATGCTTTTGTCATATTGCAAAATATCAAGTGGATAAAAACAATGCAGTTTACCTCAATACAGGATTTAAATTATTATAAGAATGAACGACGTGTAAAATTAATTATTATGATTACGTTCGAAAGTGGGTCTAGGGCTAGATTAATTTTCAAAACTAAGTTCGTTATTGCGGCACCGTAAAACTTTCATGTAAGGCAATGACGGCTTGCGTATCTACTTTTGAAATGTGCATTTATTTCATGATTAATTAGAAATACACACTCGAGTGCGTATTGTTTATCCCTATAGTGTTAATAAAATAAACCACTATTAGTAAAAGATGAGTAGGTACAAAGTGAAATTGTAAGTGACTTCGTATCGATTTATAAATAGCTTTGTGAAAGTTGCCATTATTACGGAACCATATGTTTATTCCAGTATTTTGTTAATATTTTCTAGTGGATGTATACAGTGTTACAAAAAAGAAAAACAATTCAAAATGCGTTTCTTGGTCACAATAAAAAAGAGAAATTCTTGTTACATGATGAAAGTGAAAAGTTACGAATAGAGTAATATCGTAATAGGTACATATTTACTAGTTTGAACCTTGTTGTAAGTGATTGGTAGGTACTTGCGGTGCTTGTTACTGGGTTAACTTACATACCTACTACTCCAACGACTTACGACCGGCGAACCCAAAAAAGAGAATTGATTGAAAATTATCCGTTAAAATTATGAAAAGCTATGAGATTTCACAAAGAAGGAATTACTTAGGTACTTAACAAAAACTTGTTCCGAAAGTTTTACCTTGACATATCCTGGAGGTATATCGAATCAGTTAGGTACCTACATATTATTTCAATCTGATTCTCTGCCTTTTACAATTCATTAATGAAAATTGTCATCCGACGAAACTGTTCTAGTTTAATATTTTTCATATGTATTGGTATGTAATACACTCGGTAATACATAATTACACTAAAGAATATGTAAGCCGTAAGGTCAACCTATAGCAGAATTTTCTTGCATAAAAGCATTTTATCAAAATGTGAAAGTATATTGAATTGCAACACACACTTAGTTTAAGTAATATTGATGCCATAAACAGGTTTAAAAATGTCATATGTCATATCATATTTCTACTGCTAATTTGACTTTATTGGAGTGAAACATTAAGTAAACCAACAAAATTAGTAGGTAATGGAAAACACGAAAATAAAAAATCGCAATCGTTTTTTTTCAACAATCCTACCTATCTAAATAGTACAAGATCTCACATAAGGCCAACCTTCGCTCATCTGTTTACCGAGTGAAATACATTTTTTAACAGTCTTAATATGTAAACAAACACATTGGAAATGGTTGCCTAAAAAAATTAACTAAAGACCACTCTTAATTAAAATTAATGTAAGTAATTAATATAGGTAATATAAAATAAAATAAATATATCTAGAACTTTTATATACTTGCATTAAAAGTTTTAAATATATAAAAAATTAAGTTTTATATATCTGCAGCGGATAGCGTCAATGAAATATATAAAACTTCATCAGCTTCATGTATCACTGGTGGCGCTACAGTAACCTCAAACTTGGCAACAGCAACCAATTTGAGCAACTAATCTGCTACTTCTGTGTACATCGAGCAAATGCATTTTGACGTTTTCACAACGAAGATGTACATAAATATAATAAATCATTTGGTCAAAATACATGTGGTCATAAAATTGCATGAGTAGCGAACTAACCGGTTTCAACGCATTTTTTTTATGCCGCATTCGCTGTTATCTGGTTTTTGCACTATGTGGGATTCCGTTGAGTAGATGGAAAATAAGTTCACGTGAATATGATTACCTACTGTCAAGGTATTTCATTGGATGGGAGAAATTGGTTGATTGTTTCAAAGAGAAAGAGATGTCGATGTAGACACGTGAAGTAGTGGGCTGTTTCAGAGCTGTTTTCAGAGGGCATTGGTACCTTGGTATAGCCTGGCGTTTTTTTATGTCGTGATTCTTGAACAGCGCAAGGTTTTATATTTTGTGTTCGGAGGATCCGCATTTAGCCTGGCAAAAAAAAAGAAAAAATTCGTGATACAATATTTGGAAAACTTATGAAATACTTCAAAATGTTTAGAAAACACGTCAGTCGAAATAAGAAAATATTCTTGACGGCGAATTTAAATTGTGACTGAACAGAGACTGAAACGAAACTGATGGTAATATCGGTGACGGCGCCGGACGTGTTTCTTCCCCCCTCAAAATGGGAACAACTGTTTGATATATCGATTTGAAATTTGTAGGGGAGGGGGCGTAAGTACAAGCATTGTTTAAATAAAGTATTTAAACAATTGTATAAGTATAAGATATAAAATACTGCTTGACATAACATCTATCAAGATTCAAGATGGCGACTGTGCGTCATTTTGAATTTTTTTTAATAGGAGAGGAAGGTTTTGTGTTCCCGCATTTTACATGCCTTTTCTTCGAAAAGCAGGCATTGAATCTGAAAATCGTTTCTTTATGGATAAAACCTAGTGTTTCCTATTGGGACGCTCTTTGCTATTGAGACATTCATACAATGTTACAATAATCAATAAGTAACACCTAAGGTTTCTAACAACTGTTGTTATTTCTCCAAAGATCCGCAAGGAAGAGAAGAGTATACATCTCTGATTGCGCCCCTTCAGTCATATCTTCATTGAGTTAGAAAACTAATGGAGGGAATCAAATGCTTGGCCAGACGTAGACCACGGGAACCAAAAGTGGCCTCTAACTGTGATTAAAGTACCACACCACTTCCGTTATCATTAGCGTCTCAGTTCAGTGGCGTAGAGATATAATTTTCTTTCCACTAATAGGAATAATAACAAAAAAAACGTATAGAAGGAGTAAAATACATGATCGTGGTAAAGTAAACAGAATAGAGAAGGATGGGAAAGTATGCAGATTTAATATAATCATTGATTACAAATCTAAATATACATCGATGTGTTCCATTGGTATAATTAAGGCCAGTTTACTATAGCCACTACAACTTGACAACTCCCATTAAATTCACTGTGTTGATCAATAGCTACAATTGATTGGTTGGTCTCAGGTTCATTACAAGTTTTGATAGTACTTACTGCATATTTCCATATTTGACGAGATATTTGATGAACATTTTCCGGTGCAACCTTTGGTCGAAATCACAATCAATGAAGCGTTGTGATGTGAGCACAAAAGTAAATTTCGAGAGCTGTTCTTGAGATATATTTACAAATGTAATATTACCATTTTGCTCGAAGTACCGGTTCGTTTGGAAAACTAAGAAACATACACTAGGTACCTACAACCTCGCCTACAACAAGATAAATGACATGTCTTACCGATGAAAGGAAATGCCCTTCCCTTCCCTTTATGAGAAATTTTGCATGATACGCAGCTAATCATTCTCAATTCACAAAATTGCGTGTGATAAAAACAGTATGCGGCAGTTTCTTTCGGATGCAATTGTCGATATTTAATCTATGGGCAAAAAGTTTATTGCAGCATTTGCAGTGTGCAGCTATTCCAATCATTAGTTGCCTATTTCTAGCTTTATTTTTAGATTTGGTACATGTTTCTTTTTTATTTTATTTTTATTTTTTTGTTTTGTTTCAATTCGGTGTATACCATGCTTGAACCCCCACGCACAAGCTCTGCTTTTGTGGGTACCATTATTTTATTTTTCTTTTGCAATGTTATTGTAACCATATACACTTATATATATATAAAAAAATAAAATAAATTATTATTATTATTATTTCAGTTCATTACGCTAGCTAGAATGGGCTGGTGACCTTTTCGCTTTCATAATCTAAAGCCCCATTCTGATAGGTGGTGCAGTGCTGTTGCGGTGCGGTGCCTTTGTATAAAAGGTTCAAATACGCATACCCCATTATGACAATTCACAATGGCATGTACAGTGCAGACGAATTGCAGCCGCGTGTCAAAAGTGTGTAAACTTCAAACTTTCTGCACTACCGTTAGCAAGCATCAATGGAAGCGCAACATATTTGATGTGGCGATCTGTCAAAGCAAATTTGCTGCTGCTGTTGTGGTTGATTGGTCATACTTGTGTAGGCGGGCCAATTTTGCGGTGATTGTGAAAGCAAATGTCAACATGACAGCACCAGCCCGCATCGCACAACAAGGCGACGGCACTTCACTACCACCTATCTGAATGGGGCTTAAGAGCAACACGATTGTAGACAGTAGTAGCAATCTTTTTAATGACCGGTATGTTATGTTGTAGGTTACAATGGCTGGAGATTTCATCTTAGCAATCGCATCCATGATGATCGCCAAATTAAAAAATGATGACGTTACATTAGTCCTTAGCCAGGTAAGAATTACAGATCAAAAAGGCGTTTTAATTAATTGAATTGCAGGTAGTAACTGATTTAGTTCAAGGGGAATTTATGCAGCTAGGATCGAAGGAAACGGAAAACGAACGATTTGCTCATTACCTTACCAAAACGTATAGGAAAACAGCGTCATTAATTGCAAACACATTAAAAGCAGTGGCAATGTTAACTTGTGCCGATGATGATAAATTACCAGAATTAGCATTTCAATATGGCCGTAATGTTGGTTTAGCTTTTCAATTAGTTGATGATCTTTTAGATTTTGTTTCATCGTCCGAAGCAATGGGAAAACCTGCCGCTGCGGATTTAAAGTTGGGATTGGCAACGGCTCCCGTTCTTTTTGCATGCGAGAAGGTATCAAAGCTTTGTTGTTTGTAATTAGTATAATTGACCAACATTTTAGTTTCCCGAGTTAAACCCAATGATCATGCGGAGGTTTCAAGAGAAGGGTGATGTTGAGAAAGCCTTCGAGTTAGTACACAAATCTCAAGGATTGGAACAAACTCAATTTTTAGCAAGACAACATTGTCAAGAAGCAATGCGTATTGCTAATTTGCTCAGACAAAGCCCATTTCAAAAAGCTCTTATAGTGGTGGCTGATCTTGTTTTAAATCGTATAAAATAGGATAAGTCGCCAATTGCACATTTTTTGTATAAAGTTGTTCATATTAGATAGGATTAAGTGTCAGATATAAGTTATGTACGTACCTGTATTCTCAATTCTAGATTGAATGAAAAAATTTTTGTAAACAGTTCATTTTGTTGGTCAGTGTTTAATACTTAACGTTACTTTTAATGAAAAGCTCACCTTTGAACGCGTTTCTTAAATAACATTAGACTTGTTTTCCATAAGTTGAAACCAAAGCACAAATTACAATCATTTTTATAGTATCAAATAAAGGTGTGCAATTTAAAATTTTATAAACTCAATGGGCAATTGTAAATAACAACTGATATTATTACTTATATGCTTGAAGTAATTTGACAGTTATTTAAATTACAATTATTCAAATTGAATATGTTAAATATTGTATGTAAACAAAAATTTTCAATTTGAGTGAAAAGATTGTTAATCTTGTCTACAGCGTGTCTGAATGATGCAGGTAAGTTCTGGTACAGTCACAGTGTATTGTGACTGTACAGTTGCATCCAAGTCATATTTTATTTAGTATTTAATTGTAAAGATTACTTATTTATACATTTAATAATGAATAAAATCATTCAATATATATATTTATCGGTACTTACTTAAAACATACATATTGTATTGAAATATTATTTGTCAACATAAAACTATCTTGATTGAATGAAAAATAATGTTTCTTAAATAAAAAAAAAGATGGCAGTCTTTGTAATCAATATTCATTCGTCTTTATTAATCTTTAAAAAATTAAGTCAATCAGTGTAGTGTCTAAATGGAGGCATTGCAGATGCTTTCGAGATAATTTTTGCAAAAATGCTATTACTAATTTCATATTAATTAAGGTACCGGCTGGGAGAAACCACCACATTGAGACGTCTGCAAGAAATATATCCATTGGTGATGTCAAAACAAAAACTATTTCGGTTAACAAAAAATGCGCTTTATCTGCACAAGGGTTGTGCACAATTTATACTTGTTCTAATTTTGACACTTTTTAAAACTTGTTGATGATGTTGTCAAATACTTTACTTTTCACAACCAGTTACAAATACGTATTTTTTTATTGGCTCAGAATAGGTCTTCGTCGACAAGTGTGCAAGGGACACAACGCCGACCATGCGAGTTTTTTTATATTGTGGCACGTAAATGAGTATCCTGCTTTTTAATTTTGTAATAACAGTTCCTGAATGTCTACCGCTGACATACGAATAAAATATTTAAATTGTTGGGATTGATTCTCCGATTTTCAGCTCATCAATTAAATTATGGTAGGCCCCATACGTTTCTTTTTTTGAAATCCCTTCTTTCACCCAACACTTCTTTTGTGTTTCACATTATTGCATAAAACTACACTACATCCGCGGCAACGAAAGATGTCCTATATTGGCGCCATATCGTGAGATAAGTTCTCGAAAACAGCTGCTGGTATTGGTATCAACTGACAGCATTTGCGGAAGCTAAAAGTGCTGCTAGTGTAAACAGGTTTGTGAGAACTTGCGACAGCAATGGCTCATCCAACTTGCCCGACAGTTTATCGCGACACTTATTGCTCACAGTGTAAATACATGTGGAAGTTTCTCGCGCGAGATTGTCGCAAGTAACTTGCTACTATATCTGCTCCTTTAAGAAGTTAACGCGAGATAGGGAAACTGAAACACAATAGTTTATAGCTTGATTTATAGTGACTTATCCGGTAGAATATGTTAATTTATTTTCCGAACCTACACCATGATGGTAGAAGGGTTATAATAAATAATAACGTTACAATTCTTGTTGTTTATTCCATATTATGCTGTAAAAGATCATGACAGTTGCTTTCAAGTTGGGGCTATAATGTAACGAATTCACAGTGATGACCGAAGGCTTTATTAATTCGAGAAGAAAAACATTAATTAGGTACAATCAACAATATTCATTTTTAATATGTGGAACCCTTACCTCTTCTTTAACTTATTTGTGTTCTCGCTCATTATACTTGCGTAACACCACACAGAAAAATAATTTTTTTTGTCGTAGTCACCAAGAACTGTGGTAATATCATTGAATTTAAATTCAATGGTAATATAATCAACATACAAGCACTGGCGCGTTAAAGCAAATTCAAATTTAAGCGCGCTTGCGGTTGCGCAGTACCGAGGGAGTCACCGTGCAACACATCCGCAGTGTTTTGTGATTAGCGGTTGTGGTTGAAAATTGCAGCTCGAACAGGTTATCTTAAAATAAATATTTGATTGAATCAATACAATTAGCTTTGTTTATTCATTTAATAAGCAAAGACAACAGTAAACTATAGATGCCCTAGATACTGTGTAACTGACTTTTCCATCATAAGCTGCATAAATGGAATTGGATGCGAATTTAATTTGGCTGCAAACTGAGTTAAGGGCATTAGGCAAAGATAAGGATCTCAAAAAAATTAAATACATTGGAGGTATTACATTACAAGACACATTTATGATTGTAATTAATAATTGTTATAGGGAACGAAGATAGAATTGATGGAGTGGTTAATGTCATAAGGATATATTCCACTAAATCTTACCTTTCTACAGAAAAGAAGAAACGACTGCAATTTCTTCAGTTGTTATTTTTGAATACAAATACTGAAAATGATTTGTCACAGTTTCCCAAGGAATCTCAACATTTAGTTAAAGTAATACCTACATTATCCACTTGTTTACTTGCGTGTATAGTGCTTAACACAAATTTGTTATCCGATTACTGCGAGTTAATGAAAACATTTCCATTGTCTTTAAACAAGGAGCTGCTATTTGAACTTCAAATTTGTTTAACAAATTGCAATTTAAAAAAAACATTACAGGACACTTCATTATTGTTGAAAGCTCTTATTGAACTCTTTCAAGTAAACGAAATGGTAATTATTTACAGCAGCTAGTTTTCATATGAGTTGTAATTGATCGAATTTCTAGGACAACAAAATCATGCAAGGAATATGTCACATTGCTAATGAAATGTTGAAAAATATTGTTTATTTTAATACTGAAAAGGCATTGGAGCTCACGTCTTCCCAGCTTCAAGAGCACATGGGCCATTGTATTCTTAAAATTTTACAAATCATAAATTTGTGCCCCCCTTACCAGGTCAATGTTTGTCAATTTCTGGAGCACACCGTTAATGTGGCTACCAAATTAATGAAAGCGGTTACAGTTAATGTTTTTTGTATTTGGGCACAGGTAATGTTGTGTTCAATTGGATAAATTCTACTTACAAAGTTGCAGGTGAAATGTGAATGTGGGACCCCTTTGCAGTTGGTGGTGGCCGAAGAATCATTTTGTACAATTGACCATTTGAAGAACTACGAACCTGCTGCGTGCTTAATTGACATATTATCTACGATAGCACGAAAACCTAAACCTTTGAACGATAAGGTTTTAGAAGCCGATTTGTCCGATATTATTTTTCAGATAAATCGAGGCGATGAGAATCAGTTAGTCTGGTTTCGTGCTCTAATTAACACACAACTTTTCAAAGACGAGAATGCTGTAAAGTGTCTTAAAAAGTGGTACCATTTGTGTACAGCAGATGATGTTTTGCACCTGTTAGACCATTCCAGTTCGTCTGATGATAGAGCAGTAGTTCTCAAATGTGCCAATGCGTTAAATGTGTCAGATCTAAAGAATGTTATTATTAAGCATTTTTGGAAGCACACCAACATTTGGAAGGAGAATATTGGCGATGAGTTCACAATGTTTTTAAATAAATTTGATCATTCTGATGATATAAGAGAGACCAAGAGGATGTTGTTATTTTCACTTCAAAATCGTGAATATATGTTGCAAACGTTATATGAAAAATGTTTAATGAAAAGAACAAATATCAACAAATATAAGATAATTTTTAATGAGATCAAAGACATTATGGATGTCAATAGCTTTTCTACGAGGATTTTTGCCAACATTATGCAAAGCAATCTGCCAAAAGATGAAAATATAGTTTGCTATAGGGAGCTATTGAGCATACTTTTAGAGTTACAATATTTCTCAGATGGCATTGTCAACAAAATATTTGGCGCATGTTTGCTAAGCATAGAAGGTGATGATTGCACTCTGGCAACGTTAACACTTTTTAATGTATGTGTTTCGCAGAATTGTTTTTTTTATTTACATGAGCATGACTTTTAGACAATTCCTGTCAATTTTCGAGTAATAGTTGGACAAGAGGATCTGGTCTTTACATTGCTATTTATATTAGAGAAATATCGTCAAGAATTTGATATTTTACACTTAGCTCCCGCTATAACGCAACAATGTACTGATTTATTATGCAAGTTTAGTAAAGATGTGCAGTGTCTTAATTTTGGAGGTTAGTTTCAAGCTCGAGACTTGTTGGGGTTCGGTAATGTACCTAGAAGTATTTTTTCTATATTGCACTGCTACAGTATGAATATCAAAAGACACTTGCCTAAAATAATCTACCCTTAATAATGTGTGAACAAACGCGATATAATGCATTTTCAACTAACACTAAGCATAAGATGAGAGGCCTATATTATACACTAGCGATTTTGACGAGTTCCCATATGCCAACTCTACCGCATCTTAGTACTTATCTTTGAAAATTACATGTGGACTTATTTGTGGGATATACCATTAGGATCTCTCAATCCTTTATTAATTAATTTTATGCTATTGTTTTGTACATGAGTTCATAGCCTACTACATATCGACCCAAAAGTTGATAGTTTTGTTATTAGGAAAGATGGGAAAAATGGTTGCAACATTGTTATGTTTATGACATACCAATCATTATATGTAAATTCATATTGTATCAGATTTGTCTAACAACAAACATATCAACTCCTGTATTGTCGAAAAGAGCAAAAAAGACTCTTTAACTACCTGTACTAAATATGAAATGCCAATTAGAAAAATAATACAATATTTTGTAGATCGATTAAGTGAATTACCACTAACACACATAAACAAGTATTATGCAAGCAAATTTTATTCAAGTTCCGAAGATACATTTCTGAAATTTATATATCACTCGGAAACTACTTCAGATTATGTGGAGTGTGCAGCTAAATTAATTAATGTAAAACATTAAATTATGTATCTTTTTTTTATATTTGTTTTGTAGCTTTTACCAATATGTGTGAAATCAGAGTGGATGTTAATAACAAATGAAATCTTAGAACGTTTTGGTTATGTGGAGACACTGAACTTATATAGTCAAGTTATGTTCTTAATCTCTCAACTGAAAGAGAATGTTGAGAGAAGATTAGTTTACTGCTTACAGCTGTATACAATCATTTTGAAGGTATATTTTTGGTGGATAGTTGAATGTATAATAAATATAATTTTTAGGATATACTGCAACCAAAATATAACACCCTGACGGAAGAACAAACACTGGCGAAACAAATATGCAGGTTACTAAAAAATATACCGCCAAATATTCGTGAGAATGAAGCAATAAGACTGACAGGATTGCTAACAAATAATGTTTTAAAGTCATTGAAAGGCGATCGTGAATTTATTTTATTACTGATCTCCATACAAGATACAGGCGTTTCTCAGCTTCTCGCACAAAGAATGTTAGAGTAAAGTATATGTCCTGTTTGTTCCATTTTACACTGTACCCACCTGTAGCACAGACCGGATGCTAAAACCAGAAATTAAAACTTCTAATTTTGCAGTCTTTTAGATACTTACCTTTCACCAGTATGCATTAACTGTAAGGCCTCATTCACGTCATCCAAATGAAGTGAATGTGTAATAAAGTCGTCCAAAACTAAGTTTCCATTTAGGTATTCCTCCACTAATTTCGGTACACTGTCTCTACTCTTCCATCCTATTAAAGTCTTAAGATTAATATAGACATTAATTTAAAAATCACACAGACCTCCAAAAGCACAACCTTTCCAAACACGCCCAGTTACTAGCTGAAAGGGACGAGTGCTTATTTCCTGACCTGCACCGGCAACTCCTATTATCACGGAAGTACCCCATCCTTTATGGCATGCCTCTAAAGCTGCACGCATAGTTTGCACATTTCCGATACACTCAAATGTATAATCCAGTCCTCCGTCTGTCATTTCAATGAGTACATCTTGTATTGGTTTGTTATACATTTTTGGATTGATACATTCCGTACAACCAAATTTCTTAGCTGCATGTTTTATTTCTTAAATTAGAAAATTAAAAATCACATTTATACCTATTTCAAACTTTGATTCATTAATGTCAATCCCAATAATTTTTGTAGCGCCAGCCGCCTTGCAACCCAGTGCCACTGCTAATCCAACTCCGCCAAGTCCCCAAATTGCACACGAGCTATTGTTGTCCACCTTTGCTGTATTTATTGCGGCACCATACCCAGTAGATACTCCGCAACCCAACAAACACACTTTATCCAATGGTGCCTTTTTGTTAATTTTTGCAACAGATACATCTGCAACTACTGTATACTCGCTAAATGTTGAACAACCCATAAAATGAAAAATTTCCTGTCCATTACATGTAAACCGGCTAGTGCCATCGGGCATTACACCTCTACCTTGGGTGGCACGAATTTTTGAACACAAATTTGTTTTGGGATTTTTACAGAATTTACATTCGCCGCATTGTGGTGTATATAACGGAATAACATGGTCACCAGGTTGTACATTAACAACACCTTTACCCACACTCTCAACTATACCCCCACCTTCGTGTCCCAAGATTACTGGAAAAATTCCTTCGGGATCCTCACCGCTTAGGGTATATCCATCAGTGTGACATACTGCGGTATACATAATTTTTATTCGCACCTCATTTTCTTTTGGAGGAGCTACATCGATCATCTGAATTTTTAAGGGCTGCCTTGGGCCCCAGGCAACCGCCGCTTTGCAGGTTATGACCTAAAAATTAATTATTTAATTTGACTGAGAATTAAAGACCATAAGTACTTTTCCAGCTGTAACAGACATTTTTCACAATAAAAAATGTTCTAGAATTATCCAAGGTCACTTATTGGAAAATTGATAACAGGCACAGAACAAATAATATTACTGTTCTGTGATAACAGGTTCAAAACCTTTCAGATTTTCAACACCACAAAGATAGGATCTTTTAAATTTAATTTAAGAACAAATCAAAAAAATCATACTCTGGTCCATCAGCCTCACACGCATCTACAACGAAATGTGACTCTCGTTAAAAGCGCATGCGTCCCGATGAATTTGAAAACCATATCTTCGAAACTCCCGCTATTTAAAAACAAATTAGGCAATATGCGTTTATTTTCGGAAAGTTTATGTATTTATTGTATGTATGCAACCAAGTACTTTTCGCACGCTATTTGGGTAAAAATAGGGCCGTTTTAATGTTTAATATGCAGCATCGATGTGGGTGGATATAAGGGTCGCTTTGGACCTCCTAGTGGATGGTGGTTTCGTTTCGGGCAATGGTTTCGGGTAACAATTTTCTCGGCACGGTTAATTTTTTTACTTCACTGCACCCCCGGAGCGCCGCCCCTGGACATCCTCTGTCAATTTCAAAGGCAGTTATTTTTCTGAACCCTATACCCAATACCGCAAATGAAAACGTAAAATTTTTTAGAACGTTTGAACTATATAGGTGCATTATTAGAAACTTTACGGAAGGTAATGGTGGATAATCGTTTTTTGCGTGTAGCTTTAAATGTAATTTAATCTATGTTAACGAGATAGCTACAACAAATTTTTTAAACTCCTAGAGAATGAAATTTTTTACCAGGATTAGTAGTATCTTTATGGGGTGGTTGCAGATAATAGGCCCAAATAGTTTAGGAATTGATTACGCAGTAGCGTATCAGTGTGATAGGAAACGTGATTAGGACTGCAATATATATATATCTATCTACCTACCTACCTACCTACCTACTAACATATCTGATACCTACTTTATATTAATTTCTGGAGTTCTTAGTTGACTAGTAAGCAAACAAGATCAAAGGTCAAGGAATCTATACATTGTGTAACTAGTTTTTAAGAAAACATGATAGATATCTACCCTATATCACAGTTTTAATCTGTGCCTATATATCACCTCTATACTCTATCTAGTTTCCAGCTTCAATTGTAAGATAAAAAATGGTGAGCAATGTGATTCTAATTATATGTTATGGTAAGATATTTGGATTCCATATTTTTTTGATATTTACATTTATTTACTTAGAGATTATAGCAAGCGTACAAAGTTTAACTACACATGTCACGTTACCAATCGGAGAATTGTCTGGTTATATAAGTACAACAAGAAATGGTAAAGAATTTGTCGCGTTTGAGGGAGTACCTTATGCCAAACCGCCGATTGGTGCGTTACGATTTGAAGTAGGTTGTTTTAAAGCGTGAATACCGTACATAGAGATATGAGATGTCTATGTTGCATCTATTTTGCAGGAGCCGCAACCGGTAGATCAATGGGGAGGTGTGTTCAAAACAAATGTGTTACACAAATGTATACAGTACAATCATTATACACCTCCCGGTAAAGACATGGTGCAAGGTATGACCGCAATTTTTATACTTACTTGAGAGTCATAATGTCCACTGCACTGCACAGGTGAAGAAGATTGCTTATATCTGAATATATACACACCAGAATTAGATAAAGCATTGCGTGATGTTATTATTTATATTCATGGTGGTGCATTCATGTTTGGCAGTGGTGCTTCTTATGGTCCTTATACTATATTAGATCAGAACATTGTTTTTGTAACAGTAAATTACAGACTTGGACCATTGGGTATATACATTAAATAATATAGTTATACCTATAAATTATTTATAATACGTTATAGGGTTTTTAAGTACAGAAGATAAAGTTGTACCTGGTAATAATGGCTTAAAAGATCAGATACTAGCACTAAAATGGGTGTCAGATAATATCAAGTACTTTGGTGGAAACCCGTGTTCAATAACGCTAACAGGAATGTCTGCGGGAGGAGCTAGTGCACAGCTCCACTCATTATCTCCCTTATCTAAGGGTTAGGTACTTTATATTATAAAATGTTTATACATTTCTTTCCGCAGGCTTATTTCATCGAGGTATTTCTCAAAGCGGAACTGTTTTAAATCCATGGGTTTTAGTCGAGAATTCCTTGGAAAAAACTAAAAAAATTTCACTGAATTTAAATTGTACAATTTCCACCACAAGGGATATGATTGCATGTTTGAAAGAAAGAAAGGCGTATGATATTGTTGCTTCAGTTAACTTACTGATGGCAAGCCCTTATTGCTAATCTTTATACCTCAAATAACTGAATAAGTGCATTTTGCAGCCTTGGTTGTACAATCCGATTTCGCCATTTGGAGTGGTTGTTGATAAATGGTCAACAAAACCATTTTTGAAGGAACATCCTTACAAATTATTATTGGAAGGAAGAATAAATGACTTGCCTTGGATCTTCTCAAATGTCGCATCAGAAGGGCTTTATCCTGCAGCAGGTTGGAACTTATTTTAGCTTATATAAAATAACAGCGTTTCTACTTTCTTTTATAGATTTCATAGCAAAAACTCAGTATCTAGAAGAAATTGATCAATTTTGGGATGATTTGATACCGCACATATTAGACTTTAATCATACAGTAGATATAAATGATCGTTCTTCAGTTCTGACAAAAATTAGAGAGTTTTATTTCCAGAATATGAGTGTGTCGGAGGCTACATACGGGAACTTAATTAAGGTGTGTATTTTATTTATTCTCGTATTTGGTATACATAAGTTGATAGATATTTATTTGTTGTAGATGGTGTCAGATCGTTTGTTTATTACTGATATTGAGCGTGCTGCGAAATTGCATTCGATTTCAATACAATCTCCTGTTTACTACTATTATTTTTCATACAGAGGAGCTCACAGTAAATCCGAGCTACGATCCCTCACCAACAATGATTATGGTAAAGTTTATGCTGCGTACTTAATTAATTGTGATCATTTTCATTAGCCATATGATGGTTCAGTTATCTTAAGCACCAACATTTTGAATTGCGCTAAAATCACTTTGAGTTAGCTAGCCCCGTTATATTGTTTATCCAGTTTATGGATTCCTTAGAAACGAATGCCGATTTAAAGACCTTCGGCGACTGTCTTCAAGTGTTCACTCATTCACTGTTCCTTGAATCCTTGGTCGTATTATATTCCTCATAAACGGTAGGTGCAGGGCCGGCTCAAGGCAATAGTTTCGTGTAAGCATTGTAATTTGCGCCTTTGCAGTTACACATCACAGCAAAACTATGTAAGAAAATAAGATTCATAGAAGTTTTTTATTTTTAAAATATTTAAATAAAGGAACGAATAAAATTTGTAAATTTGCTATGCACCCTGTATATTAAGTAGGTAGATATCAATCAAACCACATAAACCTTAGAGAACTTTCTTTCATAGTCTAAGACATAAACAGATATAATTAAAAAAACAATTATATTTTATTTAAAAAAGAGAGATGTTATTATATTTTGTAGGAGCATCTCATGGTGATGACACTGTTTATGTCTTGTCGACTGAAGTAAACACACATTCTACTCCGACGGACCAAAACATGTCAAAATTATTAGTAAATATGTGGACAAGCTTCTCATCAACAGGGTAAGGTTGATTTGGGTTTGCATACCTACTTATATATCATATATATATATTTTTTAGAATTCCCAAAATAAATGATGTGATTTGGTTGCAAATGTCAAAGAAAAGTTATGTCGATTCTATTAACTATTTACATATTTACAATACATCATGCTTAGAAATGAAATCTAACGTGACACTTGGAAATACACCTTTTTGGGAAAGTTTACCTTTACGTGAAAATGAAAAATTGATGCGATAGGATTTCAATATAGACTATAATAGTATAATCAAAGGCGGTAGGTAATCTAGGTATGCATTTATGTTGTGTTAGCTACGATTAATTAGATTACTTTGAATAATATAATGTACCTTACATGACGAATTTTATCAGAATAATTTGTAAGTAGGAAATAGATGTGGCTTAGTTTAGTGATAAAAATTTGGTTAAACGTTTTGATTTGATTGGTAGATTGTACTTAAATAAAATAATATAAGTAAATCCGCCGTTTTATTGCCTATAAATTCTAAAACATACTTTTCGGCATCCATGGATCTCTCCACTTTTCAGAATTTGAGCGTTTTATTTTACGTTCCTTACCTATTGTGCACGAACTTATAAATTTTATAAGTTCGTGCTACTGTGCTTCAGGTCAAGAAGGCGTTGTCTACAACTAACTATCGTAAGGGAGTCCTGCCTTAGATATTTGATCACGTGCCATTTTTCAAATTTAAGCGGGATCTTTTTTAGTTTTGGAGGGAATGGTCATTCACGTGGCCATTTTTAAACGTCTGGTTGACTATTTCCGTGTTCTTGTAGTGTGAAGTTAACGTAGAACCTGGGGGTTAAGTACACTACTACAACCATCTTCTCTTATATATATGACTACAACATACGATGTATTTGTATGAAAGGAATAATAGGTACCTACAACTCACTTGACGTTTCTTTTTTCCCCCATTAAAGAACGCATGGAAAGAAATAACAATAATAATTATGTCGGGATTCCGCAGCTGCGCCTTTTTTCCATTTAACGAAAATGGGCCGAAAGGTATTTAGTAAACATTGTAATTTACGTAGGCATGTGTCCGACCATGTGAACAGTATTTACAATTCTTCTGTGAGAGGTAGGTAGAAAGAAAAGCTGTAATTTTAAAAATGTTACTTTTCAAAACGCAGCGGGTAGCACAACGCGTGCGCATTTTTACGGAGTCACGTCGTATTCTATAGTTCCGAGACCGGTCGTAGCAGAAGAAACTTGTTGGTTTGTTACCCTCGTTATTTTAGGAATTAATTTGTGTTCTGTGAATTGTCCAATGAATAAGTGGAATTGTCACAATTGTATTGTGATCTATATGCGCAATAGCGTTTTGCTGTGTGCGGTCTGTGATCGAATAAATTGACTATTTTGTCTTTTTAGTTATAAATCATTTTTATGTAGCTGGGTTATTCTTCAAAGATAATCAGTTTCGGAAATAATTTTATTGCAATCAAACAGTCAACACCTTAATCAAATGCTTTTTTTTAGGTTATTATTGATTATCAATTCTGAAATTATGTCATATCTATTTTAAGTTTTCACAAAATATCCATTTTTTAAAGGCATCCCAAAGATGGTTTTTGAATCTGTAGTGACAGATGTTCTGAACCGAGTTCTTGGAAGTTACATTGAAAATTTAGACAGCAAACAGCTCAATCTGGGAATATGGGGAGGTACTTACTACTTTGTAATTCCGCAAAATTCTAGAAAAAAAGACATTTGCAGGTGACGTTGTACTTAAGGATTTAGTCTTAAAGCCTTCGGCCTTGGATGACTTAAACTTACCCGTCCAAATTGTCTACGGACGTTTATCACAACTGGTGTTAAAAATTCCATGGAAGAATTTATATACGTCTGCGGTTGAGGCAAAAGTTGAAGGTCTTTACCTTTTAGTGGTTCCCAATCAACAAGTCAAGTATGATCAGGAAAAAGATCGGACAGAGCACAAGAAGAATAAAGAAAAAGAGTTACAGAAGATTGAAGATGCAAAGAAGAAGGAAGCAGAAAAAGGTGTAAAGGTGTCAAATGGCCAAGTGGTACTTATTAACTCGGTGTTTTTAGATAAACCGAAACCTGACGATAGCTTTACTGAAAAACTTACAATGCAAATAATTAAAAATGTACAGGTTAAGATTGAAAATATTCATTTACGGTATGAGGATAAAGTTACGCATGTTAATCATCCATTTGCTATGGGTGTAACATTAAGTAATTTATCATTAGAAACAACTGACGACACGTGGACACCTACAATTGTGCAAGAAACAGTATTAAAGTTTTTCAAAGTAAGTTTTCTACTTTTGGACATACAAGTATGAGTCTGTCTTATTGAATCATGTAGGTCTTAAATCTCGAAGGACTATCCATTTATTGGAATTGTGGCTCGTCAATGTACCAACATCTGCCTCTTGTGGAACTTTTAAGCAAGTTTCGGAGCGAAATTGGAATGAAATCAAATCTACCACCCAATTACCAATACAGTAGGTTGCAAGATATTTTGCTTATCCTGCACAATAGTCTAATCTAAGTATTGTACCTTTTCAGTTTTGGGACCTGTGTATGCATCTGCTAGATTACGTCTTAATCCAAAACCCGACTGTGATACACCTCAATTTACCATACCAAAGGTTCATCTTAATCTCGAAATGGAAAAACTGCATTTAGGTTTATATGATCGTATATAGGCATGCAGTGGTTGTATCATATTTTTTAGGCATTAATAGATCGCAATATCGTGATATAATTGCCTTGGCTGACTCAATGGATCGAATGACAAAAGGGGTACCATACAGAAAATATCGTCCAGAATTAACTTCTTACAAAAGTCATTACAAGGAATGGTGGCTCTTTGCATATAACGCAGTGTTAGATGATGTTCGTAGACGAAGACGAAATTGGAGCTGGGAGCACATGAAAGCACATCGTCTCATGTGTGAGAACTACGCTAAACTTTATCAACAAAAACTTACACAAAAAAAGGTAACCTATAAATGGCATCATACAGCTGTTTTAATAGTGAGGTGTTTATTTTTGCAAAAAGTGTTAATTGTAAAGAAACTTAACAATATCAAGTACCTACACCTTTTTTTTTAAATTATGTAACCATCGAGTAGAGTTGTAGTGGCTGCTCTCATCTCTACAGCAGGTTTTAAGGTCTAAAGGCTGACTGATAGCACTGCACTGTGGAAGTGTAAGTACCATCGTACATTCGATTTATGGTGGTATGTACACCTCGACAGTGCTATCAGACAGCAACTCGAGAAATCTTCTTTTCCTGCCTTTAGGTGTCCAGAATTACTGATTTCTGTGTATGTGACAAAACCTTTTCATGTGCAAGTTTTCCATTTGTTTTGTTAAAGATTTTGTTATAATACCTGTATAATAATAAATTTATAACTTACCAAATATTATCCAGATCGTAACTGAAGTGAGTGGAATGGGGATAGGGATAATTTTATGGTAAGGATAACAAGCCGAGATGGATAATGATAAGTTAATAAAACTGAACGTTTCTTCTTCTAACTTTAATCTCACAATTTTTTTCGTTTTGTTGTAACCGCCACGTGTCTTCTTACTATATCTGAATATAGTTTCGCGCGTACGTACGAGGACGTCAGAAAACATGGCGGCAATTAAAATTATTTATATTGCGCGTCCAAATACCAGTACACTTCTAATGAATCACCCAGTATTACTAACATGAAACCGTCAATCTCTGGGAAGATATCACATGGAGATAGCCAAGTGTGCGTTGCTATAGAATCGACACAGTCCGGGTTAACCCCTTGCGGAAATCGTCCATGTAAAGGCTTTTGATTGCATGTCTGTATCTTATTATTTGTGATGTATGTAAGTTTGGATGTGGGTGGGAGTATATTAGTTTCGTGTAGGTTAAGAGGTGTTTACATGTTTTTGTTATATCGCTGATTTCTTACTGTGAATACTCTTGGTAGTGACGTTTGATTTAACATACTACATAAAAAATACCTACAAGATCTGTAAGGTGTCGAAATTCTTAAAACATTAAAGAGATTTAATTAGTTTTTCCTTAATTAATGCTTAAGTTGTGGACTTGCGTCACATTTTCCCATTCATTTTAAAGTACATATTTTTCATTTTTAGTTGTCGTCAGAAGCACAAGTCCACCTACAGAAGTACGAAGAAGAATTAGATATATTTAATATAGTAGTAACACGTCAAAAAATTGAAGTTGAAGTTGCAAGGTTAGGGAAATTAAATGCCCAAAAAGAAAAAAAATCCTGGTTTAGTAGTTGGTGGGGAGGTGGAAGTGAGGGCGATAAAAGTACAAATTCAGATGATATTGGTATACATTATAAACTTTAATTTCTCTGTAAGAATAAGTATTACTTTCAGTGAAAAAATTGGAGGAGGCGATGACACCTGATGAAAAAGTTCGTTTGTATCAGGCCATTGGATACCAAGAGAATTCCACACCTTTAGAATTTCCCGAAGCGTATATTGATAACTCCTGTACATTTATACTTCGACTTCTGGAAATCCAGGTTGAAGATGACAGTCTTGCCTCTCGGGTTTTGAGTATTGAATTGACAAGTGTGAAGTGTCGGGTCGAGACTAGAGCTGCTGCCTCTGCTCTTAAGTAATTATATGTTTTTCACATTGCGTATCTGTATACCTGTGTTTCAACAGAGTCGCAGTTGCCGTGGATGCACTATCAATCTTGGGTGTAGAGCAAGACGAGCTCATACCGAAAATGGTTAGTTCGGTAGTGCAACCCGGTGAAAGTGGTCATCTTTTGGATGTACTTTTTGAAACAAATCCACTTGATAAACTATGCGATCAAAGGTTGCATGTGAAAGCTAAACCAATACAAATTGTATACGATGCAATGTCTATAAATAATACAGTCAGTGTATTCAGTGCACCTCAATCTTCGGCTTTAGAGCAGTAAGTATTTTACAATCATTGTGTCTTGATACCATTTCCTCTTAGATTGTCGGTGGCGGCAGGAAATGGTTTGAATAACTTTAAGGAAATGTCTGCCGTTGGACTGCAACATGCCATAGAGCAACATAATGTAATTGATTTAAAAATTGATTTGTGTGCTCCTTATATTCTACTTCCGTATGGTGGAAAATACACAGGTGTGGAAAATCTTCTCGTAGCTAACTTGGGTCACATACGTATAGCTTCATTGGAACGTTCTGACACAAATGTCAGCGAATTGCATGCAAAGGGACAAGGCGGGGAGCGAATATTGGAGGAAATGATTACCCAAAGTTATGATCGCTTTGAGTTGAACTTTACAGAACTGCAGATTCTTCTAGTGCAAGGAGACGAAGATTGGTTGAAACTTATAAGTTCTACAACGCTTACACCTTCACATCTCTTATGTCCTTTAAACTTATCTTTGACATTTCATAAATGCCTCATTATTGACGATCCAAGATTGCCACTTGCGAAAATCCGATGCCATTTACCCTCAATTACTCTCCATATTTCAGATGTAAGGTTAATTCTTCTTCTTAATTTGGTTACAAGCATACCGTTTCCAGAGGAGAATATACCTGAAAACAAGCCTCTTATGGTGAGTATCTGCAGGTGGATTGACATCCACTCAAACCCGCACAGGAATTAGGGAACGGGAACTAGATCAACGTGGGATATGCAAGTATGCATTCTGATGCCGCATTTTGCATGCCTTATACTTGCATATCCCGCGTCCGTTTCATTCTCGTTCCCACATTCTCGTGTCGGTTTTAGTGGACTTTTAAGCTATATTCAATAGGGCGGTACTTTCAGTAACACCAAACGTTGGCACAAACTTTCTTATTATAAATTGAACCTTTTTTTTATTCAAATTTCTGATTGCGCTTTTTATTCTAAGTAAAATCCAACACGGTTTGTTGTATCTAAACCATATATTTCACCATTATAAAGCTTCGTAACTATAGAATGATCTATTGAACGTTTCTTATTATTTATTTATAATTTATTATCCCTCTCTTGTTCTGGGCCCTCAACAGGCATGCGCCCAATTACAGAGTGACCCGCATAATGCTATTTAGATTCTTTATTATGTTCCTATACCCCTCTAACTCTAATCAGACGAGCATGTGTTTTGGGTATCCACCACAGATCCTGTCATAACGAATTTTTGCAAAATTTTGCCAATTGTATTTTCGGCTGGCCGGTTATGTTGACCGAAATAATCACACAGGGCGCGACACTTACTTCTTTTTGAACACTCATTTTCGTAAAAAGCTTCCACAATTTATCGCGTCGCGCGGCCGTGTAACGCTCCCTACTTCAATTTGCCAATTTTTATGCAAAACAAATTTCAAAAAAAAAGCAAAGCAACATGATGCAAGTAAACCTGGTTAACACTTTTAATGTGTCGACTTGACTTTTCACATCCTATACATACATCAAACATTATAAAATTTTACTCCAATTGAAAATATGTATCAAAAAAGGCAATAAGGAAATATAAGGTTCCAATTAAAGTAAAAAAGAATTGGTTGTTGTTAAGAAGGCGTATCTTGTATAATTATGTGGGGGGAACAATTATTTACTAGATCAAAATCTTGTAATATTTTCGAACAATATTGGATAGATATATCTCGTATAAAAATGCTTGTATTATAACAGCCGATCAAAAATGAGTGGCGGTCAGATCGCCTTTGTAAGTTCAAGTTAAGTATATATACGATTTCTCATGTAAACAAAAATTCCAAAGGTGACTCGACAGCAACTCATTTTTGATCACATGGTACTAATAATAGCTGCTTATTAGAGATCATCTCGTTCACATACGTCTAGTCAATCTCTAATAAAATACCTGGATCTAGACGAAAAGCTTGCCGTAAAACCGTCAGCAGTATTTACTCCACCCGAAATTAAAGATCTTAAAGGAGATCTTATACAAATGACAAGCTTAGATGCTCAATTTATAATGGAAAGTGAGTGAAAGCCTTTATCAGGTCCCCGCTATTATTAATTTTCAGCACTACAGCTAGTAGTTAATCACCAAGAAGACGCCGCATCTCCTAATGAGGAAATACTAAACCTTAAAATTTGCCAATTAGAAGCCGGTTATGTACAGCAAACATTTAATAAGGACATTGTTTTAAAATTGGGTAGTATAAATTGTGGTCAAATGCGTCATTCAACTACAATTCCTATTGTAAATACACCATTGGAAGGTGAGAAAGGTTCTTATTTAATTAAAGTGAACTTTATACAGGTGCGTTGCTTTAAATAGCGTGACAAATTTTAACCTAATTTTTTATAGGTAAATAAATTGTCGCCTGAATTCCATACAAAACATCAGTCGTGTGAGTCACGGTTAATTTTAAATTTCACAAAATTGAATGTGACATTGCATCAAGAAGGTTTATTGGCACTTTTGAAATTTGGAACAGACTTGCAGACTCAGATTGAAGATGTGACAAGTAATGCTAAAGGTGAATCTTATGAAGAGGTAGGAAAAATTCGACGACTCTCTTCAGTCGCTGAGAGTTTTGTGAGTGACCTTAAAGCTTCTAAAACAGGTAGGTGGACGAATTGCTTAACTTGCCCCAATTATGGACTGTATTTAACAACAATCGTAATAAATGACTTTATTTAAATAAATAAATGGGCGAAGGTCAATTTGAAAAACTATTCAAAATGCGAATAATAACAACTTTAGGACTGAACATTTATCTTTCGTATAACAAAATAGACTAGGTATCTATGCTGTTGAGAGTTATTAAAAGTTTATTTGTGCATACTAGACAATTATCATGTTATGGCATGTTAAAAATCTCTGCTACCCTTTAACTAATGGAAAATTAAGTTTTGATATTCTTGTAAATATTTGATTGTTTTAATTAAATTTGAAAGTGCATATAAATTAACAATTATGCATGTTAAATATGGTCGGGTTTATTATGTTATTTTGTCACAAAATAAAGGACATGTATTGTATTAGGTACCTGAAAAATTCAAATGGAACATCAATTTATTTACAAATTCATTATACTGTTTTTTTTTCAGCTACAAATCTGTTAAATGTGGTTAAAAAAAAGAAAAGTACTGTAATTGAGACCATACAGTTTAAACTGAATGCGAATTTAGAAGAACTCAGTTTATTCTTTGCTACTGATAAGAGCAATATCTGCTCTACTGCCATAAATAGAATATTTGCGGAAGTTATTGTTAAAGAATCTTATACCCAAATTATTGCTCGTTTGGGCCTTATTGCAGTGACTGATTTGAATGAAGAAAGTATTCATTCACAGGTAGAGTGAGCACGTTTTGTTGTAGTGTATTTGTAGGGAATTTTAGATTTTAACCGTTACTGGAGAGGAAGTAGCAAATCTTCAAGTTGTAATGTATAATAGTGAACATAAATCACCGGATAACATTGACATGTCAGTTCAGTTGTCTTTGGGATGTTTGCGGTTTGTGTTTCTTAATTGGTTTCTGTCCAATATGCTGGTAATAAGTGGGGTGACAGTGGCCATTTTGCTTATTGTTTTTTTTTAGAACTTTGTGAACAATTTCCAAACTGCTAAACAAGCAATAATCGATGCATCACAAACTGCTGCTGAGGCTGCCTCTAATAATGTTCAAAATGCATACAAAAATAGCACACGTATCAGTTTGAGTATCAATCTCCAAGCGCCTGTTATTATAATACCTGTAGACTCGAAGAGTAACAAAGCATTATTGATTGACCTGGGCTATTTAACAATTCTAAACAAATTTAACACTCTTAATGTAGTAGGCGATCATGGTGAAAATGCAGTCTTAGATGAAATGAAATTGAAATTAACAAATTTAACAATTGCTAGCGTGATATTGAATACGGCTGGTGACATCGCTGAAAAGATAGCCTTACTAGATCCAGTTACTTTCACTTTGTCTATTAAGCGAAACCTATCAAGTGCCTGGTATAAATCTATACCAGACATAGATCTTTCAGGAAAAATTAATTCCATAACGGTAATAACTCCGCTATTTTATGGGATAATAATTTGGACGGTTGCAGGTTTTGTTGGCACAAACTGATTTTAAAATGATAATGAGCATTTTGGATGGTAATTTAAGTGAAGGCGACAAGCAAGACGCTCTACCTCCTGAACCTAAACAAGACGCATCGATTACAAGAAAACTGGGAGAAATCGAATTGACTGTGGCTAATAAGGAACTTGAGAGCGATTTGAAAGTTCACACAACTATAAAATTTACATTGACAATGGAAAGTTTTATCATAAACTTGTTTTTCAAAGGATCACAGAAAGTTGTACGTATCATTTGAGTACACTTATTTACATAAAAATTAACATCGTGGTTTTGCTCTTTGCAGTAGTTTTGTCAGAATGTTAATTTTTAGAAGCAATATAAGAGGCTTTTTGTACTCCAACTTTTTGGTTTAAACCAGAGACTTGTTATAACTAGACCGCGCGTAACGTAGATTTTACTATAAACGCCTGTTGTCAAGATAGGTTAGGCAACCAACTGATCATCGCGGGGCAGACGTACGTTCTGCAGCTTGCTTTAGCCATGTTTATTCTAAATTTTAGTAGCAAAAAAAGATAACATATAGCTGTTAACTGTTTTAATCGAATTTATTGGTATTTTATTTGAACTAAATTGGTATATAACTGCCTTACTCTAGTCCTAATTTGATTTATATGTGTATTTTGGTGGTGAACACGTATGGGAAAATATACTCTTAAAACTAAAAATGCAAGTAGTAAGATATGATTATTTAGCGGATTTTGATTCAATATATGCCTATCCAAAAACCCAAATGGGCTGTAACTGTTATTTATTTTTCTTAGACTGCTGATAACCATTTTGTTTACAACGCGGTGTGGTGTGGATTGAATGAAAAACCTGAACACATTTTCAGCAATTTGGCAAATTTTTAATGCATCACATTGATACGTGCAACAATTCTCCACGATTTTTTCTAGTTAAAAGCTTTGAATGACTCTCTGATGCGAATATCACATCTGCACATATGGAACATTTAACAGACTTAGCTATTTTTCTTGTAACAAAACCTGAAATATACTTAATATTTTAAGTGAATGGGAAAGTCGAAAACGCTCGGTATTGCATTATTGTTTAACACCTTCGTAGGTACCTTTCTAAAATCGGCTTCATTCCCCGCAAATGCACTATGGTGGGAGTACATTTTTCTCTTCGAATGGCTCTGATCCATTGGCCCTTTAAACTGTTATCCGTTGAAAATCAGCATATTATTTAAAAATTTATCGACAGAGTACATGTTGATAGGCATAAGCTAACCTAAGTTTATTGGTTTATTCTCAACACAAATTTATCTGTTCACTAATTCGAGCTAATCACGAGAATGATTAATGAACGGAACATCTAAAATAACAGCTTATTTCATTATATTGCATATCATCTCAGCGGTTTTTGCCCCGCGGTGCATTGTGTGTTGCATACTGTGTCGACAACACCTTAGATACGTTAAGCGCAGTCTAGTTATAGCAAGTCTCTGGTTTAAACCTACTGCATGTCTATACCGGGTGTAACATACCTGGTGAATATTCCAAAAGCGAATATACGCATTTAAGATGGGAAATAGGTTTTTTCTGAAACTACTTTAGACACAACTACTATCGGAGTAAAATGTAGAGTCCGCTGGCTTTAAACGGTTATAAAAAAAAAACTACCCAACCGATTTTTATCAAATATAAAGCGTAATATAATCGTCAACTATTTCTACGTATCCGTACGTAATGTCATATTTCTTGTTAAATTTGGGAAAATGTGATAGTGAAATATGTACGGGAAAGCGCGCTTTTTCAATGAAAGTATACGAACTCAGAACTTTAGGATTTAATTACAAAAAAAGTATTCACTCAAATGGGATAATGTTTACGTATGTGATAGAATACACCTTTAACTATACGTCGATACATTTTTATGCATTTCTGTATAATTACGCAAACGTTACAGCGATAAAATGACAGACGCGTTTATTCGCTTATTATAAGATACACTTTAAAAAGTTTTGTTCATATCGATAAAGGACAATTACAAATGATATGATCACGGAATAGAATCAATGACAAAAAAATGTGAAGGGCTGCAGGAATTAATATATTTTGAGCGAAAGAGATAAACGCAACACCTCGAGCGGAGTTGGGGGGAAGGTCATTTAATCGCAAAGTTGTACCTTGCAGCAACGTTTCGTATAAAGCGGCACACACGCTAAGTACACGGTTAAGTAATATATGCATGAAATTGTTATTATGTTTGCCGCACATCACACATGAAAACCGCAGGTTATTATTCATCTTGTTTCGTACGTAGAGTATTGGCTAATTTACACAAAAACAAACATCCACAAGTTGTTTTCAGACAATATGTACGCATTTATGGCGTTTGCTATTTTATTCATCTTATAAAAAAAGAATGAAGTCGTTTCCTTCAATAATAGCTGCGTTGCAATGTTTTTGCTTTTCCGCTAATTACGCAAAAAGGGAACAAGATATTTCCATAATTTTTTCTACAATAGCTACAGCAAGAATTGGGTTATGTAATACCCGAAATGTATGAATTTTCGTGGAAAAATAAACTATTTATGGACCTGTACAGTTGAGCATCGGGACAAATCACGCATTTTAGAGTACTTTTTTGTGAGGAAAATTCGATAACGTAAAAAGTCCTGGCAGCAAAAATTTACAATTTACGTATGTTAACAACTTATCAATTGATACGTTCCAAAAATTTCATTAATATCGGCTCCAGCGATTTTGAGATTTGAGCCTTCAAAGTGAGCGGACTCTACATTTTACTCCGATAGTAGTTTCGTCTCTAAAAAGGGCGAAGAAAATGTGATTTTCCTCTAGTGAGTAAAGTAAAAATCAGTTTCTGCGTTAATCTTAATAATGATTGCTATGTGTCAACTTCATTATACAATAATTTTTCAATTTTGATTGTAGTTTTAAAAAAAATTGTGTGCAAAACTTGAGAAGAATGTGTTTTTCAACTATCGTTCAATTGACACACTCGCTACGCTTACATGTCAAACTTTTTGAACTCGAGTTGAAAGACTCCACTTTCGTCTCTAGTTGAGATCGTTGCTCCCCATGTTAACAGGGTTTATAATGACACCAATCGAAAGAAGATTTTTTCTCATTTAATGATATACGAATTCATTATTTTTCAGTTGTATTCTTCATTATTTGTCTTCCATAATGTAATAGTACCTTTCAAATTTATGAAACTAAACTGACAAACATCAAATTCATTCTCCTAGGTTAAAATTAGCGACGAATGAAGATAAACTAATAGCTCTTCTTAGAAATAAGGAATTCAACTTGACACAGACGGTGGCTAGGCTTTTAGTATTTTTAACATTAGGTTATAACCGTTTCTTAATTCTGCATGTATTATTTAGGGTACCAACTTATCTCCCACACACGATCCAAAAGATGCATTAGCCCGGTTTTCATTGGAGGTATTATCAATAAAAGGTCGTATTTTATCAGATAACTCAATAGCAACCTCCATACTTTTGGTAAATTGTTTATTGGATGACACACGTAAAGGACGCGAAGGAAAACTTACTCGTTTAATGGAACGTAAAGCCGATTTGGTTTACGTAGACCAACCTAGTAGTTCTATGTCTACCGAGTCACTAGAGCCTGTGCGGAGTATGATTGATATTACCGTTCAAATGAAAGCCAATGATATGTTTGGTAAAGAAATGTATGTAGCGGTCAGTCCCGTAAAGATTTTTTTTCAGTTGACGTACGCATATTTAGCTTCACCATAATTATATCGTGCGAGTACCTTTTAAAAGTAGCCGAATTCTTTACTAATTCTTTGGCAAAGGACGAAAAGCAAATCACCAAACCAACAAATGGCAAACATTCAGCAATCGCAAAACCTGCCGAGGTCAAGAAAGAGTTCGTCGGGAAAAAGAAAGAGTCAACAGACTCTACGATAACACTTAATTTACGTATAGAGAAGCCAGATATAATTCTGGTAGAACATATGGAAACCATTGATGCAAATGCATTGATTTTAAATGTAGGTATTATTCTCGGATTTTGACCTTCATTTATGTTTGCCACAATTTGTTTAGAATGAAATTCTAATGAAAGTTCGTCTGTATGGTGAATCTAAAGTGATAAATGGGTCAATTTCCGATATTCATTTATACACTTGTTGCTACAATCCCTCAAAGCGAGCGGAGACGAGAAAATCAGTTTTACTTCCTGTTAGTATCAGTATTGCGGGTTCTACACCGGAGGGTCAAGGACTGCATATTGAAGTTCGTTCCATTTTAAGGTCTCAGTGTTATATCACTACGGAAACGTTTTTTAGGTTTGTGTTACAAATATTTGCATTTGTGTTTCACCATCAACAATTGAGTTATTAAGTCGAGCCGCTGCCTCACTGTCAAGTGGTGATGTTTCACAATCCGAAAGTGAGGTGGAATTAGTGGACCACAGTGATGCTTGGAATGCACAGAAATTTAGGGAAGAGGATTGCTGGTTTTTAAAAGCAGGTTTGTGATTGCACATATATCTACAACTTTAGAAAAATTGCTTCACATTCATATTTCTGAAGTTGTAATTGTCGTATAGTCCTGGTATTCAGGTTTAACATGAAACAAATTTTCTACGTGCAGAAATTGGTGAAGATGTATTGGAGGTGCTTGATACTGGTACACCAGAGAGTCCAAGACAAAAGCTGTCCGAATTGTGCATCGTGTCTATACCTTCAGTTGTTATAACTATCGAAGCTGGAGTTGGAAATAAGACACTTCCAATGTTACTACTGAACAGTAGTTTTCAGGGTAACGTTCACGATTGGAGTTCACAGTTATACATTGATGCAAGTCTAACATTACAAATGAGTTACTACAATAGTATGTTGGCAGTTTGGGAGAGTCTTATTGAACCAGTACAGGTGGTGCATGAAAACAAAACAGTTTATGAACCTTGGGCTTTAAGACTAGAAGTAATGAGTAAATGTCCATTAATCTTTTTAATATGGTATTTATAGGTGACGATGAATGAACGAGATGATGTTCCTATTAGCATATCGGAAGAAGTTGAAGAAGATGAGGAATGCATTCAATTGCAACCAGCTGCTATGACTATCGATGTTTCCTCTACATCTAACTTAGAACTAACTGTAACAAAGACAAGTATTGATGTGTTAAACAATTTAGCGAAAGCTTTTTCGTCAGCCATGATGAGAGAACCGATCAAAGGGAGTGAGATTACAGCACCTTATGTTGTGAAAAATGAGTCAGGTTTACGTGTTCAGCTTCATCTACAGAATGGTGCGTTCAAAATGTACGGACGAAACGATGATTTGGCAGAAGTTGTATTGGAGATAGGTGCTAGTGTTCCATTGCAATTAACGGCTTCGCTAGAAATGGCTAAAGATTTACAATTAACTGGTTCTCTTAAAATTGAAAACCGATGTTTAAATGTGGAAATATTGGATTTACTTGATTGTCGGTTGGAGTTACCAGTGGTGAGATCTGATAAGCGGTATTTCTTGTTGAAACATCGAGGAGAAAATAACGATAGTTGGGGTCTTGTATCGGCAGTGACTATAGATGAGGGTGTTACAACAGTGACTTTAAGAAGTATTCTTCAAGTATGTTGAAATGTAAAATTGTTGCTTTGGCTTTATTGTATGTTACTTCAGGTGCACAACCATTTTCATGTAAATGTAGACGTTTATTACATGACTGCTAGAGGCAATGAACTGGAATGCATTTCAAGTGTAGAACCGGGATCCTTTATTAATATTCCACTTAATGCTGTTTATACACCGACGAATGAACTATTTTTCTCTGTTCCCGATTTTTCTGTAACTAATACACCATTCATCTGGAAAGACTTGAAGTTAAATGTATCGATTACAAAAATAATGCACTGTATGCCAACGAATGAGAAAACTAACGCCGAACCATTTATTATTAAAGTTAGTAGTAATTTGTGAATGGTAATGAGGTGTTAAAAATCGTTATTTCTTTTAATAGGTTATCGGCGAAACACAGCAAATATATCACGAAAATACTAATCGCCACACAATGGCTAGTACATGTTATAACATTCACTTGCATCCTGCTGTAACTTTTAGAAACTGTCTACCTATAAAAATAATTTGTTCCATTCAAAATCTTGTAGAAGAAAAGGTCGTGGAACCTGGTGAGTCACTCCACATGCCTAATGTTAATCCTGGATGTTCTCGTATTATTGTAAGGGTAAGTATTACACAATAACAAGCTATTTATGTTGATGTACAATTATTTAGTTACCTGATTACTTAGACAAAGAGTGGTCATGTCAGCATGATGTACCAACGCAACCGCCCCCATTTACAGTATGGCAGTTTGAGAGTTATGATAGCGCTTGTAAGACTACATTAGATCTTGGAATGCATTCCATCACTAAATCAGGATCAACACATATGATACTTTATTGTCCATTTTGGATGCTGAATAAAACTGGATTAACAATATCTTACAGGGTGAGTTGGACATCATGATTATGATTTTAATGCGTATAATACACACAGATGCTTGTTGCAATTATGTTATGAACACAAATTACATTTTCAGTAATGGTGTCCAATTACAAGCTATTTAAGAGTTTTTGGTATGATAAGCATAAAATGTTAGAAATTGTTTGTCTGTATGAATACTGTATGGAAACCTACTCTGTCTATTTCAACTTAAATTTTTTACATGAATTACAGGCGATTTTAGAGCGTAAGTTGAGCTCCACTCTTACAAGGGTAAATAGGTATAATGGTGGGTTTATTTCGACTGAACCCTTCATTCAGAGCTACTCTTCTTCTTTTACCTATAACAATTTTAAATTAAATTTTATTCGTGAATTACTCGTACAAGCTAGTGATTTCAATTTAGTTTATACTATTTATACCTCTTTCATAATTACAGTAGAAATTCTGGGAACCGAAACAAAGGAAGTTGCTGGTGTTTCGGATAACCCCAATGTTTTGGATAAAACTTATTTTAAAATGTTAAGTGAAACAAGGATAGGGAATGTAAAAAATTGCTTAATAAAACCTTCAAAATGGGATTTTAATACCTAGATTAGTATTTAGGTACATACCTACCTACAGTAAAATGCCATGGTTATTTGTTTACAAAAAATACATACATACAGGGTTACCCGACATTCGCCGCAGCATACGAAAATGCCGTTAGCTTCGTGCAAATATGAATTACAATACGGCGTACGCTTATATAGTAATGCAGGTTTCGACGCAGCATCGGCTGACACGTTAGAAATTCCATGGAAAAGGAAAGTGATCATGCAGGATGAGCACAAGGAAACATAACGAAAGAAAATTGTACTTTATTCGAAAGAAAAAAATACAGCCTTCGGTTACATTAAAAAAGAAACAGCCTTCGGTAACACAAAAAAAGAACAGAGCAGTCTAAGAAAAGAAATTGCGTCGCATCTGCCGTTATAGTAAGTGTTCAAATAAGTCCCCGCCAGTAGCAATCGTGTAATGTAATCGGTTTTCAAATTCTGCAGACATGAGTTGGGTATGAGTAATACCCGCAGAACATTCACGGATGGCATCTTCTAAAGCAGCAGTGTTCGGAAACGGTCCACGTGCATAAATGGAATCCAGGTGACCCCAGTAGAAGAAATCGAGAGGGTTCATGCATGGTGAGCGTTTAAATTGTGACAGGAATTATCCGATGAGTAATGACAAGCAGTGACGAATCCTAGTACCATCGCTAACTCGTTGACCAATGCTGCGTCGAAACCTGCATTACTATATAAGTGTACGCCGCATTGTAATTCATATTTGCACGCAGCTAACGGCGTTTTCGTATGCTGCGACGAATGTCGGGTAACCCTGTATACCGTTAATTTCTTTTGAAAAAACTCTTCAATTTTCTTTTGTGTTTATGTAACTGACTGTCTCGGTTAAACACAATTTCGGTTTCCGTTAATAGAGTTTCTACTGTATTATCTTTACACTTTTTAAGTAATTATGGTGTTATATATTAGCATTGAATATAATATGTATAAGGTGTATATACAATGACTTTAATAATAATAATATGTGGAATTTTTCATAAAATTTCAGCTTTCTAACTAAATTATATGACCTAAAAAACAATAAGATGAAGCTCAAACATTGCTTGTAAGATCCATTAATTAGCTCGTAATTCGTATGTAGGGTGTCCCATTAGTATCTATTCTTTTCTACAGTGGCAGATTTTCCATAAGGCACAGTAGGCCCTGGCCTAGGGCGGCCAGAGATTAGGGGCGGCCAATCGTCACTGATGATAACAAGAAATAACTCAAACTCGGAGTACGTACTTGAAGTGAAAAGTCGTTGCTCACTGCAAGAGTATATTATAGCAGTTAGCAGGTGTTATAGTTAAGAGTTAACTAAATTAAAATTTCTGAATCGATTTTAAAAGTTGGCAATAAAGTAAATTCATTATGTACTGGGATTTTGCACCAAAAGGAAGCATATTTTCAAACTTCAGCAATGTGTTGTCGAACTTATTACTGGTGTACTGCACCAGGAATCAGAATCAAACAAAATCTTGATGATGTAGGTATATCGGTCCATCTGTACTCTCATTTCCAGTTAAATGGCTAAACCGATGGGAACTAAATTTGGTACACGTATTCTTAGATATAAAAGGGCATAATCGCGTATGCGTAAATGTGCGGGTGGTATCTGTGCTAGCCATAGCAAATTTGTTTATCTGTAACCTTCTAAATTTTATGCTTGTGATACCAAAAACATCTTTTTGAATTGATTCTGAGTATGTAGAGGAGGGGGCTAGATCCAACAGGGCAGGTTTTATGAATTCGCTTACTATATAAAGAAACAAATGAATATTATTCTCCTCCTTTGACGTGTTACACGCGTAATTCCATTCCATGTTGCTCACATGTGAGCAATCTTCTTTTATTTTGAGCATAATTGTAAAAATAAAAAAGGTTACCACTTGCTATTAACACTCCAAATGTGATCACACTTAAATTGTCCATCTTTGTTGATCCAGCCAAAAAACAGTAAATTTGAAATTCGCCAAATTTACTGTTTGTTGATTGGTTCACGAATCAATGAAGGCAAGTTGAACAGATAGCTATGAAACATGTTCAAGGGCGGATATTCAATCCGAGTGGCGCTAACCTCCGGGCTCATTGGTCTGTGTATGTAAACAACTTACTTTATTGATTAGAGGCAACCCAACAATTTTACCTCATGTGAATTGGAAAACTTCTTATATTATTGCTAATCAACTAAGTCAACAAATAAAAAGAATGTTAATTTCCCAGGATTTGATGAAATGCCTAGCATAGGATCGTAGTATAATTCCACCTGAGCAGTGTAGTGACAAGTCCGCTCATAATTTATTCAACTATTCCTTTTATGTATAAATATCTCATCATTTTACAGAAATCTAAAAAATCAGAGAAAGAAGCATCAGGAAGTCCTTCAAAGGTACCTAATTGCATAGTAAATATTGGTTTGAGTTTGTTACTTGCATGAGTTTTGATTATTTTTAATTTTTTTACTAGCCTAATACAAACTGGTGCCAATTTACCCCTTACTTGTAGCCATCTGGTGACAACTTGAATGTTCTTCATCATCCGGCAACATTTAAAGGACCTGTACTATTCTCTTTTAATGCAAAAAATTTCTTCGGGAAGAAGAAAGCCTCGATACGAATTGATCAGGGAGAGTGGTGCGATAAATTTTCGCTAGACGTAGCAGGCTCCTCAGGTTTTGTTGCATGTAAGCTGAATAACGCCATTTACCAAGTAATAGAGTGGAAGGTGTGGTGAAATAAATATTTATAAATAACTTGTAGATTGGAGTGCATAATCAATTGACTTACAATGGGTTAACTAAACAAGTTACATTTACGCCTTATTATGTCATAGTTAATAATGCTCCATTCGATGTGGAATGTCAGGAATTTGATCGTCCGGCTGATGCGTGGGTCTCTATTTCCGGAAAATCGTGCATTCCGTTTTGGCCTAGAAGTGAACGAGAGGATAAGCTTTTGAAGTTAAGGGTGGTTGGTACTCGTGAAGTGTCTGCTCCGTTTTTGTATACCGAAACGCACATCACTCTTTTAAAATTACATAACAAGTTTGGAGGCGTCAATGTGGATATACAAATAACTGAGGGCGGTGTTTACATTAACTTGTATAGTTACGAACCTGGAATGGCACCAGCTGTTATTGTCAACCACACTAAAGATATTATGTGCATTTGGGAAAAGGAGACTGTACAATTGAAGCGGCTCAGTCCTGGATATATGACTCTGTACGCATGGGAAAACCCTTCGGGGCCAAAGGTACTTGTCTGGGACATCGGTCATAAAAAAGAGATGGAAGATGATTTGCGTAAAGATGGCGTTGGTGAATTTTCACCATCTGATAATACTCAAGTGTATTGGGTGTCATTCTTGGACGGACTGCAACGTGTTTTGCTCTTTACTCTGGATAAGTCTGTGGCCGAGAATGTACAATGTGCCAAGCAATTTGAAGCAATTCAACAAGAAATTAATGTATTAATTCACGGTTTAGGTTTATCCCTTGTCAATAACGTTACTCGGCAAGAAATTTTATATGCTGGCATTGCAAGCAGCGGTATTACGTGGGAAACATGTAAAATGCACACAAGGCGTTGGAAACAGTTAGGAAATAGAGAGAGTTTGGCGATTGAGAGCGCCTACCAAAGTCATTTGAATCACTTACAAGTTTCTGGCACCTCCTCTGGACACGTCGTCGTTGATTCAAACACTGAAGTCGATTTTGAAACTGGGTTTATGTTTAGACCGAATAAACGCAGACTTCGAAGAAGTTTTCAGACAGGACTGTGGCTGCAACTTAAAACAAGTCCTCTTCAGTTACAATTACATGCTAAAATTAATCGGCTTCAAATTGACAATCAAATGCAAGACTGCATCTTTCCTGTTGTATTAGCTCCAGTACCCCCTCCAAAAACTGTGGCTAGCGATGGTGAGTTAACTCTTTTCTTTCTAATAGATTAACTTGCGTAATTTTCAGTTCAAAAACCGTTTGCCGAATTGAGCATTGTGCAGCGCATCATAAAATATAGTCAAATTCGTCAATTCAAATACTTTAAAGTTCTTATTCAAGAATTTCACGTAAAAGTGGATTTAGGATTTGTGAATGCTGTTGTGGAACTTTTACAAAATGATGCCTATTCGGAAACTGAAGAGGTACTGTATTTAAGACTTAAACACTCTTTAATCTTTTTAATGTATATTGCAGAAGGAACAATTTCTGCAAGACAAAAAACTAGTTGACGAACCTTTACTTTCACTTGTCGCTTCAAAATCTCTACAGGAACAAAAAAACTTTTACGATTTGTTGCATTTTTCACCATTAAAAGTACATGTTAGTTTTTCATTGCAAGCTGGCGGTGGATCTCCTCAAGGAACTCCAAATTTTATAAATGTTCTCTTGCAAGGTCTAGGCGTGACTCTCACTGATATGCAAGATGTCGTTTTTAGGTAACTATGGTTTTCCTTTTCCATACGGGGTCCTTTTTTGCGCGCCTCAAATATTTGGATTTCTGGATTTTTCAAAAGAGAACTTTTTCAGTAAAATGAACGTGTTGCACAGATTACAGATTATAAGAATATAAGCGTTAATCTGCTATTGAAATTCATTCATTTTAGGGACTATAGACTTTGTAAGTATTCAATTCTATCTTTGTAACTAAGGAGAGTAGTTGCTGTCAAATGCAGAGTTCTTTTCAAATTTTTATATAATTTGTCGATTGAGATACCTATGAATTACTGTTTTAACTACCACAGGGTGATGACTTGCGTAACGCATCATAGGGATTTCAATGCAAAATTCATAACATGCAATTATTGGCTCCCCAAATTATTTTAGAGCAAAATTGTATTAAGGTTTTTTGTCGAAAAAAATTTTTAACGCCAATCAACCGTATTAGTTTTCATTTTTTTGCATACTAAAGACGGAAAATTGGAACGATAATTTTTTTTGTGCAACTGGCCGTCAGTATTATGAAAGAGTTAGATACATATATTCTGCTTTAGATTTAGCAACTCTGTTCTAATTTAAGTAACATCCCAACTTGCTCTTAAGATAAATGAAATCTTCATGATGAGGTGCAAAAAATTAATAGGGACACCCTCTAATATTGTTGGAAATGCGATCATTTGAAAATTTATTACTATAGGCTGGCCTATTTCGAACGTGATTACACTTTCTTAACACAGAAACAGCTTATAAGCGAAGCTACGACTCATTACGTCGGCCAAGCTGTAAAACAGTTGTATGTACTAGTGTTAGGTCTTGACGTCCTTGGAAATCCGTACGGGTTAGTCTTGGGTATAACAAAAGGCGTTGAAGATCTCTTTTATGAACCCTTCCAGGTAAAACATTTGTGTTTTAAATTTTTTTACATGCAATTCTGGTGACAGGGTGCCATACAAGGACCCGGCGAATTTGCGGAAGGATTGGTTTTAGGAGTACGTAGCTTATTTGGACACACAGTGGGGGGAGCAGCTGGTGCAGTTTCGCGTATAACCGGCGCGCTTGGCAAAGGAATTGCTGCACTTACTTTTGACGATGAATATCAATCTAAACGTCGCGATCAAATCAATAAAAAACCAGCCACCGTGCAAGAAGGTATTGCGCGAGGGGGTAAAGGTTTAGTTATGGTAAGTTTGACAATTTTATTTGAAATGTAATTGCAATTGGGTACAGGGAATCTTTGATGGTGTTACGGGGGTGTTTACAAAACCAATTAGTGGTGCTAAAGAAGAAGGCATTGAAGGTTTCTTTAAAGGTATTGGAAAGGGGGCTGTAGGCCTTGTAGCGCGACCCACAGCTGGTGTTATCGACTTTGCAAGTGGTTCTTTAGATGCAGTTAAAAGGTTAGTGATAAACCCACACAAAATTATAAGGAAGTAGCATGGGCATGCGTTTTGTGCCCCAGTGGTACATGTAATAGACCAAATATAATAGTTTTCTAAATGCTCTTGATATGAGCTTTCTGAAAAATATAATACCTGCCATATTGTTGCCAATAAAATTTTTTTATCTTTGACCTTGCTCTGACTTGATTCCCTAACCCCAAAATCTGCTCACTTCTTTTTTAAATTATCTGTTTACTAAATTTGAACTTTACATTTCAAAGCGCTTTTCGAGTTATTTTGGAAACGGTGGGGCGGACGAACGCCCGATAGGATGTTTTAACTTTTTGACGTATTTTATAAAGTATCTACGTATACCTATGAACATTCTATAATTTCCTCAGAGCCACAGAATTGGGTGAAGAAACCAACAGACTACGTCATCCACGATTCATTCAAGCTGATGGTTTGGTGCAGCCCTATAAGCTTTCAGATGCAGTGGGACATAAACTGCTAATGGACTTGGAAAAAGGAAAATATGCACATACTGACATTTACTGTGCACATTACATCATAGTTCTCAAAAAGGAAGTGTTATTGATTACAGATAAGCGTATAGCGTACATCGTTCATAATGATATATTTGGAGGATGGCAAGTAAGTGTTTTGTACAAATTACATCGATTTGACTAATGTAATCTATGCAAAAAATATACTATTTTAATCTAATTTTAGGTAGAATGGTCTTACACATTAAAAGAAATTAAACCACCACCAATGATTGTTTCGAAAGGTGTATCCATAAGCACAAATGAACAAAAGAAGAAGAAAATTTTTTCATTTGGTTCAAAAGATTCAGGAAAAATTATAATAATAAGTGATCCAGAGTTACGCGAAGAAGTGTGTAACAAAATTGACGAGCAATTAAGGAGTCTTGGTTAATACAATTAGTTGAACGTACTTGCTTAATGATGATATTTACATCACACAGTGATAATGCTGTTAATTTTCAATATTGTTCAAATGGTTACTGAACTGAGTACAAAAAACTGGAATCTCAAAATAATGATAATTATGTTGTTACTGCTGTAGAAGTATAAAAATGGCATTAATTATGAATAATTTTTGCCAATTACCGAATTTTGCTTTTGTATCTTTGGATTACACGCACGCACTGAAAATAAGGCTATTTAAAGAGAGAGTTTATATGCTTTTTGTAAGCCATCTATTTATGATGCTTTAGCATATGTATTCTGGTTATTAATACTACTAAATATATTGCTATTTTAAAGAAATCTTTGTACAGCCTTGTATACCTTCAGAGTGAATGATGAAAATCGGAATCATTCCTGAGTTTTCTTAAAAATATTAAAAGTTCGGAGTGTGTTCATTAAAATTTCAACAACATCTGTATACAAAGTAAGCACTGCATAAATGTATTCTTCTGGTGATAATTGGATCCTCCTTCCTCCCATGATCATCTGTGTGTCAAATACCAAGTACTACAAAAAAAAGTGTTATATTAAAATAGTGTGTCTCTTACTGGATCATTCACTGATGTGAAAACAAAACCAATCATAGCAGAGTAAATGGCATAGACAAGTGGTGTTTGTGTAGTTACTGCAATAAGTGTCAGTATAATTCCAAATAAAATTGTTGCCGATGTAATAACGCACAAGCAGGGGAGACATCGTGTACAATCGCACTAAAATTAATCTGTTAATATAGGTATTTGTAGTATCACAATTATTACCGAATGTTGACATGCCATTATTGCCATTGCAAAGGTTGTAACTACTGTTGTCCCAACACTCATGAGCACTATCTGTGTTTTATAAATCAACGAAAGTATTGCCAACATGTAGGACAATGCGATTGTCTAATAGGTATAGAATTAAATTTTCTATATTTAACGATGTTGTCTTACAAAAATGGTCAGTAAAACGAAATTAAAAGGAAAGCTTCTCCTAGCCTTTCTGCTGCATACTAATGTAAGGTACACAAATAGGAATATACACCTGAAAATTATCATACAAGATTATACAAATAAGGAGGACATTTCCTCACATTGCTAGAAACACATACAGTGTATGTTTCTGTAGCTGATGTTTAACTGGTTGCCTAAAAAGCATTCTTAATTTAAACACCCAATAGTTCACTTAAATTACTTACACATATGTACTTACAAAAATAAATCCGCTCATACATGATAACTGAATACCTAAAATGGTATAAACACGTTGAATGAATCTACCTCTAATCCTTTGATTTTCAAAAGAGCTTATAAATATTAACTCTGTACGAGAATATTCATATTGATCGCTGTTCCTTATGAATACTCTTGATTCAGTATTGTTCTGTGCTAAATCCTAATAAATACTCTTATAACCGCCTTGAATTTTTGTTATGCGTTACTTGTGCATATTGGGGCTGGTTTCCAATCATATGTTGTTGATAATAAGTTGCTTGACCAGATCCTGCAGCTTCTTGAATGCGATTGTCATATCGATTGCTTTGGTTCTTTGCTCGAGCAGCACTGTTGATGACATTGTCAAGAAACAGTATAGATTCATTTGGTTCTTTTATATTGGGATTGTCTTCATTAAATAAAATAATGTTACGAGTTGTAATAACTTTGTGAGCTGTGACATCTATGCCAATGCCATTCATATTCTTTTCATTTATTTGTATGACAGTTTGACATCTGTTGTTATTCTTTGATAGGTTGGTTTGTTTTCCAGAGTAAATAATTACAGTATTGCGATTGCTTCTATAGTTCTGTGCCTGTCTGAACTCACAGACATAAGTCTTTGTGGAGTTCTGTGAGGAAAATTGAGTCCTCTAAAATTGATACTGTATCAATCTTTTTAGCGCATTTTTTAAGAATTAAAAAAAAAATGTGCTATTATTTGCGTTTTGTCCGTCCGTCCGGAACCACTTGTACCGTTTTGAACTACTTATAGGGGAATGGTCCTAGAGTCCTGGAATTTGTTGTAGTAGGTAGCCTATACCTTGAAGGTGTGCCAGACGGCCATCAAATTTCGCTGTCTAAAAGCCCTCCCTCCCTCACGAATTATTTCCTGAGATGCTGTTTTTGAAAGTAAAACGTGCATAACTTTACATACGACAACCAATTGGTCTCAGATTTTGCATACGCATGCCTTTAGTGATGCCAAGTTAAACTTTAGAAAATGGGGGTGGGGTTAAACACATGCTCTACCCTTCATGGTATTCTAATGAAAGGTCTCATCGAAATAAATTGGTGTCGCAATTTCTCACAAAAACTGCTTACACTAGCAGCTCTTTTAGCTTCCGGAAATGCAGCGTTTTGGCGCCAATTGGACATCATTGTGTTGCCGCGCTGTAGTCTGTCAGCGGTAGACCTTAAAGTCAGGATTCTCATAGTCATTTACGTGCCACAATATAATAAAACTTGATCGTTTACTCGCCGAAATGAAATGGAGAACTTGGTGAGCTGGATTTTTGGCTGTTTAGACTAGCAAGAAAAGTGTCGCGAGAATTTTTCCGCGAGTTCTGTCAAATGAACTGGCAATGCTATTTACACTTGCGTTGCGACGTTGAGTAGTGTCCGACAGCAAACCGCGCGAGTTTTCTCGCTAGTCTAAAGGCACCATTATAATCGATTTTTTAAATCGGAACGGATAGGCATGCGCTTTGGACGGAGTCACATCAGAGTTTAGGTCATTATGATTTCATCTTTGAGTTTTAAACAACGTACTCGCGCACATAAATAAACCCTTTTTTCATGACCCGCACCCGCGTATTATCCAGTCGTTGGAGTATTTGTGTACATATTTTGGATTTTCGAAGGCAAAAAGTTAAATTCTTGCGTACGATTACGTACAGCAGGTAGAAGCATAGTTGTGGGACACCTAAAACTATGCATGTAAGAACGTTTATTTTTAATTCAAATTCCGAAAAAGGGTATACACGTGTTTGTGGCGGTTAGAAAAGTTCTATTTGGGAACCGGTGTGGTAAATGAACACCTCTTTTGCGTAACAAAGCATGGTATGAAAATTTAGTGTCTTAAACATATTAAGGTAATAAACCGTTCAGTTTACAATTCTTTTTTTTTAATTTAATTTATAGGAAAATGAGCTCTTTTGATAACATAAAGAGTGAACACTTGGCAGAGTTGGAGACAGAAGATGACTTGCAAACTGGTAAAATCCGATTGAAAAAGGAATTGGGCTTACTAGAGGGAGTCGCAGTTATATTGGGAATAATCTTTGGTTCAGGTACATTATGAGTTCTATAGTAGGTACCTATAACAGAACGTTGGAATGTATATATTTATTATAGGCATATTTATATCACCTAAGGGCATAATACAAGAAGTAGAATCCATTGGTTTTTCTTTAGTTGTGTGGGTTTTGTGTGGTTTATTGTCAATGATTGGTGCAATTTGTTACGCTGAGCTAGGAACGACTGTACCTAAGTCGGGAGGTGATTATGCATATATTAATGAAGCATTTGGACCACTTCCCGCTTTTCTCTACTTGTGGGCAGCTAATTTAATTTTTGTGTAAGATTTATGCAACAGTTACATTGTTTATCAATTTTCTTATAGCCCAACTACCAATGCTATTATGGGCCTTACATTTGCCAATTATGTAATTCAACCGTTTTTCCCTAATTGCAGCATTCCTAACGTTGCAGTTATGTTACTTGCGACTATTACGATATGTAAGTATTCACAAAAGTTGATTGACAAAGTTGACCGACACTTACAGCTTCCCTGTCATACCTAAATGGTTACAATGTAAAAGCAACAACCAAAATACAGAATGTGTTTATGTTTTGCAAAGTCGGTGCTTTGATTGTTGTTATATTAGTTGGTGTTACGTGGATGTGTATGGGACATGTGGAGCACTTTGACGAACCCTTTGAAGGAACTATTACAAATCCGGGAAAGATAGCGAAAGCGTTCTACTCTGGTATATTTTCGTATTCTGGTTGGTGAGTGCTCATTTAGTTTATTGAGTATTATTTTTTCATCTAACTTGATTTTGTAGGAATTATCTTAACTTTATGACAGAAGAATTAAAAAATCCATATGTGTAAGTATCTACATTTGTAGAAAGTGTAGAATGATCATAAAAAAATTGATTATAAGTCGGGATTGTAACCTGAAATCCTTTAATTAATGTCTTTTTCAAAATCTAAAAAATCTGCCAGGTAATAACACAATTCGAGAGACATCGGTTGTTCGATCATACATTAAAAAATTATTCTAAGAGAAAAGACTGTTTTTTGTTAATAAGGTCAGATTTATGACCACCTGTAATACAAAGGGTCCACTTGTCTGGTTTAATATTTTGCATAACTTTATTATTATATTTTGCATTTACAACAACTCTGCAGGGTGTTTCAAAATCTATGTCTGTGGTGTATTATGCAAAAATAAAAAGTGTAGTGTAAAAATTGAGGTTGACCAGATGAGGTGACTATTTTGCGCCAAAATGATTGTTCCTGGGAATTTTGGAAAATTGGATTATGACGTCATCGAATATATTTTTCCCAGAAACCAACATTTTTTTCCGCAATCATTAATTAATAAAAAGTGCCAAATTCTTGACAGTAAAGCTTCCTATCGCTCTTCAGCGTTTAGCGTCTTTTTTGCACGCTTTTTTTAACTTTTGTTTGTGTTTATTACTAATACCTCGACTAATACCTATTTATTGCCTACTAATACTTAATTTATTATCTAAAGTCAGTAAACACAAAGCTCCTTAGCTAAAATAAAAATTATGTTTAACATTCTTGAGCAAGCAACCGCGCTTCTTCTCTCTAGCTTTTGAGTCTAGATGAAACCCTCAGTCGCTCGTGTGTTCAAATCTAGAGCTCAAAAGTAAATAGTGCCTTCGCTCACTTGTACTAAAAATTACTATTGTTGGAAAGTCCTTTTTTTGAAGAAATTTTTAAAAATGTGACATTTGTTTTGATTTAAAAGTTACAAGCCTGAACGTTTCAAAAAATACCTTTATCTACGACTAATATACAATGTGAGTATTATACTTATGGTTTTTTCGGTATAATGCCATATATTATTCCCTTAGGGATTAATAGCTCTTACGCCTTCTTGTACTTCAATTAGAAAATTTCCTTAAATTTAATATCATACAAGAACAAAAGAAATTTGGATTTAGGTTCTATATCATTCCTTTGTCAAATGTAATCCTCTATCACGTGGTTTGCTTAAGTGAGGGAATTTATTTATTTATTTATTAGATTTTAGATGGTTTCTTGCGAACAACTCGAGAAATAAGTATTTTATCAAAAATTGTCGAAGTACGAATAAATAATCTGTGTAGTATCCCTGTAGATATAGATATATATATAGATCATACATTTAAAGAATGTTTCTCGTTGCTCTCTGGGAACTTCTGTTGAGTTTTTTGACTTACTATTGCAATGATTGGTTTTCAGCCAATTAACGTCCACAAATAAGAAAGTTAGCTGACAACTCCGCATTTTGAATATAAAAAATATTTCTTATGAACCTTCTACGCTTTCGAGGCACTGTGATTATTTTCTGTAGATAATATCGATTTTAGTAATTTACCAAGGGCAATATTTATTTCTATACCTTTAGTTACTGCGATCTACGTATTGGCGAATATGTCCTATCTTGCAGTTTTAACACCAGATGCTATGAAAGCATCTGATGCAATTGCAGTTGTAAGTATTACATTTAAGTTGTCGATTGTGTTTAATAGTATCATCTAGACATTTGGTAATCGTGTAATGGGTAAAGTGGCATGGATTATTCCGGTAATGGTTGCTATCTCAGCGTTTGGCGGTCTGAGTGTTCATATCATGGCATCATCTCGAATGTTATTTGTAGGTGCTCGAAATGGACACTTTCCTGCCTTCCTTTCTCATTTAAGCATAACACGTTTCACACCTGTTGCTTCGCTAGTATTTTTGGTAGACTGAGAACTGTAATATGTGTTACTGATGGTTGTGTTTTAGAATGTTTTGTCCTTACTGATGTTAGGAATTGGCAGTATACATAAGCTTATTACATATTGTACAATCGTCGAATCGTTCTTTGTTATGTTATCTGTCATGGGGCTTTTATATATGCGATGGAAGCGACCTAAACTAGAACGACCAATTAAGGTTTGGATCGGTGTTCCAATCATATTTGTTATGCTGTGTTTTTTTTTAATTGTGATGCCTTGTGTCGAAGCGCCTTATGAAGTAGGTATGGGAGTACTAATTACTTTATCTGGGATTCCTGCATATTATTTAGGAGTTTGTTGGACAAATAAACCATTGTGGTTCCAAACTATTATGCGTAAGTGTTACGGGTAAGTTATGGAAGTCTCTTAAATTACAATATCATTTGTAGGTAAAGTAACAAAAGTGTGTCAAATAATATTCATTGCTGCCAAAGAGGATTAAACATATGTCGCTGGCGAACAAACAATAAGTTGCCATTTCTAGTTTTATAGCTTTTAAATATTGTGTGTAATCTACATAATAAAGAAGTTACTTAAAGTAGTTGTTTTTTGTCCTTACAACAAAAATGATTAAACTTGTGCCAACAAATAAATAGATATAGTAAATAAAGACATTGGACATTGGCCCATATGAATAAAAGGGAGCATATGCTTATACTTGGTAGTTAAATTGTCCTGCCGAATTACACAAAGGTTTGCAATTAAACCGAGTAAATTTGGGTTGTTGCAATTCAAATTTGTTTCCTTTGAACTTGAAAAACTGCTAGGCAACAGATTTTCATTACCTAAACAACCCAAATTTACTTGGTTTAAATACAAACCTCGCGTGTAATTCGGCAGGACAATTTAACGAACAAGAAATTCACCAAACTAGTCAATTATTGACAGACGTCAAGCTAATCATATGGGAAAGGATAATGCAATAATTGGTTCGAAAATGAATAAGTGAAAAAACCACTAGTGCATTTGTCACTGGAAAAGTTGCAGGTAACTTTTGCCGCTGTCAAAGTGACAATTTCACTGCGGCTTATGCGATTTTTTATCACGAACTTATAAATTAAAAGTTCGTGTTTTTTATACAGGAGTTGAATCTTCACTGAAAATGGCTGTGCGTGCTGGACTAATAGTGAACTTACCAATGACGTGCATGGTTAATACCATCGATATTTCCTCTACGTTAATATCCAAAGACATCTCGGGTTTGCTCATATTTTTCTTGTATTTAAAGATCGAGTCCCATTATAGTTATCATGTATTTATATACTTTTGCCTCAAATAGAATTTTTACCTATTGCCATTTGGCATAAACTACCTCTAATTATGACAATTAAAGTACATAATAGTTGTTATAATCTTACAACATATAAATATCTTTTAATTACAGGTCATAATATAATTTTGTAATGCTACACATATAGATAATACAAAATTAGGAATGTACAACAATTAGATTTGTATTCCTTTAACGAACAAGATCCTCTGGATTGAACATTCCCTAAAATTCGGAACATTTAATAATAATAAAACTACAATAAGGAAAATTACCCTTGCACGACGTAATATCGAATCTTTACTGGCATCATAGGGATGGTCTTTTGAAGGTATTTCCAACACTGCAGGAATTGGCTGAGTATGATTATCAATGACGTGGCGAATCATTTCTGCAATGTTCTGATTAATAAGAATGATATCAATATCGTCTCGTTTTAAAAATCGTTTGAAGCATTCTTCGATTTCACTGATAGCCGTATCTAAAATAATAATTATCGGAAAAATGACTTTTTAATGAAAAAGTTGTATTAACTCTTATCTACAACCATAAAGTTGGGGTGTCGATTCTTGTTTATTTCTCCTACACCCCCTAAAAGAAAACCAACACAGGTGTCCTACAAAACTAACTTTGGCAGATCAATTATTAATTAGGAAACTACTCACTTCATCTCCGATAACTGAAATCAATTTTCCTTTTATTGCGGCGTGCAGGGCCATTATAATTACACTTCAATCTTTATTGGAAATTTATTCAGAATTTCACAAAAATAGGATTGGAATTTATCATATGACGAGCATGTGATATAAATAATCACGCAAACGCAGTTAAGCTAAAACGCCTAAATCTGCGCATGCGAAAGAAACGTCAAAGGTGCAATTTGTTTTTAATTAAAATGTAGGTTAGGTTATTGTTTTCGTAACAGGCTATTATAATGAATAAACATACCTATTCGTGATGTACATTTAAACTCGCAGACTTTTGAGGTTGTTATACCAAGAGCCATGTTTCGCTGCAGCAGTATAAAATCCGAAAAGGACATTATAAGCCCCATGTTCAGAAATCGTAACCCAAGACATTTCAAATACCTACGAATCGCTTATAAACCGGATGGCTACTACGGTGATAAAACTGGGACGCTCCTACTAGCATAAGTACACAAATTTGGTTTCCTACCGCCTCCAATAAGACCGTCCAATTGTAGATAACAACCGACACAAACAGGCCGTCACGTAACTGCATTGTTAGTGCACCACATCAATGGACCGACACTCACAGAGAGCCCAGGCTGTATAAGACCATGCACCAAGTCGTTGGAGTAAAAATTGTCACACGCGCACATCCCTACATTAAATTTAATATTTGCTACTTGTAGGTTTCAGTTCTTCCTACAAAGATGCCTTGCAACCGGTCCGATAGAGTTTATGTGCGATCGCAAACCCGAACAGGAGAGCAGTAAGGTCACAAAATTTCTAATGTGTGCTGCAAGATTTCAATTTGAAATTGTCTGAGCCAGAACAGTACAAGACCATATTGCCGTGGACGAGAGAAAGATTACCAAAACCATAATTTTTGGTAAAAAAGGAAGGTTATACACTGCCTTTTTTTTGGCCCGAAAAAAAAAATTTTCTCAGATCGACCGGAAAAAAATATTTTCTTATAGAATGTGGCCTGTAGAATCCATAATTTCAAACAGTTCCAAGATCGGGCTAGGTACTAGATCAAAAGTTACAGCCCTTTGAATTTTTTGTCGAAATTGGTTTTTTGCCCATAACTTTTGATTGAGACGTCTAATCGAAAAAGTACGAATCGTTTTAAAAAAGGCCGTCAGAATTTTTGGTTGAAATTCTGACAGCGCCAATCGATAGCGCTGGTCGAGACCTTTCCAACGAGGAGTCGGAAGGCATACATACGATGCACCGTTCATCGAGATTTCACCAGGGGCTTAAATGGCGCCACCGTCGTTTTTTAGTTCATCGAGATTTCACCAGCAGCTTAAATGGCGCCACCGTCGCTTTTTAGTTCATCGAGATTTCACCAGGGGCTTAAATGGCGCCACCGACACTTTTATATGTTGTCAATGCGGGACACCCGGCGCTTGCGGTCTTTGGGGGTGGGGGGTGCAACGTTCCCCAACAAAAGAGGAAGTTCAGGTGTCCTCTCCCGTAATAATGTAAAAGACGTTTGACATAATCTTTTCCACCCGAGGAAATGGAAAATTGACTGTTGCATGTAGTACCATACACTTCAGAATCAAATTGAGTGTTTTTTATGAAGGGAAATTCTGCAATTATGCAAAAGTTTTCAAAAAGAATTTAACCACAATCGCTAACACAAAATAGAATAGGTACTGTCATTTTATATTAAATTTAATAAATTCAAGAAAACGCAAAACAAGGAGCATGATACAGGGAGTGTAAATCATACTCTCCCTCTTACTACCACTTTCAATAAAGGCAAACGTTGATTTTGCGTTGTACCTAGCTGTCACATACAACTGCTGATAAGGTTTTTAAATAAATTGAAACAATACCATGTAATTAATCAACATAATATAAAAGCACTATTAAATTAATGCCTTTAAACTTATTGCTTCATGATATGATTACTTTTATCTGCTGCACTCTAACAAATTGGTTTGTATCTTGAGCCATTGTAATGAGAATGTGGAAGTCAAGTGCGTCACAATTAGCAGTTCCACAAAATTTGTTCACGAAAAATCCTTTTGAAGTTGCCAAAATAGTTTACTGCATTTCAGTAACTGTTGGAAGTTTTACATGGCGTAGACTAAACGATTCGAAACAGTACGTACAAACGCGCGCTCAAGTGATTGTAACAGTTGCATATTTGATGGTCTACTTGTGCAGTCTATATTTCCAAAGAGATCTGACCACGATATACACCCATGGTCTTCGATGTTCAAGTTTGCTTACACTTTTGTCAAGATTGAATATATTGATTGGAAGTATACTTACAATAAGCGTTTATCTCAACAGCTTGACGCGAGTGAAGCTTCTTCTGAAATCATTTATTCGCATTGACTTTATTGACCAGACTCTTCAGCAATATGGTTTGCAAGAGAAAATTTTGGATAAATACAGAAAAATGAGAATGCTTACTTCCTTCACTATTTCTTCGTATTGTGCGCTGATCGTTATATCCGCCGTTTTTGCATTTCGCTCTTTCCATTTTGGTTTAGTACTAAACATTGTACTCAATCGTTTTATCGCCGTTACCGTATATCACCAGTTTTATGTTTGGATAGAATCAATTGGCAATAGATTCGAAGTTGTTAACTATTTTATAGCAACGAAAGGCCAAAAAATACACGATGAAGAGCAGTTTATTGCGGAATTATCCACAGCCTTCTCGTTACGTTGTCAGCTGAAGAAAATTACTAATAGCGTTAATTCATATTACACATTGCAGCTTCTTCTGTTCATTAGTTTAAGTTTTGCTTACTCAGTGGGTTATGGATATCTGACGTTGTACTTTGCTATTGGCCCCTCTGCCAAGATAATCATAGTCAAGAATTTCTATTTATATCTCACTCATATATGCTATTTTTTGGCGATGCTATGTATGGTAATAAAAAGTATTACCAGAATGTGTTCGGCGGTAATTATCTGTGTATGCACATAATTATTACAAATATTCATTTTGGTTATTTTAGGCAAATGAATTTGGACGAATAATACTTGAGTTGAAAATAAAACCAAAACGGAAGCGATTAAGAACTGTGGTAAGGTTCAAATATGATTTAGCTTTGTGTAGTATACTATATACTAACACTGTGGCAGTATAGTATTCAAAAATTTAATAGGTTTACCATTAATCATGTTTGAAGGTTTAGAAAACTAAATAACTCTGTAACAATTTTCCTTCCTGAAACATTGTCTTCGCGGGTGCGCGCGACATAATTATTAAATCGAATAAAGAAAGACATAATATAAAGGAGTATATTTGGGTTTCAGCAGCGCGACTGTCGCAGTGCATTAAAATGTTACCCTACCGCTCTTTGATCATTTTCATTATTCAATTAAAAATTGTTTTAAGGCAACTGTTTTTTAATTATTCTTATTGCATTACTGGGACCACACCGCAGACAACAGAGCACGTTAAATGTCAGGCCGTCAGGGCGACTTTCAGTTTCGGAAAAAAACGATGTTCTACAAAAATGGCTCTAGTGCTTACAAAATTAAATTTCTTTAACAAGTATTTTTTTACGTATTAAGAACTGTTCAATCCATAACATACTTACTCAAATTTGCAAGTATTTGGTCGAGTCATTTTATTTTAAATGAAGTTTAAACTAGGCTGTAGCGACGCAGACCTCAAAAAATGGACACTTTGAAGCGTTCTCTCACTGAAAAGTATTTATTACTTAAAAAAGTATTTCTTAGGCTTAAGAGTACGTGTTAGGTCGCGTAAACATTAAAAAGCGCCGTTCAAATGGTAAAAATGCTCCTCGCTGTAGACATCGCATTTTTCAAGATATACACGTACCTCTAATTTGGAATAGAGTACCTTCAAATGTTGAGGTACAATATGTCTGAATTAGAATATTAAAAATCGCGAGTATTTTTGCAAAATCTACGTGTGACGTTAATGCGAAATACAGACTATGTTTGACATATTTATTAGGGGATTAAAATAGTAAAAGGGAAAATTCAGTCATAATGAAGTTTAAACCGCTATTTACCTTTACAAAAAAATGTCATTACATTCATAATCAAATAGTTCTGGGATCGGCTAAAAACTATGTTCTCGTTATAATTTTTGCGTAATCCAGTATTAGTTCTTGGTTATAAGACATCTGATATCCACAGGGACTGGGTTACCCTTCCCAATGTTTACTTTCCTCTAAAAATGCGGCGGGAGAAGGAACTGGAATTTCCCCTAAAGTTTGCCAGCCGACTTCAACGGTAACGTTACAAATGCTCTTAAATAACGTAAAATGAAACAGGCTTGAATTTGATACCCAGTTCATTAAAATTGGCCCAAGCATTATTTTTATATTAAGCTTCAAACTGGACCGTACATACTTTTTAATCCGACAGTAGTTCTGAATTTGCTTGTAACAACACTGCACAGTCTTGGTGTCACAATATGTGTATAATTTACTTTGTAAAAGCGACGCAACATTGGACTTTTGTAGATAATCTCGACATCTCTAAAACTGGTGAACGACAAGATAGAAATTTATGCGTGCAAGCTCATTCAAATGGATTTTTCACTTCTATCATCAGTAAGTATGAAGACAAAGAGAGTATATCGTCTTAACTAAATAAATGATATTTCAGATGTTTGTTGCACTAGCCACCTATTGCATTGTTATGTTGCAATTTGAGTTAAACGAAATAAAGGTATTCTCTGCGATTACATTTACGAACAGCACTTCATAAAATATACATTGATGATTTTTTTATGTGTAATACATGAAAATGTAATCGTAGGCCTAATACTTAAAATCATTAACTGTCGTGATATTGAAATAGTACAGTAAATTCTGATTTAAAATTATTGTCTTAAAACACGTTTTTGAAGCTAAAAAAATTCCCCGGGCCCCCCTTCACTGGGGAGTATTCCATATCTCTGTTTCAAGAATGACGTCCCCCCCCCCCTCTCCCCAAAAACCTAATCCTATATCCGCCCCTGTACAGTACCATAGAGTAACGTTACTGTTAAATCGATGATAGTAATTGTACCTACCTGTTCTTCCAGTAAGCAATTTAATATTCTAATAGTGTTGTTATCAGCTGTATGTATGCGGGAGGGATAAATGCTTGCAGGATGCCTAACAGATCTCGGAATTAAAAAATTAAAAAAGATTGGCGAAAAGAACAATAGACAATTGTATCAGAAAATGACTCATTAAAACTTCATAATGCTTTAAATATATTGCATACTTCATTTACAAATAAACATAATGTACTTATAAAACCGTAGCCACTTGATATTATGAGCCTGGCACGGATCGTGTGTGAGTCACAACCAATCACATTAATTATGTACAAACTGCTGCACTGCAGAAATCTCACACAGGATCGCTAATTGTATTTATAATGGTTGGCAAGCACATATAATTGGCACAAATTCTAGCCAACCCGTGACTAAAAGTGGCAAAGTTAAGACAACAGAGAGCACAACATTCATTCAGCTCTCTTGTAACAAAAAAATTATGGTTAAGTGTACGTACGGTCACTGGAATTACTTATGTATTACCAACCAAACAACCAATGAACCAATTCTTTTTTATCACATTAATCCATGTCATGTAAACGAAACATTTGACAATTCTTTCAGAGAATAACTTTGACTCAGTACGTATAGTAATTACACAACCCCGGACTAATGACATTTAATAATTTTTTTTACGATTTAATATTACTTTGCATTTTTTCAAAATATAAGCAAAAAGACAGAATTGATTAAGCATACTCTAACATATGAATATATATTATATATGTACTTATATAGATACATGGTACTGTATAAATATAAACATGATGAATCAAGGTCAGGCCAGGTCGTCATCAAAAATCGTATGTACAATCACAACCACTTTGCCTATGTGGGGCAACAGATGGACAGTCTGATTGGCAGGAAAAGCACTGCTACTGGACAACATAAATAACACTAAATGCGGAATGAGCTTGGCCATCACAGTTCAATGTACATATTATTTCTAGGTTATGATCGATCATTACAGATTGCTTACGATACTGTAGTAGGTATGCATATTAATATGCCAGTTAATAAGGTTTGCAAACAAACCGAATTGTTTCAAAGCTGTCTGGCACTGGTGGTGGCTTTACATCAAAGGGCACAATTAAAAAACCGCAAACACATACAACCACTAATTTCAAATATCAATTTTGACTTTTTCTCTCAAACAATAAAAACACATTTCACATGTCGGTGAGTTAGGTATTAAAGTGATAATTAGAAATTGGAAGCACCAACTAATAATAATAATAAAACTGTTCTCGCTGTAACCATCAACATCGGTAAAAATAACAATATAAACACATAATAAATAGCTCTGAATAGTACGGAAGAGTATTAAGTGTTTGCTCTACAAACAGTTAACATAATATGCATAATTATGACACAGTCGCTAAAAGAAACAGATATGTACAGAGATCAGTAAATAAATAAAAACTGTGCCAATTCTAAAAATTAACTACGCACGCACAAAGTTGCGCAATGAATCCTAGTTTTCTTTATCAAAGTGATTCTGAAAAACATTTTAATTGCCTATTTACGTGGAACGTAACGGTATCACATTTAAATTGAGTTGACGCCTTTTTCTTATAAAACAATCAGAATCAACGAATAACTTTAAGATTAAAATTATTAACAAAACATTAAGAATCGTCGAATTATGTGGCTTTTGCTTTTCTCTTTCCCTTAAATACCATAAATCAATATGACGTACACGGCTACAATTACAAACTAACGTACACGATTTTTTTATAATTTAATATCAAAAGCTCCACCATTCAACTCCTCTTAAGTAGTTAAAAACTTAAGCAATAAAAAAAGAAACATATGATGTCGACATTAAATTCAAGGCAGAAGTCCATAGCAATGCGTTGAGGTCAGCAGGCCAGTGGGCCCACGCCCAAGGTCAGTACCTATCATCCGCTATTCGTTGGTCGTACTCCAGCACAAGTCGTTTTATATGTGATAGTTTGTCGTGTAAGTATTGAAATCGTCCTTTCGCTTTCTGATGCATTATATCTTGTTTGTTTTGTTTATATTCGCGAAAAATTTGCTTTTTAATATCCTAAAAAACAAAACAGATTGTTAATGTTTAATTTATAATTATGCCTATTATTTAGTGCCAAGCTTTTTCTAATTGTACTAGCACATTTTGTCACTTTTTATAAGCACCAAATATTAAATCAAGTTGATATTCAAAGGAGTGAGCAAGATTGAAAATTCATTTAAAAATGCCACATTAAAATCCCAATGTATAGATTGTTGTGCAATATAAAAAATTACGGACACGGTGTACAAAAGCAGACGGATTCTTATGGAAATGTCTGGTATATTTTGACATTTTCTTGTAATCCTAAAATTCTCTTTTCAAAATATACGAAATGTCCAAACAAAAATTGGCACTCAGTAGTAAGTCGCGATCTAGAAACATAATCCGAATATGCTTGAATGTGTAAAATTTGTACTGAAGGGAATCACATTTAACGTCATTTATCTCGTGCCATACAAAAATCAAATGGTACAAAACGGCCTTAAACAGATACAAAATTGAAGGAATAATTTGAAAGAGGAAACTACTAGCCCAACTTTCCAAATTGCACTAAAAAAAGTTGTTTCAGAAATCAATTAACATCACAAATGCACTTAATTTGATAAATGTTCTATAGTGACCAAACAATTCGAGATTGTTAGATGTCCTGAAAATAAACAAGAAAACTTCAACACATTCACAAGAAAGGAGCTGGAGGAGTATCAGGCCGATTTTCGACTGGGTGAAGCAGTTAGTAAAATACCTTCAACCGTACAAAGCACAACCAATGTGAGATCGACCTTTTTCTTAAGGACAAGAAAGTCCTATATAAAAAACAAAAGACAAGGCGTAAATGAATTTGAAAAACCAACAATGTTGACTCTCGGGTTGCCGTAAGTCCCTGGCACCGTGAATTGTATTGGAGAGCGCGCGCACCGAACTCAGGGCACGTGTGGCTCGTGTTTTTCGTGAGATTCGAACCTGAAGTGGCAAGTTCTGATGTGCTTTCGGTATTAACAAGACCGAAGGGGAATTTGTCTTGAGATAATACTCTTCATAATTACAATCATTTATTGTGGTTGTACATAATGCACTTACACTTGTCAACTATTACATTTCATGCGAAGAATAATTTATAATTATTTGAAATTGCATGATAGTTTGTATAGCCGTCCGCGTTTTCTCTGGGTGACGTTTGCGTGCCTCCGATGGCAAATGTTCTCAAATATTCATCTACACTGTAGAAGGCGTTGTTTACCAAAAATTTTTTCACAGGTGATTTTAGTTATTCGAGTAAAAATATGCAGGAACCTTTTCGTTTTACGCAGATTAGCGGAACACGTTACTGCTCAAATTTTAAGGATTGCATACTTTGTTCTTATACACAGTCACTTATCATACTCTATTAATGTATGGGATTACTATGCATGTAAGAATCATTGCTCATCATTCGTTTCAAGCAGAAACTATCGAAACTTGCCTATGTTGCATACAATAAATCCTAATGCAGTAATACTTTAGAAAAAAAGTGCAAATTTGTTTATTTGGTGTGCCTCTTTGTACAATCAAATGCCACGCAACACTGGCGCACGAGGCACTGTGCATGTTTGCTTATCAAAAAACTACAGATAACCCAATGTCCAAATCCGCTGAATTAGGTATCCATTTTTGAGGAAAAATTGTTAGTACGGAAAAATCGAAACCGAGCCACCCAGGTACAAGTCGCGTATTCTAGCCACCAAAATCAGACAATTGTGGTACGCATTAAATCGTGACTGAACTGAGTTTGCATTCCAAAATTGGAGGGAAGCATCAATTATAAAGGTACTACTTTTCTCTTACCTACTTAAAAGTGAATATGAAGTAAGTAACACAACCTCACATTTCGACGAAATTAACTCCACTTTTTATTACGTTTATCAAAAACGTTTAATTAAGCTAGCCCTAATAATTACGTATGTTTTTTAAATAATTGTTTGTTAAGAAATATTAATGAAACAAAGTGTTTGTGACGCAATGGTTATCTTTGGTGCAATTGAGCTATGTGAAGTTCCTTACTTTAGTCAGTGATGGCAAAAATGGCATTGCTGTATTAATTTGAAATGTGTGCTAGTAGTAGTTTTTAATTAAAATTAATCCATGAACTACCCCAGAAGTAATTTTTGCAACTATTGCATTCTTGAAATGCATGTAACATTAGAACAGATTTTTTAAATAATTGTTCAATCGGATAAATTAAAGTTCCTTTAGTGCGACATAGATTTGGTGATTTGGCGAATTGGAGATTTTTGTTATTGGTCAGGTGCATTCACGAGATTTAAAATCTGCGAGGAGAAATTCCTATTAGCTAAACAGAAAACACCCCCACTCGTCAAATTATTGAATAACCAATTACCCAAATATCTGTCGCATTTTTTTCCATGGTTAAAGTTTGATTGATTAAATCAGAGAGCAATGGAACTGAACAAAAAATGCAAACAAGTATACCATTTTGTACCATACTCACTTTATACTTTGGACTCGCAATATTTTCTTGCTTAAGACGTTCTTCTAATTCCGCAAATCTACGAGAAACTTTCTCTACAACGGCATGCAGCTCTCTATACTCGGCATAATCGGCATTAAAATCCGATTTATATCTTCGTCTCTGCTCCCCATTCCGTATGGTGGCATACTCGCTACATAAAAACTTTCCAATTAACCACAACAACGCGTGAAAAACTTACGTAAGATAATCAGGAAATTCACTGTCAACCGCACTTTCATTTGGAGGTCCCGTTTCGCTTAACGAAATTTTATCCATCTCACTATTAGGACTATGTTTTGGTCTAGATGATACATTATTGTTCCTACGATTAATATCCAACTGATTGTCTTTTATCCTAGTATTATTTAACGTGTTGACTGATTTATTTTGGTCACCATTAAATAAATCGCTCCGCCTAATTCTCTCGTTGTTAAACGAATCATTATTCACTAATCTTGTATTATCTTGAAGATCATCTTTTCCTACAATATCATCCTTGTATGGAGAATAACTAGTATTGCTGTCGTTATATGTTTTTTCACGATTAACGTTGAAGCTTAAACTATGACTATCACAAGAACGTTTTCGATTGGCCACATCTTCCTCATCACTGTGCTTCTCATTGAGAATTTCGTTACTATAACTACTATTGGAGTATCCATTTGTTGTCGGTTCCCTGCTACGAGGATTCATATTACTAGCATCTCGTGAGTCGGTTACCGGCCGTCTTTGACTTATATTTTCGGCAGGAGAGCGATAAATTGATTCTGACGGCTTACGATAGTGAGATATGCGAGGACGCTTGGTAGGCAAACCGTCAACACCGTCATAGTAACCAGGTCGTTTGGAAGAAGATATGGGCGGCGGAGGCGAACCCGGGTGTGTGCTCGTCGGTGATTGTCCACTACCTGAACTACCACCGTCACTACTTCCGGGAGGAGTGAGGTTTTGAGGTTTGCGCCTGTATGAATAACATTTAATTTCAACATAGCTAGAGAGCATTCCGCACAAACCGTTTGAGCATTTGTCTTTCGGATTCAGTGTAAAATGGCCAATCTTCCCTTACATCGTTCCACATAGCTCTATTAAGATGGAAGGCGTTGTCTTTTAAAAATGAGATTTGCTTTAAAATAGATGTCATGCTGTTCTTTTCGCGGAGACCCTCTGAAAAAATGAAAATGTTTAAAATTGACCAACTTCACTCTCTATAACCTTTCACTAGACGTTCGTATAATTCTGGTTTCTTGAAAGGTCTTAAAGCAAGGAGATGTAGTAACCGTTCCCTAGAAAAGGAATGTGAGAAATTAAAAATTAAATGCAAAGCACGTACCTAATTGGCCGTCGTGCAATATCGGGCATTGATGGCTTATTTTGCGTACGAGAATTATTTAGACTATTGCCAAAACCATTCGTCATACCATTCGTTGGCTGAACCGGTTTTGAAGACATATTGGACTGATACATTTTTGGACCGTTCTCGCGCTGCTGCGGTGCATCTCGGCGGGACGGAGGCGTTACCGTTTTACCAATGATTTGTTTTACTTTTACTTTGCGTCCAATATCTGTTTGATTTGGCTTTATTTCTCTTGTGCTGTAAGTTTAGAACACGTGAAATGGGCCGAGGAAAAAACTAGCAATGATGTACCATTTGTTTTTGTGATTTTCTTCGGCCACCGTCATACGATGTCGTGTGGCTTCATAAATATCATCATTGGCATGAATGCGTATTTTGTAAGGTACAACACCCAGTGTTTCCAAAGAACCTCGAGGAGGTGATAATTGTTGTATGCATTCAAAGCTGCCACCGGGACCCTCCATGTCGGCCGTGGTCGACATTGAAAAATTAAAGGATGTAATGCCGTTTTGAAACGATGGGAAGGATAATTGCTGAAAACAAAATATTTATTATTATTTATACATTATATATTTATTGTATATATTATTTTTTTGTCTCAACTTGACGAGCCACGTTCATTTTAATCATTGAAATGGAATTGAATGGTTTTTCATCCTAGATTGCGTATAACGGTAGAAAGAAACAAATTGTTTTCAAAGTAACATCATATTAAAGGTCACGATGTAATCGCTTTTTCTTAAAAGCCCGAACACTCGATATTCTATGGGCGAAACAATATGCATCGTTAATTCTCAAATTAGTGACGAACCCAAGTGTGTCGAGTACAACCAACGAAATTCTACTAGAAAAAATACCCTAAAATTCCTATTAACCGAAGGATTGAAATGAAAGTGAAATTAATTACCACTCTTATCCAATCGATGTTTAGAGAATGGTTATCTGTTATCATCAAATCAATTTGGTGGACGCGCATTTTGTGTAAAGGTCCGTTAAACAAAAAAGATTGAGACGTTGTCGTTTGGGAAAATGGGGTATAAAAAAAATGTAGAATAAATAACAGTAAAACGGTAATTCAATTACTGCAAAATTAGCATGTTATTTGCTGCATCGTTTAAATACCATTCAATTTTACAGCTACCTGAATTTCCATTGTGAAAATGTTGTCGGTACACAACTAACCGGCGATTCCCTAACCGGTAATGACCAAATCGGCGCCGATCGTACCGGCACTCGGTCAAACCGGCGCTGTGCCTTGACGGCATCCGATCGACCGGCGCTCGTTCCACGGGATGCATTTCTATTTGTGTGGATTGGATTAATAAACCTCAAAGTACCCATCTATTAAAATATTAAAAGTTACGACCAATGCCAATGCCGACAGAAAAGTTATATGTACTTAGTTAATCTGATTCCTCCGGTTTGATCATTCGTAAAATCATAGTTCAAGTGCCTAATAAAAAATCCCCCGACACCCCACTTAAAATAATTTGAGAATTCCATCGACATGTTCATATTATGGCCATCCATGTTATTATTGCAAATGTGTGTGTTACATAATTTGTAGATCGCATCGACTGAACAAGTGCCCATATGTCGACTTGATAAACGCTGGCATGACCGAGCGTCGGCTTAACAAGCGTCGATATGACCGATCGCCGGCTTGGCATGTCGCCCGCTTGCTGCGACGCCGGTTCGTGCATTGCCCGTTTGGCAGTTGCCAGTTTGGAAGGTTCCGAAATGTTGTGGATCAAATTTTGTGAGCAATTCAAAACTTTGCGAACTTCATTAAATAATTAAACAGTAACAAGCACATGTCGATCAGTCTCAATTAAACAATTGCTATCCACTGTACCAAAGATACGTTATGGGAAAATATCGAAAATGGGTTACATTAGAGATGATTTGCAATTCTCAAAGAGGAATTGTCTAAAACGATTACAACTTCCGCTAGCACACTACTTTGGTTCAATTTTCAGTTAATTACTTTATATAATAAAATTACCGTCGGATTACTACAATATTTGCAATTGTCATAACTGCAACATTTTTTTAAATGGAATAACGAAGAGGAGAGACAAATGATATTTTAACTATGAAAATCTGATATATTTTCCAAAAATTGTACAACCCTTCCACTGATTGCTTAATAAAAAACACAACGTGTTTGCACACTTATCGATTTTGATTTGTTTAACAATAATGTAGGAACTTGAAAATATACAAAATTAAACAATTACGAGTAAAAAAAATATCAAAGCTATCGTGTGAGATCGAAGGGACTTCAGTGCAGTCTAGTGTGGCAGATCAGTAAATCGCGTTTAGTGTTTTCACTCCACCATCAGTCAGATCTTGTGTGTGTACCCACTTCTGACGCCCCCATATTTATATGAATGCGCCATTTTGGCGGATTTCGCTAAAAACCCTCCACAAAATCGTAGCCCCGTCTCTACAATTGTTAATTATACGACTCGGTAGGTACACGTACTCTTCCCTTGTCTTTCTAAAAACAGTCTTCTACGGGCTCTCATTTTGCTGCTTGCCAGCGAGCCAGTCGACCAAGGTGAGATGAAAAGTTACCTTTTTACAAATAAATTTGCAAAAATGCGCTAAAAACTATTGTGGAATGGCGCGATGGATTTGTTTTGTAGTATGTGGGGTTATAGATTTTAAGGAATAAAAAGAAATGGTTTTTGGCGGCATCGCCACATCGAGTCGGTATTTGACGAGCGTAGAAGACTTTCATACGACGCGATCTGAGGTTTACCCTCATGGTCCGATAAATAAGGTAGCAAAGGTAAGGTACGCTACGAGGTTAAACATGGTTTGTTCGTTGATTTTATGGTGCATGCAGCATGTTCCAACTATTCAGAGAATTATTGTGACCAATCACAGTAATTCGTTTATAACTTGTTAACGAACAAACCATTTAAAAAGTTTGAAAAAACGAAAATGGAATCAATTTCATCGGAACGTTTATAATGATTCTCAGCGGACTTCGGCGATTCCTCAAATTGTCTACTTTTTCGGGATCGAGTCGGTTCCTTACGCTCAAGGGGGAGAGGGGGGTACACCTTGACAGATTACCGAACGCATTATTTGCGGTGGCGGTCGATTAGTGAACGATGCTTACAGAAGGAGAAGCTATCCTTGATAGCAGCGCGTCTGTGCCGAATGGAGCGTTTTCTTTTTGTAGTTTTAAACAACTACGACAATTTTATGATCACACTGACAGAAAATCATATTAAGTACTTCGCAACCGGTTGGCAGCATATCAATTAACAATTTGGAACCGAAGAGTTCCAACGCCCGGTATGCACACTTAGCAACCGGAACATAACTTACTGGATGAATAGTTTTACATTTGATCATTTTAACAGTCGAGTTAACAGTGTTAAAATAGACTTTGTAATATTGGAGACCGGTTACACTAAATTTAACATTATCATTAATATACATATAGATATAACGAAATGACGCAGCCAATCAAGCGTGCATTTTAATTTGGTGTAATTGAAAGTAGACTATTACGGAGCGAATCACTTTCAAATTAGATTACATTATGGTGATCGCCGTATATGCAAATAGGTATAGCTTATAATTGTGGCATTTCCTCAATTAAATAATCTTTTTGTAATTCGAGTAACAAAATTAGGGTTACGCAATTTTTTTCCTTAAACACTACATTTTTCCTCGAAATAAATCTAACCAAAATTTTTAACTATTGTAAATAACCGTTAACGAAATTCCTAAAGAGAAAGCGTGCGCGCAAGTATAAATAAACTACTGGAACTGATGTATAAAATGCACGTAATGTGTGCTTTAATTATGCAAAAAAAAATGATTGTTCTAATTTCATATAAATTATCAAAAAACGTCCTTAAATAACCAAGAAACTACGAAATATGCGAGGCAAGCGAGATCATCACTGCACGATTCATTACAACCCACTAACTGCCACAGAATTCCACATCAAAGAACATATTTTATAGACTAAATTTTTGAAAGCAGATTTCCCTATTTTAGTGTATTTGGGGAAATGTTCAAATTCTGGAAATCTGTTATGAAAAGACTAAGAAGAGATTCTGGATCCTATCATTTTACCTTCTTCTTAGAACTTTCGGCTTTCTTAAAAAAAAAGTAATGAGACCAATGCAACGGTCCTTGTAAGAAAAATTGCGTATACTGGTACTATAGTCACATCATATTATTGCAGCATTATAACAGCAAAATTTAGCGACCGCGTATTTTGTTTTATGTTTTATAGGAAAAATGAGGTATAATTCGTATTGTATTCCATGTAAGTATATCTAAGAATTTAAGTCGTTGACCCACTTCTTGTTTATTATACAGATCAAAGTACCTATCCCTTAACACATCACAGTAAGCACCCCGTTCGGGCCTTTGATACGGATATCTATGATCTTGCGCTAAGTTAAGCCGTTACAGAAATGAAACGAACACACATGAACACCTTTTCGAGTGGCGGAATACATGTTGCTGCTTCGTTGATGCAGTTTGAAGAATCAGATCGAGAACTGTCAGTTAAATAACTAAGCGCAATGCCAAGATTTGAGAACAATTGGCGCAATGTAAATTTCCCTATGGCCATTTTAAATAACTCAACGCCTTTACATTGTCGTATGGTCCATCTTAAAAAAAACACCCTGTATGATTTCAGGATCGATAGGTTCATAAAGGAATTTACTTATGTCCATCATATTTCTAAATGCCTCACATAATAACGGGGAGGGTCTCTTGGCCCAAAATTTTAAGGTTAGGTCTAAGTCATTTAACTTAGCAATTTTATGAATGAGTCTAGGATACCTAGCTTTAGAATGAATTTTTCCGTTAACAAATGTCTGCGTAGTTCTATAGCGGAGGTTCTAACGCTTCGATTCGTAATGGGTCTTTACTCGTAGCATGGCTCCCAAACAGAGCCTTAAGGCGGAGTTTTGCACAATTTTCAGCTTTTTCAACAAATACGGCCCTGCGGACCCGTAGACGACACAGCCATAATCAATTATTGAGCGAATGTATGCTTTGTAAAACATGAGACATGATTTGGTATCGGATATCGGCCCCCTACCAGGTTGTTCTAATGAACTTTAGGAAATTTAGACCTTTGTCGCATTTGGTAACGATATCCTCAATATGATATTCCCAGGTAAATTTTCTGTCTAGTTTAAAACCTAAATACGAAGCCATATTAGAAACTTGGTACGACACATTATCTATGGCTATTATTGAGCGATGTTTCGTATGTTACCTATGTCTGGTGAATATGGTGACATTGGATTTTTCAGGCGTTAGCGCGAACCCTACAGAATCCATTCTTTTAGATATTACAGAAATGCTTGTGGTGAGAGAGTACTTATAACATTATCCTGTGATCCTACTCCTACAATGCGTCCGAAACACGAATGATTTCTTTCGAAAGTAAAGAGGGTGGCAACTCTAACGTCGCATGGATGTGAAATTAAGGAATAGAATTTAAAACAATCTACCACGAATGCAGGTTGGATTTCGCTCTTTGTTTTACACACTATGTTAAGACTGCGCGATAAATTTATCGGAATAGTTACGCTGAAGGCGATAAGGTGGTTTTCCCAATTTCATTTGTTTTTTTGAAAATCGACAAACACAAATAAGTACGTGAACGTGAATGTGCAGTGAATCAAAATTTGGGGGATTAATAGGAAGATTATGTCAAGGTATTCAGTCAGTGCATCTCAAGCGACTGACTGTTAATATTTATGACCAATAAGATAACAAAGACAATCAGATTGGTTTCTTTTTGTAACCATCGCAGCCGCGCAAGAATCGTAATGTGGAAGTTGAAACACTGTGACGCGACTTAAGGCGGAAACACATTACTGTCACGTCACGTGAGCCCACGTGCTATCACGCAAACTCACGTTACCTGCGCAATATGTGCAACTCCACTGACTTATAGAAGTTTATGACGTTTATGTCTTTAGAATCATACTACTGTCACCTCACGCATTCACGACGTGCTGTTCTGATCTCGCATGATATCCCGCAAAATTACATTTTGTAGTAGAACGTGACATCACGTCAAGTGTTTTCCGAAGTGGTTTCGTCAAGAAAAGATGGACGAACATTTAATTGAACTGGTGAGACAGCACGAAGGGCTATACAATCACTCCTCTGCTGAGTACCGGGATCAGAGGGTTCGGCAAGAAGCTTGAGAGGAAATTGGTAGAATCTTAGCCACTGTAAAAGCAGCCACGTTTTCTATATCCTCTTCCTCGTCTGAAGAACTTGACAAAGAAAAATCTCTACTTCGCTTCATCGCTACTAATGACTAAATGCAAATCTTAAATTGCAACGACAGCTACCGCGCGACACCGTGAGCGCACACAAGTGTGTCTCCTGGCGTGACATCCCGCGAAGGTATGCTTGACGTGATAGCACATGACGTGACAGTAATGTGTTTCCGCCTTTACTAAATAAAATGTTAAGGGTGTCCCTATCGCTTAATACCAATAACAAAATTTATTACTTACCCCTTCATTTCCTAGGAACTTTATGGTTGGATTTTGGCTAGCACTGAATTTGTTCTGAAACAAAAAGGAAATGTCAGCATTTCACAACTGCTGTTTAAGTTTGCATCTCGTATATTCAGCTCATTAATGTAAAAGTATGGATAACGTGTGTTCATTTACATAAAATACCGATTTATTACTTAACACCATTTTCTAACCACAAAGCGATTGCAAAACAATTCCATCGTATCAATATCAATTTAACAAGCGATAGACCAGATTATGTAGACATTACTTGGGATTTATTACATTATATACTGCCCGCCATAAGTATCTGAACACCCAGTGTACTTTGATCAATTTTGATGAAATTTTCAGGACATTTTGTATTGATTTAAAAATAAAAAACGCTGTAAATTTCAAGATGATACCAAAGACTAAGTGACGGTAACCTCAATACAACAATAATTGTTTAATGAGGTACGTACCTATCTGCGATTCATCTACTATTATTTATTTGTTTTAGTTTATTATTTTTTAGAACATATTGTTATTTTTTGTCTGTTTTTGTGTATATCCAATGTGAACGTGAAAATAAAAGTATATATCTATCTATCTACTACCCCTCCCTAGATCCCCTCCTCTCCAGATAGTCTTTGATGATACAATTACAACAAATTCAAACAACACTAATAATATGTAAATGTACTGTTCCTCGCATTGAGCTATTCGCCTGGGCACACTTGAAATTCGTGAATCGATGCTAGCCTGTGATATACTGATTCTGAAATACGCCTTCTGAGGCCGCGTACTGACTTGAGCAAATTGGGGGGCACGAACGTTATTCGCGTGAAATTGCGCAAGTCAGTACAGACCAAAGTATACGTGCGCGAACAACTTTTCGTGCATGAACAGTATCCGTTGCTTGTCGGTGTTTATAATAACATCAAACGGTTTTCGTGGGCGCACAGTGCTCAGTCTGGACTGGATGTCAGTTAGTCAAGTGAGTACCCACAATAATGCGAATGACTGCGAATGACTGACCCAGGGTTGTGTGCGCACAAACCTAAAAGTTTTATGCTCATAAAATAATTTGCTCCCACGAACGTTCGTGCGTCCAAATTTGTTCAAGTCAGTACGCGGCCTTAGATTCTCCAAAACTTATTTCCATGGCACCCCCTTTCATAAAACTAAAATTACTCACGCCCCCCCCCCCATCACGATTAAAAATAAAAAGTGCTGTTCCTACAAAGGTATTTATTAAAAAAATTAGAGGGTAAGTTTTTTTTTCCTTATGGGGACTCGGAAACCGTAAGAGATACAACACCGTTTGGGGCAAATTTACGCAAAATTGAATCGTGATTAATTTTCCCTTCCAAAAAGTCTTGTAGCCCCCCCAGTTTGAGAAACACTGATCTAAACTGTTTGCAGGTGGTTGTAAAGCGTTAGCCTCCCTCTTTTCAAAAATCTACTTGCCCTGTACCGCATGTGCTGACTGTAATTCTTATCTACTGGATTAACATTAACAGGTGGTTCACCGGACGCATTTTCCCTTCACGATCTTGTCGCGCTTTCCGTCCAGCATGCGAAAATTATTTAACGAGTACCCAAACGCCAAATCCCCTAAATTCACGCAGCGTTTGCATCCTTCTCGTGTACTTTTTTTAAAGAAAAGATTCTACAATTATGGTTTCCGTTCGAGCCTTCATTTTTCGACAACGGCCATACCACGCTAAAAACACCGGTTTCGTCCGATTATCCAAGTTAAGCAGCGTGTGTCGTTGTCTCTCTCTCCCTCTCTCTTTAATGTCCCAAGGCGACATATAATAAATTAATAATTCCTAACCACAATTAATTTAATTTTGCCGAAAAAAATATTTTAGTTTTTTACTTTCCGACTGTTACCGGCAAACTGCGAAACCCGGAATTTGGGAAATGACCAATATCGTAAGCGAAGTGAGAAATGGAGCTCGAGTTCGCACCTTGCCTGCTACTCTTTTGGGATTTCGCAAATTTAGTGTATTTTCCTCAAAGTGAAAAATCGCTATTGGCTGCACCTTGTCGTCCGTCCGTCCGTCACACGTACTGAACCGATTTAGGCGATATAGGGCTCATTTGAAAGGGCTTGATCCGAGGATTCCGTGCATAACGATATTTTTGGTTTTGCGCATGCGCAATGGCAACTTTATTATTTATGAAAGCAGTTAAACGAAATATCATATTATGTAGGCACTTTAAATGAAACTAAAACTAATACAGGTTTCAAAATTACTGTTTACGCATTCTGTATGTTTTATTTATGAACGTATTCGATCAAATTTCTAATGTAGAAAATGCGTAAAATTGCCAACGTACCGCACGTATATGTATGTACATATACACACGGAAAAAAATTTGTATTATTTAAAACTTGCTTAAAATTATGTAAAACGTCGACATTAGATGAAATTTTGATATATCCTAAAAACGATGATCGCAATAGCTACCTAGCTCATGCTAAAAAGGTAAAAATATTACATCTTGTAGGTATACCATTTACTTTTTTTTCATTTAATTATGCAAATATGATCGTGAATTTAAAAAACAACCGGAGTATCAACCAAATAAAGAACCTAAAAAATTCGCACAAAAAATCGTTGCGAAAACGACTGAAAAGATTCCATTGCACTTCCTATAATAAAGTAAGTCAAGGCTGTTAGAATCCACCTGTTTGTACATATTTAGGTTACGCACTTAAGGTTAAATAGAAGATAATTGATTTAGCTGGCGACCGATAAGAGTCAATGTTAAAGTTAAATTGAAGAAACTGTGCACGTGAATCTGGACACGTACCATTTCAATCCAATTTACATAATATTATTAATGGACTTTGAATGGTAATCATTTTTAGCGGATTAAACGGATCCCACCAGCAAATTATTTAGATTAAAAACAAAAGAATGATGCAATTAAAAAGTAACTAATTAAAATAATTAACATGAGATCATTACAATCTTAATCTTTACATCTGTTACGTACTTCTTCATTCCATTGAACTTTTCCCATGTAATATTTAGATGACTAAAGGTATTTGCATCAAGATGCGCTAGAAAGGAGACAACACGTAAGGATACACAACATTCTAATGAACATAATAAAATTGTTGAGGATAACAAAATCGGATGTCGCTATACCTATTAATTTGTCGCAAAGCTAACTGGTACAAATAAAAGCTATAAAAAATATAAGGGTCAAATTAACAAATTAAGGACTAGTTTTACGATATTCTGTTCAAGTTAAACTTGACAAAATATTGCGAAACCGACCCAAAATTTTACAGATTAATCCTATTAATAGGGAATCTATTAACTACTTTTGAGCGAATTTCGCCACGCTATTATGCTCAGACAAGAAAGCAATAAACTCCTAAAGCGGATCTAAAAAACCGGCAGAGCATCTCGATTTGACCCTTTGGATTTGACCCATTTCCAATAGGCATGTTACATGTGGCATATAAGTCAACTGTGCAAAGTTTGAACCAAATCGGTCCAAGCATTTGACAGTTATAGTGTTCACGGACAGAAGGACACCATCGATTCCCCCATAAAGCTTGGATCGCTTTACTATGCCACTTTAGGCTGGACAGTACACCCGTTTCGTTGCCCGAAAATGCTTGATTTCGCTCCACGATATCTGAATTCTGAGTGAAGATGCATAAGGGGTCGAATATTCCTGTGAAAGGTGAATGCTTTAGCTAGACAATAATGTAACGTCGAGGGCTGTTAGGGTGTCATATTTTGAAGAAAAAAGGAAACAAATTTTCCTGGCCTTATTGCCTAGATATTAATTTTACGAACTTATAGCAATTTTGGAAATTGTTTCAACTTCATTTATAGATGTTATCTAGCGAGAGAGCGAAAATATAGCTTCCGGCGCGCGGCTTGTTTTATACAGATAGAAAATGTGCATTATAATTGGACTATGTTTATGTTTCTACCATCGAACACAAATTAATATGACTGAAGACTGAAGACCGTATGTGTGGCTCAGTCGTAGAAAGCTGGGCGACACAGCCGGGAGGTCGGGTGTTCGGACCTGACTTGAGGTGAATTTTTCATCTGCGGCAGAGATGGGAATTTCCTTAGATGAGTTTTGAGCATTCTGCCGGCTACTCCGAATTAGGTTTTTGTGCAGGTTTCCTAATTCGTAAGGTAAATACTGTAGTATAGAACAACTTAAGACCTTCTGCAGGGGTACCTCTAAAAAGAATTATGCGGGTCATTCTGTAAATGGGCGAAAGCCTGTTGAACACCATAACAAGAGGGGGACAATAAAAATAAACATTTGAAAACAGTTATCTGTTCTTCCCTCACAATAAAATGTAGGTAAGAAAATAAAATAGTTTCCCCCATTCAAGCGCTTTGGGAGAAAGTAAGGTCCAATTACTTGCTCCCCTACGATTTCGACCCATACATATACAGCAAAACATTGTTGATGTGCACGAATAAATGTTGCCTGAGGATTTTCGTTAGCCCCCATTCTTTTAATTCGTTTTTTTTTTAAATGTCGTTGGCGTTTTTATTAATTTTTTACATATGTAAAGGGACATAAATGTGATGCATAGATGAAAATGAAAGAAATTTTAACGTAACATTCTTTTCTAAAAATAATAATGTTGACAGGAAATATCAAAACATTAACAAAAAGAAAATGTATGAATGTCTTATTTTAAGTGATTTTAGTTTAATTAAATACGAGATTAAATAGAATATAAATTTTGTGTATCGGACTAATGACGATGAATGTCGTTTAACAATTACAACTTAAAAAAAATTGTTTAAAGGATATATAGATTGACACTCCACTGTACAGTCTGTCCAGACGAGTTATTAAGAATAGAACCATAAATGCAAAGAAGATGGTCGATTTCACGTTAGGGTCAATTATACATTTTATAGCGCGTGTCGTAACACATTGCGATGGTCAGGCACAGCGCAGTCTGGCTGGCACACACTAAATCTCCAAATTAGATAAATTCGGGTTGAAGAGAGATTTCAACACAAATAAGTTGGAGTATAGTCTCTCCTTGGCATTTA